GTACCAGAGGCAATTACAATTAGATTGCTTGAATCCAGACACTGTAGACTACTCAATCTTCAAGGATAGGCTCAAAAGCATTGAGAAAGCAAATGAATCCATAGGAATCAAATGGCACATAGATTCCAGACAACATTTCAATATGTAAAGACATAGTAATGATTCTCAGAATGATTATTTACATACAGACAGTTCTGATAATTCAGGAAACAATCAATTCACTCTACAGGATAGTAAAAGTAATGATTCAGATCACAGTGACTCTAGTCAGGATACTATGTATACAAGCAGTGCAAATGCTAAAGGAAAGGCCAGGCAATTGTATTATCCATTGAGGAACAATGACTAGTATGAAAGTAAGACAGAAAACAATCACAGAACATATGCTACAGGTTTCAAGCACTATTCCCAATCGAAATTGGATGAAATGAGAGCAAAAGGACTATGTTTCATTTGTGAACAAGATGACCACTTAGCCAGGAATTGTCCTACTTGTAATACAATCAGATTGAACAATACACAGGATGATTGTTCATCATCTAGTAATGTCAGTATCAGTTATGCCACTTTAGATAAGTTAGTAGACAACTTGGACAGTAAGAAATACATAGAATTGGAGTCAATTACAGACTATGACACAGATTCTTACATATCTAGCAGTAATATACATGTTTTATTGATTTGGATACTTTGTAAAGGTAATACTGAGGATTCAGTAACAGAACAAGAGAGTTCTACAACAGAACACAAGTTCAGACATGTGAACAACACATTTGAAAGGGTGAATTCAGTATATTTGAGACCCTATGAGACTACAGCACTTAGGCATTGTACTATAGGCATTCAGTACAGGAATAAACATTGTAGGAAGTCTAAACATTGAGATAGACAATTGTATAGTGTATACAATAACATTTTACACTCAAAAGCACAGGCATACAGTGTAGAAAGGATTCTACAAGACTACAGATATGTATGGCACATGGAAAGGACTAGGAAACATGTATACAACTATTGTTTCAAGGATTCTAAGATGCTACAGGCACAAGACAATACATATATAGACATTTCAGAGACACTACTACTGATTCTTAGAGCCACAAATCAAAACAACACTCTTAAGAAATACAGGCTGTTCACAGACAACAAGAATGCATACTAGAACATTAGGAAAGGACCTGAGAATGTTAGACAATTGGAATATAACCAGCCAGATAGTATTATGGTTTACAAGGTGATGCAAATAGTAAACTACACAAGCAGGACAATTTATTAAGTATTACTAGACTATAAACTACAACTACTCTTGGATACTGAGAAATATTTCAATCCAAACAATTTACACAGGTATTCTATTAAGTTAGAAGGCTACATTACACATTGGAAGACAGACATCAGTACATTGAGTAAGGAAAAGTGTATATACATTAAGAATAAGATGATACTGCTCTAGAATAAGTATCAGGTATGAAGATACATTGACAGTAATAGAAAGACACAGACATACACATACACAGTTGATTCTATTCAGTACAGGAAGGTATTCAAAAGCAAAGAACTGCTTCAGATAATTTCAGGACCAGGAGAATGTTCAGACATTCAGGTATATTGATTCTACAACATTAGAACAGACATTTCCATCTTCAGGATTGAAGATACAGTCTATAATGAGTATGATTGAAGAACTTTGTATAGAACAATGTTCTATAAGGTACAATTGGATGTTACACTATGAAACTATTCAGTTCATAATGAAGAATTGTTCAGAAACATTAGAACCAGCTTAGACTACAAGGATATATTGTACAGAACACAGTTTCAGGAGAACATAAGGTATTACATTGTGAAATACACTTTCAGACAGTTAGGATTCATTGGAATAGACTCAGGACACTCTATCAGACATATTATGAGTATCACAGGCACTCAAACAGATATGCTAGTATACATATATTCAGGATACATAGTAAGAATCAAGATATTCAAGCTACAGAATGACAATTACAATCTACAGGATGTAAAACTGTTACAATCTATGTAACATAATGACAGTAAGACACTACTAAGATTAGGAAACAATATGCATTGTATGGAACAAAGTACAGAAGTTCAGAGGACAACTTCAAGCTAGAGAACAGGTTCAGAACCTGGACAATCTGCTCAAACAGATTATCACACTGCTTCAAGGGAAAGCAAAGGTAATACACATACAGCCAGCAAATATTAGAGTGATAGTGAATTAGGAATGATTGAACAGACTATTTGAGCATTCAGGCATAATATTTTAATGCTACAGAAGGAAATAGAGTATTAGGAAGCTCTAGAACATCTATTGAACAACAATACAGTTCAATCTACTCTAGGAATGAGTAGTTACAATTGGTTCAAAGTACAAAAACATGTAGAAGACCTCTCCAGACACTCTAGAAAGGTTTCAGAACAGTACCAGACGTTTTACACCAAAAATGAAGTCATATTTTGACAAGAGGGCAAGAGGCACACACATTGCATTATATACACACTCTTTGAGCATACAATCATGTTTGAACATACAATTTTCTTACTTGATCTATAATGAAACAATTTTGCAAAAGACTTTGTAGTACTAGACAGTATCAGTACTACAGGAAACAGGACACACAATAGGTACATAAGGAAAGAATACATTGGCACAAGGACAAGTACACAAAAAGACAGGAAGTCAATACTAGAACACATTGATCCACACATAGATTTGCTAAATGAACAAGGAATTGGCAGTATATACTTAGGACTTTAGGCAGCACTACTGTGCATACAGACAGGACATTTCATTAAGACATACATAGAACAATGTAGTATACAGACAGTTACAGTACTCAGGAAAGTAGAGAATGCTACTTGGACACAGTGTGATAGAACATCACACTATAAGACATTGAAAGTATACTTGGACAATTCAGGAATCGAATCAATTGACTTACAAAGACACAAACAAGTTGAGACACAAGGAAACAGTATGAGAATACAGTAGGACATTCATCACACACAGAGATACTACACATATACACACATATCTAGTGATATTAGGCTCATACCTTATAATCTCATTGAATTCAAAACAATATTTTCATTCAAGGACAAATATTACACTCTAGGTTACACTCTACAATTAGTATTTGAACATTAAGCTCAACAGGATATTCAGTTTTACATCACAGTTTGTTATTGTAAGCAAAAGAGTACACATTTGGAGATATTCTACTAATACAAGTGTAAGACACTACATTTGCAGGAACTAGTCTATTGGAAAAATCAAGGACATAGTAGAGGAATTTTGAAATACATCTCTACTATCTATTATTACATGACTATCCTACAGAAGCAGAGAAACATGCAAAGTCAGCTAGAAGCTGTAATACTAATCCATTCTATTGAGGAAGAAGGCTATAGCTTTGTCAATCAGGGATTTACCTCTGCACTTCCTGAAAACATGGGAGAAGAGAATATTTGTAATTACTATGCTGCCAGAATTTCCACTTCTGTACATATTGATCTACACTGTGTATCTCAGAATACTCAAGAGCTAAAACACCATATCTCCCTAGGAACCCTACTGATTCTCTTTGAAAAGTGTTGTATTGATAGTAACAATCAAGAGGCAACTTTCCTACTAATTGACTATACAGTAATATTGACTATGTTTAATTTTATTAACATTTTATCTAGTTTCACATAGTTTGGAACCATACTACCTACTGTCCAGAACACCACCACTGTCTCAATACTCACTGGATTGACTTTGGATCAGTTCAGAGAGGTAGTAATACATTATGAGGATGTTTCCCATATGTATGGGCAAGGTATTTTATTATTTACTTGCTACTAACTGTTACTTTAAGTAAGTTTTCTGTCTTCTCTACTAATTTTTAGCATTTAGGACTAAATGCTAGAGGGCAAGTGTAAGGATTTGATTTACTGGTTTGTATTTTATTATTACTACATTACTGATTGTGTCAGATCACTGCACAGTAGGACCCACAAGCACATATATTCTCATTGTAGTTAGTTACACTTCCTCCTCATGTATCTACACGTGTATACCCCTATAAAAGACAGTATTGACTGTTAGGTAAAGGGGATTCTTTTCCCCTGACCCCTCACTTGAGTACTAGGTTATCCCAGTCAGTAGTTGAGTGAACTAAGGGCAATTAGAATTCTCTTGTGAGGAACAGTGAGTTTCCTTACAGTTAGAGTACATAAATGCAAAATACATACAGACAAACAATCAACAAGCAGATATATTAACTAAAGCACTACATATACTACAAGTCAAACATCTTACTAGTTTACTCAAACTAGTAAGAGTTTGAAGGGGAGTATTATGAGATGATTAGTTTATCAACGGACGAACCACAAGACAATGACTTCATAATGTCTCAGTTAGAATACATACAATATAAGGACGAGAGACACTGAGCAGTCAATCATTACCTCACCCCTTGTCTATGCATGCCCCCCTGAACTTTTCCCTCTCAACAGCAACTGAGCTGAACTAAAGGACTGATAAGCGAACGGTCGTTCACTGTAAACGATACACAAGAGCGACTCACCGCAACAGCGAAAGCACCCAAGGCCAAGTAAGCAAGACTGACTGCTGTAACCTGTTGGGACAGCTCAGTTACTGCATCATTGGTCCAGTTGTAGACGTACTTCCGTAACGCGAAGCATTGCGACGTGATTCTTGCCCTGCAAGGTCAAGGTCACCATCGCAGTTGCAGTGGACAAGACAAACGCTGCTTGGCAGTATTAATATTAATATTGACTCGGGATGCCGGCATAGACACACGACTACGTGCAGGAGGTGCTGACACGTTCTAAACAACCATTCAAATTTAGTTTTAATTAAGTTCGGTGAAACCCATGGCTTAGTGTATAACTGAGATTGTAAGGCAGGGCAACTGACATCTCTTAATCGTACGGAACATTCCAAATTCCAACTCTGGACATCGCATTTGTCACTAACTCGTGATGATTGAGTGCTCTCCACCGGAGACAGTGATGCTCATCGACCCATTCTCCTTTGACACTCTCATTACCTCGCCATCAACCTTAATTGTCTTCCCAATCCCGGAGGGTATTGTTACCGTGCCCATCGTGCCCTTTGGTGTATTAACATTGATTTGGAAGATCTTTCCTGACAGCTTCCATGAAGCTCCAAACCAGCCAAGAGGGGTTTCGAAGCCACCCTCCGCGGAACTTAAATCGGAAGTATGTGGTGCGAGTGTCCAATCTCGGCCTTGCGGTGTAGTGATTTGGAGGCCTAAGACGTAAAACATTAGCGCTGAAGTGGGGCCTGAGCTCCAGCCGTGGGCGTGAGAAGTATATGCGGGGTCGTAATTATATCCACGGTATGAACGATACCTAGTTGCACATGTATCAATATGAATGATGCTTAGAGACATGCAGAAATAGAAACAGTATACCCGATTGAACCATTAGCGGTATATCCTTCTAGCAGAGTCGACTGAACGCTGAGATTTGTGTATAACATATATCCCCATTCGCGGCGCAGCAAGTCCATGGCTCGTTGGTCATTCCCGGACGTGAAATGGGCTTGGAGCTCAAATCCACCTATGAAAGGAGAAATCGTGTCTGGTAACTCAGGAGCAACCGCGCCGAGCTCATTCCAATTCTTTTCGAGACCCGCGCTGACTGAATTCGCTTGTGACGCATTCTGGGTGAGATTGAATAGCACTGCGAAGGAATTCGCGTCCTGAGGGCAGAGTGTTGTCGTGTCGTTGTCGCGGTACATGCCGAGCGAGTTTACCCAGAAGACTTCATTAAACGCGGATTTGACAATTGAGGCATTCGTGGAATAGGCGGAGGCAAGAGAAGTATCGTTTAGGTGCGTGGCGAGGTCTGCACTGTTTGTAAGGACCTGAGGATAGTGAAATGTTATAAAAACACCATAATCGGATTGGTGCAGTTAAAACGGCGAACCTTGTAGTAAATTGCATTGCCTTCTGCATTGATTCCTCCTCCACCAAGTCGTGCCCAGTCACGTAGACCAGTTATGTTTATAAGGCCAGATGGAGTCGACTTATTTTCCAAGAACTGTACCGCTTTTGTCTAGCAGACCAGGTATATGCACAACTCACACAATAAGCATTTGACTACAAGGCGAGGACGCACATATTGGGACTTACATAGTTTGCCCAAACGGTTTGTAACCAATCAACGTCACCAGAGTATAGGTAGTAATTATGGGTGCCAATGAGTGTCCAACCGTGATAGGTATCGCTGTCAAGTTGGCTTAGCGGTGGCCCACTCTCTGGCAACGCTCCCGTCACAGGGTTGATATTGGCAAACATTGTTGACAGAGCGTTTTTAACAGGAAGTAAGTCATTCGTGCTGACAAAGGCAGTTGGGACAGCAATGCCCATGTCGCCTGGAAATGAACATTTAGTCCATTATTATGCGCAGAGCTGTATGACTGCTTGCCTGGCCAGACAGCCCTATCACGTTTTGCTCCGTCGACGATGATTGGACCTGCAACGCCGAGTGTCGCATTGTTCGCCCAACCTTACACAAGTAAATTAACGCTGCCCTTTCAGCTAAAACATTAACACACCTGGGGACGCAACAGGTGGAATCTGCCTTCCTGTATGTAACGAGACCACGTTGGCCTGTACGGTGTATGCTCCAGCATACCACAGCTTCGTTAGGAAGTCGAGATCGTGGAACACCGGATCCTTCGCGGAGAAATATCCCGCATAGTCGCGCATATTCTCGACATGCGGTGCGAAAGAAATCTCGCAGGTGATGTTGCTGATTGTTAATTTATCTTCGGAGTTTGAGACGATCGTAAGATAACGGAAGCCTCCGCGAAGACGCTCTGCTGGTTGCGTCCAGAGGCTAGAAGGGAGCGGAGCCAGCACCGGTTCTACACCGTCAAATGTTGTATTCGGAGCAGGATACGTTGAGTCATCAGAAGCAAGAGGTCTGACGTAGATAGGCGATTCAGAGAACGAGAGTGAGAAAGCGCTGCTATTCGAGGATGGAAAAAGTCTCATAGTAATCAGTCCGCCCACCTGTCCGCCCTTTCCATCAATAAATGTCCAAATTGGAGAAAGGCGAACGGCTCACTTCTTTACCAAAGTCCAGAGCAACAAATGATCCGTCACCACTCAGCGAAGCTTCGCCTGACTCTGAGAGTAGATTCTCCGCATTCGCAATTGAGCCCCACGATTTGAATACGGCAGCTGGACGAACAGTCCTTGACACAGGTGCGTAGTTGAATGCATCCCAAGGTCCATTGGGAGCAGATGCTTGGGCGAGACTGGCATAAAGGGAAGCAGTGAGTAGAGCCCTGCAAATTTGCATAGCTGTCACGGTTTACAGAGTCGGACCCGTATCCTCGTCCGGTATGCTTTAACTGTTAGTTCTTTGGCGCTATTACATAGTTCACGGCCCTTCGACCACATAGCAAACGGATACTGGTACGTTAAGACCGTCACGGGATCGCGAAATCGAGAGGACGGGCCGGAAAAGCAGAAGGCGCGTGATCAACACGAGATATTTCTGACTGCTTCCAAACCTTCCAGAATGACCAGGAGGCATTGCCATCAGGCTAGGATTGAAGTATTATTTAAAAATCGCATGCATTCTCTGGCACGAGAAAACGGTAGGAGACTCCCTACGTGAAATCGGAGAAACTCAGATTACCTCGGCTTGAGGTCGGACCGGACAGCTTTTTATCAGTATTGAAGACCACATCTGCAACGCAAATGCGTCACTGAGGTCTGCTATCATGGGAATATCCTAGTGTACAATTAGTGGCAATGAAATAAAAAGGATGGAGTACAGTGCTTACCCGGGCGGTTGATCAGGAGCATTCATTCGGCGTAGGATTGTTCAAATTAAATGCGTACTAAAACCATGACCCATGAGTGTTTCAATGTTCGGTAATAGGCAAGAGTCTCTTCGTTGGCTAGAACACGACTGGATCCAGGATATATCCGTTAATCCAGCAGAGTCAATTCCGTCACATGTTCTGGCGCGGACATGCATGACATTCTATTGGGCATGGATACAAATCACTGTGCATTCTCAGGAAAAAAATGTGTCAAAGATGAGATAGGCTAGTAAAGACCAGTCATTAATGGTCCATCTCTAGCACCTCGGACCACCAGCAGAAAAATGAGCCGCGCTGTGTCGATCGTCGCGTGCCAAAAGCGATGACATAAGCATACCCTTAACCTCAACTCAACGAAATTTGACTCGCTACGCCTTTTGCACTCTCCCTTCATCCGCCGTTCATCTTTGTTCCAACAACGATAAAAATGTCTCTTGGAACTCTGTGGACTGTCCCGCAGCAACCGCAAGGCAAATACGTATGTCAACCACTGTTTAGCTCTATTGTGTTTTTCATCGTCATGTAACTATGTGCATTACAGATTCGCGCTGTCGCTGCTATCGGTGGTCTCCAGATCGATCTTCCTGAGGCTTATACACATTTTGAAGACAACAAGAAACCTGAGTTCCTCTCTAAATTCCCTCATGGAAAAATTCCAGCTTGGCAGGGCAAGGATGGCTTTTTGCTGACCGAATCGTATGCAATCGGTCGCTATCGTGAGTATTCATTCATTTTCACCCGCATATATGCAACGTGCAAGCATGTTTGCGCTTTCCGAGATGAGAATCTATTTATTCAGTTATCCCTGTCTTAATCGCTTTGTCGAGATTTCATTATTCTGAAATTTCCTGCTGCTACGTCCTTTATATTCATTTTGAACCGGATTGACTCATGATCACGATCAGTTGCCGCTTTGGCTCCCAATTCGGGGCTTCTGGGCTCTTCACTACAGGACGCAGCACTGATCGATCAATGGGCCTACTTTACTGGGACCGAGCTCCAGCCATATGTCATGCTGATCTTTCTACTCGTTAAGGGGCACGTCACTCCGTATAGCAAACCCGTGAGTCATTTTTAAGTCTTACTATTAGCATTACATGCTCAAAAGGGTATAGATGCATCAAAACGCGAATGAACGAGCAATTCGTGCTTTCAAAACACTGAACTCGGTTCTTGCATCCCGCACCTTCCTTGTCGGCGAGCGTATCACTCTCGCTGACCTTGTTGTTGCTAGCGGCCTTGTACGGGCTTTCGCTGTAAACTTTGATGCTGAGCTCCGCAGTCAGCTTCCGCACGTTGTGCGTTACTTTGAGACTGTCGTTAACCAACCGAAGGTAAAAGAAATTTTTGGAGAAACTGAATTCGTCGAAAAGGCTTTGCAATATACACCTCCGCCTAAAGAAAAGAAGGAACCGAAAGCAGCGGAGAAGAAGGCCGAGAAGAAGGCTGAGAAGAAGCCTAAAGATGACGATGATGACGAAGAGGATGAGAAACCTATAGAGGAGCCAAAGCCAAAGAACCCACTTGACCTGCTTCCTAAGTCGAACTTCAATCTGGAGGACTGGAAGCGTGCCTATTCTAACCTGGACACTCGCGGACCCGGGGGTTCGCTCGAGTGGTTCTACGAGAAGTTCGTACCTTTTTACCTTTTTTATTACGATATTGATTAGGATACTTTCTCAGATTCGACAAGGAGGGATTCTCTGTCTGGCGTGTCGACTTCAAGTACCCAGAGGAGCTCACCTTGACCTTCATGTCATCAAACCAGATTGGCGGCTTCTTCAACCGTCTGGAGGCGTCGCGTAAATATCTCTTCGGTTCCGTGGGTGTGCTTGGCGAGAACAACAACTCACTCATCTCTGGTGTGCTCATCCTTCGTGGGTCGGAGGCCAAACCCGTCGTGGAGGTTGCTCCGGATTGGGAGTCATACGACTTCAAGAAACTTGATCTTAACAACCCGGCAGACAAGCAGTTCTTCGAAGCTGCACTCGCGTGGGACCTGGAGATTGATGGCAAGAAGTGGGCAGATGGCAAGAACGTAAGTCTCCATTGAGTAATGTTCAGGACTATGTACCAAATGCTGAGATGTTTCCCCTTTAGTTCAAGTAAACAAAACAAAACAAAGATCTGTACCTTTGTATCAAACATCTAGCCCTATTATCTGTTGTTGTAGCTGTTTTCATGTGCAATTTCAATGTAGTAGACTGATGTTGATTTATCCGTGTTGTTCTATCTATGCGTTGCTCGTATCAACAGTCTGGACGGATGCTAAAGATGCAAGAATACAGTACGTGCATTGTTGTTATCACTGAATTGTGTTGAATGAGGTGGAAGTACTTCTCGGCTGCGCCACTGCAACGATGGCATACATGTTCCATAGACCTGATATTCATAGCCTGTCAGTCAATCGGCAGGGGAGCCACTGACTTCTTCAGTCAACTCTGACTCATACCGTCTATCTCCGAGTCTTGGTTCCTATTTCACTCATGCGGTGACAGAGGTTGGACATCTACGAGGATCTGTCCCGGAAGATGGCCACTCCGAGGTAAAGTAACGGTAAATTAAACTATACGTGGGCGAAAGCTGAAGGAAGAAAGCGACGCAGGAAGGTGATCCACATGCTTATAAAAATTATGAGATTGGAAAGGCGGCAATTTTCTTGACTGTATTCGAGGTCATGTGTGTAGGCTTGGTTCAAACCGAACTTGTATGGTAATTGTACGATTAATTTGAGTGTGGCGCTTCCGAAGTGGAGAATGAGACAAGATGAGCAAGGCCGTCGTGCCCATAAGCATGAGCTTAATTAAGATGGCGGAGAGCATCCTAATGACCGATATACTTTTTGGCCGAGGATGACTGGGCTACTCCATGAAGTTGAGCCTCGGTGATGACAAAAAAAAAGTATGCAAGAGTCGGGGAAGGAAGAAGCAGGAAGCAGGACCGTAGCGCATTTATCAAATGTGGTCGGGTAAATACTGCGCTTATTCCTGCCTACCTTAAAGAGAATAAGCATCAGTATTTAAGGAGAAAGAAGGTTGCCAAGTACGTACTGTATGTGCGTGCATCCTTTGCTTCATGTATCTGAGACATTCATGACATGTGTTACATGATGTGTATGGAAGCGTGAAAAGAAAGGATGCCGGGATAACTCGCTACTCTCCTTTTACTTTACTGCGGAGAGAGTTGGTCGTCCGGGTCTAGAACGGTACAGCTTGTCCAGTGTCCTGTCGTAGTGAAAACCAATACTGGTGGGGATCCAATGAGGAAAATATCATTCCGTATGGATCGGCAGGCATCCGACCTCGCGATTCAGAAACATACTGAGGTCAAATCGAAGTGAAATACTTAGACAGCCCTTGTATTTCACGCATGTCAGTAAGAATAAGAAAAAGAAGCAACAGGGAGCCACCTTAGACAATCACGGCTGAGCTTCTATAGCTTCTATGTCCTTCACCATTAGATTGACAGCTTCTCGAACCCCATTTCTTCAACGATAAATGCATAGGCAGTTATTTGAGTTCTGGTTGGGATTCTCAGGAACGGAAGCTTAGCTTGTTAGACGTTTGACAGGAAAATCTCGAGGGAAGTTGGAGAAGGCTTTGTAGATCGTGGAGGTATGCCGTTGTCTTCGGTTTTTGACGGAGAAGCCGCGGAGACATGCATATGCATGCGTATGGTGGACCTGGAGTCATGTCTCTGTCTCTGTGCATGTGGGAAATGTGAAGAGACGAGAATTCGGTGAAAGGAGCCTTGGAGCACATAATGTACACACTGGATATCTTGAGTGACTTTTAAGTTTCTGAGAGATTCTTGAGAGAAACGGTATAGGAAGTCTTCGATCGGGATGCATTTTGTACTTGTCTGTGAAATATAATTAACAATGTCATGCCTAGCAGGATGTCAGTCTCAATAACAAGATGATCTACGGATTGCAAAGCCCGTTTTTGCATGACTTGAGAGCTTTTGAGGAAGCCAATAAGTCATGAGCGCCAAAAGGACCGGTAATAGTCGGGTTGACCTGAAGGAGCTGACGTTCTTTAAAGCAGTAGCCGAGTAAACTCACCCTATCAAGTTCTAACATAGAAAGAACCTGAAGGGCGTTCCGAGAACATCGTAGGATGAGATACACATGCACTGATGTATATGTACAAAGGGGGCTTCTTGGGAACTTCGCATGATGTCTGGAGCGGAATGAAGTCACTCTGAACTCGGTGGTTGATTAGTTCCTAGGTGACATGAGGCCTCGTGAGAAAAGTAGGTATACTCGAGGTGCTAACGCATCGGTAGGACGGTAGGATGAGCCGAAATAATATCGTTGTCTATTTCTCAATACTGACACAGTGACTGTACAGCTGTATCCGACGCGGATGTAAGGTCAAGGTACGATCAAGCCATCAACATTTGTTCTTGGTGTTGCTAGGAGAGTTGTACAGGAAGAACAGCATGTGTGAGTTAGTCCAGGGAAGCGTTAACTGCGAAATTTGCAGGTGTTACCTGGATGCATGACTTTAATTTTGTTATAAATACGTTGGGCGCAGATGCGTTAAGTGTTATGGTGGTGATGGTCGCCTCGAAGTGATCGGAAGCATTGGATACTGACTCCTATTAATACTGAGAGCTTAGATATCAGTGATAGTGAGCGTATCCTTAATGTAAGCAGGTAAGAAAGACGGACTCACACGTTGAGGGCGATCAAGCATCAGTCACTATCTTATCCTATGCTATGCTTCAACTCAACTCCGGTTCATGCTAAAAATATACATAAAGTTGAATTGCTCTGGTTCCGACTTACGAGGGGGTTTAACCTCACACACAACTGAGACGAGTAGTAAGAGAAGAAATTCTCTTGTCACGAACGGAGAATCATCTCCCGCTTACGCAGAGCGGAAAGTGCGGTCTTACGCTCTTTCCACCCTACTCTAACAGATCCCTCCTGCGCCAAGCACATCCACAGTCGTCAAGTGTGTTGCATTGCATCCTATCGCATAGCACGAACAGTGGAGACAGTGCTTCAGATTCGTTCCATGCGGCGTTCGCGGAGATTAGACTTCTCTCAAACCGTTTGCGTTTCCGAGAGGATTATATTGGCCGAAACGCGCGCAGGTGGGAAAAAGGCGACTAGATGCGCCGACATGGTGATGTGTAGCGATTGGGTGTGAGTAATAACTGCAATCGGAAAATGAAATGGAATGTCCGCACATTGAGTTTGCGGAGGTTAGACTATAGACGTTTGTGTTTTGTATTGAATCAGAGATTTTGGTGAATGGTGGTGACTCGTTTTCACACACGATGTAGGGCGTTACCCGTCTTTATAGGCTTAGGACGCTCCGTGACGTGTTTTAAGTATGTTTAAGAGTTTCAGATCTCGGGGAGGTCATAGCATTGTCGATATGCAATTATCGATATTTGTTACTGAAGAAAGACAGCAGTGGGACAATAAATCGAAGCGTTACGAGTAAAACGCGTTGTAGAGTCGATTTCCATTAACGGCGTTGGTGTTGACAGAAGGAAGTTTCTCAATCAGCCAATAAACGAGGTCAAGACGAAACGAAGCAACGGTAGCAATTGGTACGGGATTTCGGGAGCAAAACGTTGCTGCTGCGGGCGATGAGCGGATACAACTCCTATCCGATATCGCTTGGGAGGACGAGAAAGAGAAGCAACTGTGAGGAAGATCGACGATCAGAGAGCGAGATCTGAGCGTCATTCATTCACTTGACAGCAGTGTCGTTTGAAAAACACGCGAATAGCGTGCGGCGGCTTACAGAGTAAACACGAGGCACATGACTGAGACGCGTCGAACTGCCGCACGTGCGGGTTCACGGATGTCCAAAAGGGGAAGTTCCCGCTCGTTGTTTATCGCTTCTTTTCGTCGTGATGGGACTCTTTGTCGCAGGTCTCCAGAGCCCGGGACGATCTTTCTTATTGCGAAAATTGAGGGAAAACAAACCTGTGCAACGCCAATCCAGATCAGCTCTTCTTCTTCCCTGCGTAAATTGCATCGCATTCCCCGTGCAATTCACCTTGCATAATGTGCGATTTCGGGTGGATACCCGACGATTTCTCGTGCGTGTGTAGCGCGTATCCCGTTTGGATTTGATTGCACGACAGAGGCCATCGCTATCTTATCGGATGAGCCCCGCTCCGATTTGAAGGTGGCTCCGTCCGGCCGGCCGGCCGGTCGGGCAACCGGCGGGACGGGACAGTGGTGGAGGCACGTACGTACGCATGAGCGAGACCGCGCTATCGCCGAGAACGACAGAAGGAACAGCGCTCATATGTGCGCTAAACAGAATACGCCCTTCGCTCTCTTTGGGGGAAATTGCTGCACGTGCGCAAAGAACGTGAATCAGGAGTAGCCTGACAGATGGGCATGCCGGAGCGCAAGAATATCGATGCCAGGAGGAATGGTGGATAACTGGGCAGGGAAGGACGGAAGGTGGATGGAGCAGCGGGGAGCGCGTGGAGGAAACACTGTTTTGGTGAAAGGGTCGTCGTCGGTGGGCGACAGCGACGATCATGATGATGATGGACGTCCCTCTCCATCCTCCTAATGCTCAGAAGCGAGTTTCCTTTCGGCAGTCTAATGTGATCGCGACAAAAGTGTCTGCTCTCGTCGTATTTCCCCTTGAGGGAGCAACGACGCATACGCAAACGGACTTGATCCGGGAGCGATTCCTACGCGGGGCGGCCATCAGCCGTCAAGGCATCCCACTCTGGTCAAATAACACAGAATGAGATCTCGAGGACCCGCCTTCATCCTTTAACTCTCTGACACAGACGCCTGCTTTGACTGCACTCGCATTCATTCAATCGTCCTTCCTTTCCTGCTCGTCTGCTTCTCCAATCTTATTTATTGTTTATTATTATTCGTATCATCACTTCTCTCCTAAACCTCCACGCTTCTCTCCTCGAACTTCGACTTCCGTCACCGGATACAGCCTTACGAGAACAGATTTCTCGAACATCGACCTCCGCCGCGCCCCGACAGAAAAGACAAGTGAGACAGTACAGGAGCCAGCATAGAAGACTATGATCAGCGTCCTCGAACCCCGTCCACACAAAAACCTCGCCCTCCCAGAGTCTTCCAGCGTGCCCATTCACGCACCCTCCAACTTGAACACACTCCCTAAACCGCGTTCACACCCTTTGCCAACCCCAGCGCCATCTCCATCTCCCTCCCAGTCGTCCTATTCTGCTTCGGCCTCGTCTTCTTCGACATTCTCTAGCCCAAGCACAAATATGCTCGCACTTGGCGGCCTTCCAAGCACTCTTGCACCATTTTCTCGCTCGTTTTCCCCATTTACGCCCACATTCAGCCCTTCCCAATCGCGCCTGAGTGCCTTGAGACAGTGCATGCCCGCGACACCCGAGGACCCGTTTACGCACCTTCCCAGCATTGAGTCTGAGCAACTTGATGCTTTCCGCGGTTCAAAGAGCCGTGTTGTTCGCGTGAGTGTTATCTTGCATGCATCTCCGCTCAACCCGCTTTTCCGCTATAGAAAGATGCGCCGTTACTGACTTGTTTCTTCCATCCTTGTCTTCGCTATTTATGTCATTGTTGGTCGCCGCCCGGACGCGTGCCCGAATTCGCAAATCTTGTTTGTGCTTTTACACCGTTGATGGATTATTGGGTACCTTACCCGACCATCTTGGTTCGACGCGTGCTGATAACGTTCGAATGAATGGGGTGCTCGATTATTTCTTCTCGCGTTAATAACTCATCAAACGCGCAATATCGACTCCGCGTCTTGTCCCTCCGCGCATCAATTATGGCCTACACCTTCCATATCTATCTATCCATCATGGGTAATGCTCTTTCCGATTCGACTTTGCCTCGCGCTTGCGCGTCTGCGTAACTTTACCTGGCGCGATGTTTGATACACCGATGTCCAACGATGGGATCCGCGACATTCTTTTCCAACTCTCGCCCCTAATTCGAACATCTGCTCGATTGTCTTTGCATGCGCGCGCATGTGTGCTTAATTACTTCCTTCGGAACCTGTGGCACGAACACATCTGTTCCCTTCCTTCTATTCAATCTTGCTCGTCCAATTAAAACGGCTGGCCGAGAAGTTGAGCGACCTCCCCTCCTCACCCGCCGTCTTGACGCGTTCGCTCGTGTCTCTGTTTCCTCGTATCTTCATGCAGCCATCTGCGGTTAGTACGAGTGACAAGCCTACGCCTGTTAAAATGTGGACATTGCGAGAAAACGCGATTGGACAAGACTTTGAACGACCGGTTTGGGCGGTTTTTGCAAGTCATGAAGAGGTACGAATTTCTTTTCGTGTTGACCCCCTCTTTCTTTTTTGCCGGCCCTCTACTACTCCATTACATTACGAAGAGCAGTGGCTAGCTGGGCTGCGTAGGAATGCAATTGCGATTGTGCGGCCGTTTGTAGGAAAACGCGCAGATAGACCGGCACCGTTCGTGTATCCCTTCCTGGGACGCGATTCGTTCTCACTTTACGTACCGAGGAACCGGATTTTCTTGTTCGGTGTTCTCGGAACTGAGGACTTCGGAGTAAAGAGCGCGTTGCCTGGTTAATCTTGTTGATGGCTGCTGGTCTAGGGAACATATCGAAGGTTTCTGTGATCACCGAGTGATCGCCTTGCATCTTCATGATCGGATCGACATAATGAATTCGAAGGGAAAGTCGTCGGGAATTTTTCCTCGATGAAGTCTTTCCGGTTGGGATGGGAAGAAGGATTTGGGCGGCGGTCATACCGCGCGTCTAGCGAAGCATCAGTCGCCGCTTCATCGATCTTCTGTTGCTTCTTTTACTCCATTCAACTCTGTCCGCCGTTCTGACCTTGTCTTTCCTTACTCATCCTCACCTGTTCTGCCCAGTTTTTGGCGTCTCGCTGACTTGATTGCTTTCCCGTGAATGTTTTCCAGGCTTGCGCGGCAATCTCGCTCTCCGCGTATGACGCTTTGGCTGGTCATAGGGTGACTGTCGTGCCAGCGCTTGAGTCTGAGCTGGAACCCTTCTCAAAGCTTCAGTCTTTCGACACGCGGTTGTTTTCATCTGGCTTGGTGAGTATCAATGTTCTTAATAATCGTATCACGTGTCGGGATGGGAGTCGTTATGCTGGGCATTCCAAGCGACGTGTCGGATCCGAGAAGTCCAGATACATATGGGGTTTTGATGCGTTAGTAGCTTCCTATGCAATGGACGACGCAAGGAGCGACGTTGCGGTGTCAGGAGACATTGTGATTACACGCGAGAAGTACTTGGGTCGGGTATGCGTACGCATTGCAGTAACCCGATTTGTCGGGGAAGTTTGATGAATACAGCTGGTCCCGACAACCCACGGGCGTTACCCTTTCCCAGTCCTTCATTCTTGTTCCCGCTGCCCGATTTGCCATACTTGTATGTGCATTCGGGTGACTTGGAATGGATTCGAATCTGGAATCCACTGAGATACGCCTTGTCGTGGCGGTTGCTTCCCGCTTCTGATTGCGTGATATGAAAGAAGTGGAATGAACTGGAAGAGGAGTTCGATATGGGTTCTGCGGCGTCTCGCGGCAACTTCATCGTGCTTTCTCTTCTCGGCGTTGCCCATCTATCTTTGGCTTAAAACGCCAGCGAAGAATATCAAGTCACTGATCCCCCATGACTCTACTTGTTCAGGCACTGAATCGTACGACTCAATCCGCAGTGATGGGCGCACAGTCACTCCTGCGTTATCCGCCATCTCCTACGTCGACCAATGGAACTGGGGCGGAGACGGAAGCGGAACTATTCTTCCCAGACGCCCAAGATGACTTGGATGCTGCGTATGGACTCGGACACGCTTTTGTCCAATCCCAAGGCCTCGGGTATGGATCGGGGAACAACGATATGGTGATGTCAGCAATGAGCGAGCAGCCAATGCACGCCATGCAGGCGTTGCAAGTGATGCAGGCTTGCGGGTTTACCCTTTCCTCGAATCCGCCAAAAGCACGAACCGGATTCCGACACGGTGATTGGATGTGAGTCTTCTCTTTCTTATCTCTTTGTATTTTGTCCTATTCTTCTGTGGCCTCCGTGCTGAAGTGGCGGATGAGATGCAAGATGCACGCTATGAGCGGGTCGAATGAGCCCAGCCCTTCAAATAAAGATGCGATCAGGTGTTGGTCTACATTTGTAGCCAACCGGCAGCCGGTCCGGGACGAAGCCCGTTCCAGATGTTTCCCGATCGGATCAAGGGCGATCCAAGTCTAATTGAGACCGACGGCTCGGGTTAGCACTGCCTTGCGAGCCGCGTGCTTCCGCCTTGGGGTTGATAGCCGGAGAGTTTTGTCTCAGAAAACGGCGTCGTCATTTTAGCCGAGAGCCGAAAGGAACGAATCTGTGTGCGGGCAGACCGCTTGCTCACACACAGGCGTTTAAATCTATCCGTTCCATGTGTCCTTAACAGGAATACTCATTTCATGTGCTTTATATATTTTCATTTCTATTAGCTGTGCCGTCCCTGCCTGCGGTGCTCATAATTTTGGGTGAGTCCTTTTTCCTTCGTCATACGTCGTTTATAAGGCTGCCGATCCGCGCGTCGAGGAGTTCCTTTCGCTCCCCGTCCTCCCGCGTTTCCCCTTCGTGCCTCGTGTTGTGTCCTCCACATTGCCTCTCATTGTATGGCAGTTGCTGACGTCTACGATCCCCGCCTTGCTCCCTGCCCTCTCCATCGTTATAGCCGCAACGTCACTTGCATTCAATGTGCCGCGCCGCGCTCGACGAATCTCGGGCTGATGAATAATGGCCACGTTAACTCGATTACTTGCGCGAATGGCCCTCTTACTGCACAAGGCAGCTCAGTCACAACCACTGGCATGCGCAACATGTCCCCCCGTTTTGCCAACCCCATGAATGTCCAATCGCAAGTGCTGATGCAGGCTCAAGCATACCAGCTTCAACAGCAACGGCAGCAGCTCTCGAAAGCGCAGCTACAGGCCCAAGCTCAAGCGCAAGCGCATCCCCTCCTTACGCCAAGCGGACGAGCGTTTGCTGTTGGCGGAAAGGTGCAAAACATCTCCCCCGACCCTCTCGCGCCTTGCATCATGTTTTGGCCCGACAACGAACCGTTTCCCGACCCTGGACAGATCAGACCCGCGTCCCTTTCTAATGTTCATGTATGTCCCTGTCTTTTTTCTTTCACATTTTTTTCTCCTTAGCTCAGGCGTGCAATGACACTGACGAGCTCCGCCCGTACAGCAACCACCGATCATGAACACAGGGAACAAGGGCCCTATCGAGAAGCAACCCGGTGATTGGGTTTGCCATAAATGTGAATATCTGAACTGGAGGCGGCGTAAAGTGTGCCAAACTTGCTTCCCTTGTGAGTAATCACCTTCTTTCCCCTTTCATCTGATCAACTCCTGAGTGGGCGTTTCGAACTGACTCGATGTTATGCATTTTCAGATGCCGAAGGTAATGGTGACTCGATATCTGCTACAATGCACGCTGAGCGCCTAGCGCTTCTTGCTGCGGTCTATGGACAGTCTCATCCACAGATCATGAATGCACACGCAGAGGCCGCCCTTCAGTTCCCGGCACATGCGCAGAACTTTGTTTCGCTCCCGGTTACTCAGGCTTCAGCACAGCAGGTATCTGCTTCGCAGATGGCTTCACTCTCTTCACTCCCCAATATCCCCTTCACTGTCCCATCTTCTTCTCACCGCAGTCAACTCCCTTCTGCGCCCGCCCCTGTACGAGTTCCCGTAATGCCTGGCCTTTCCGTATCTACATCTTCTGCGAACCTTCGCGCGACGGCTGCGGGACCTATAAGCGGGACGAATCACCCTTCTGTGACACAACGCTCTGTATCGACTCCTGAGTCTTCACTCGGAGGTGGGAACATAGTCTATCAGACTCCGCCTTCCCCCGCTGTCGCGCGTCCGCCGCTATCCATCTCCAGTGCACTTGCTCACACATCTGGTCAAGCTTCCCCTCATTCTGCTTCACCAGCCCTCGCTGGCTCTTTCCTTCCGTCATTTTTTAAGAACGAAATACAGCCTTTCCGCGTTATCTCTCGTCCACATGCAAACGTAACTCAAGGTTCAGGGACTGGTTCACGCACCCCAGCTTCTCTCTCCCCCGCCTCATCGGCGAGTGCGGACTTACCGTTCGACGAGCATGATGGCCCCGCAAAGCCTGTTGGGGTCATTGGCAGCGGCAGGAAGTCTAGTTTCTATGCTCATCCTCGAGGAGCCGGCTCGGGTTCATCGATGGGTTCATCATCAAGCCTAACACTTGCTGGTGGTAGCATATGGAGTCTTGACCGTGATGAAGATAAGACGTGGAACAATGGCAATGGCATAATTTCTGCCGCGGAAGCTATGAAGGGATTGACTCTATGAGGAGTCCTCTGTTTCTTTTATCCATCTTGCTGTGATCATATTTCTTTCCTTGTGCTTATCTGCTGCTGGTGTGTATTTTCCTTTACATTGCTATCCATCGCCTCTGACACTGATCGCTGATTAGTTACATTGAACCAATCCTATTTATGCTGTATCCTGGATTTTTGAAGTTTTACCTCAAGAGATTTACCCGATAATCGCGCGCTTACACTGCGCAAAGTACCGTATATTCAAACAATCGACCCATGGCAGTCCTGCGCCACCCAAAACAAAGTCGAAATTGTGGACATGGAGCTGCTCCGAATGAAATGCACTTATCGTGACCCGGCATACGTTGCCGGTGGATGGAAATGGGATAAATTAAATTATTTTTCGCCTCAGTTGACTGTTCTTTTCAGTTGCCCCTATACGTGTCTCTGTCTGCTTATCTTCTCGTCTTTCTTCTTTCCGCATTTGACGATAGCTCTTGCGATTCTCACCTCGAAATACAAATAGCATGCCCGGTGGGAAGGATATTTTCTTTTACCCATTCTGTCTTTCTATCCGTGACCATATCGTATCTTATCATTCCTGACTCCGAAAAGAACTGACTGACTGTGGTGCTTGTGTCTCTTTACTTTTATCCTTACCCGATCTGTTTCCGCTTTTCATGTTTCCCTTTCTTGATCCGTACGCGCTTCTGGTTGTTTCGTGCCGCATCGTTCTTGCACCCCACTTACTTGATTCCCATATAAGTAGTTAAGTAGTCAGTTGTCTTACCTTTGTGTTCCGAAGAGGAGATTCCGAGTCGTTCTCCGTGCTTATCTCGATTGCGCATCCCGAGTGACTCATGTTTGCCTGTTTAACGTTACTGTCTTTGTTTGAATTGATGTCATTCTTGAGTGTCCTCGATCTTCAGACCGCATTCTTTGTCCCGTTCCTCATTCCTGCAGCATTTCTGCATTCTTTGTTCTCCTCGTCCGCATTGGTCTGCCACCCGGCTTGTGCTTAGCTGCCCCCTCCATCAGTACATTAATCCTGCTAATTTGCTTTTATCCCTCCATTGCCAAATGAGGTTCATCCACCAATTTATATATCTCTTTTTGAGGTGTACAAGTTGTCTACTGCAGAAAACGCATGCCCTTCTAAATTTGTTCTTATATGTTCTGCATAGTAGTACATACAAATGTTAACAGTACTATGCAACAGCTGTCGACTGTTGGCTCTGGTTCGAATGAATAGTATGTCGTTATTGAGTTCATACTGAGATGTGTTGTGTAACTTTAAAGTCTAGACATCTACATTATGCTCAGCGTGATTCGTCAGCAACACTATTCTTGAGCCCTATAAGATTTCCACATGTATGTCACCACCATGTGCTCGAGTGGCTCTTATTGTGTCGGTCTTAAGTACCGTTCATACATTACATAACAACAATGAATAACAATGTATATGATCCAGATTAACATGGGGAGTGTGCTAGGATGACATTGGACTAGTGCAGAGCCGGGTGAGGAGGAGGCTGTGTTGTATAGTGGTGATGCATATACGGCGAACATTTCGTCGTCGGAATTGGGGTGTGTAATTGTGCTGTGAGATTGATTAATAGTTTAATTTGGATGAATGGGTCTTGCGACTTAGAGAAAGGATTGACTTCAGAATGGGTCTGAGACTGTGGGCTGGGCTTGTCGGTCCGTTTGTTGCCCCGATTAGATGGGATCAGTCTAGAGGGGCCTAGATGTTATCAACGAAGATACTCTTCTGCATACAGCTTCCTATGTCAATTGAATATCGGCAGAATAGTCGGCTACGACTCCAATTTTTAGGTATAGAGGACCTCTACTTTGTTCTGAAATAAAGTGGACTGTGGTGAGCACATATGTAGTCCGTCACGGTACAGCCTTGTTTAGAATAGGGAGTGTGTGGGTTTTCGCCAAAGCTCCGAGTTCTCCCAAGATATTCAATAAACTCATTGTCACGGCGTACTCTTATGCGACTTCTTGCGGACGCTGTTCCAGTGGTTGTTGATCCGATTTTGCTGGAAAGAAAGGTCTAACCAATCACTGCAATCACTATAATACACTATTGGACCTGGTGATCGCTCGAGACAGAATGAACAAGTACATTAGTGAGACATACGCCGGAGCAGTCCTCTCGCCGACGGTGCCAATTATGAATCAGGTTCGGAGGCACCTCGCAACAGTTAGGATCAGAGCAACGAGGCTGGGCTGTACATACATATGTTCCTCGACCTCTGGATCATCGGAGTCGGTCAGTTGGCACAATTCTAGTTAAGTGGAGCCAAGACGTAGGTTTGATCGTCGGCTCTATGACTTGGCGATGCAGGTCGGTCTTCTGCCGTCTACAATAGGGATGAAAGATTATTCCTTCGGAGGCTGCGTTACCTTGTGCAGTGTGTAGTATACGAAGCTGTTTGTTGATGATGCAATTGCAGTCAACAAACCTCGAGCAACGGAATTAAAATCACATTTGGCAGTTACTCGGTCGCTAGTGAGAGCAGTAGCGCTAGAGGAGGGTAGTTGCATATTACACATACCCCGTAACGGCAACAATTAGGCGCTCCTAGGAGAGACATGAAAGGAAGACAACGTGGTGTGTTGAAAATATCACGAATAAACAGCCGATCGCTCCGCCATGGAATAGAGAGTACTCGGCATATAGTATTGGCTGGCATGGAAATCACATATCAGCCGTCTTTTGATTTCGAGATAGCTTCGAGGCACTATGTTCCAGTTGCTGCTTGTAATGATTGGAGGCGCGAACTATGTGAGACATAACGAAGCCAACTCCAAAGAATCACGGCCAAAAAGCCTTACTCCATATGTTACTTCCGGATTTCCCCTGTCATCGCGAAGTTGAATTCCGCACGCACATTTTTCAGCACGGAGTTTCAGTAACTTTCAACAAAGCTATAACTAAATCCAAGATAAAAGAGGGACGGACAAAGCATTCACGCATCAACCAAACAAAGGTCAAATTCTAGTGACAAGTGAACGCGAACAGGTATGGCATTACGAATAACTCGAGAGCAGAAAGGATGGAAGATGTTAAGAGAAGAGACTTGGTATTATGATATTTTTGTTTTGCGAGTCGTATGTCCTTGAGCGCAGAATGGTGAGTAGATTATATGTTAGATTGAAGAAAAGAAATCAAGGCGTTATCTCTTTGAGTAAGCGTAAATTATGTAATAAGTTGCCGCATCTGGCAACCAACACCTCTGCCAGGTACTTGTTTGTCGCGAGCGTGGTTGTGCTCTCAGGCTGCTGCTACTCACATCCACTCATCACTTAACTGCTGTGATTGCAGTTTGATTTCTGAAGAACCGTTCCTGGTCAAGTCTTGGTAGTTTCTGAAGTACGGGAGGACGCCGCATCGCTGCAATACAGACAAACGTCACGAGCCACGCGCCGAGGACGAGATGAGCAACTCTGCAATGGATGGTTCATTGAATACCACGCTGGAGTCAGTTACGCAGAGGACTTTGTACTCTCAGAACTTCAGTCGTTCCTCGTCACAAGCATCTCATGCGCTCACCGACCTGTTATCTCGATATGTTTCGCTCCTTGCGACCACTTGTGCTCGTTATGCTGAGCATGCAGGTAGAGCATCTGTGTCTGTACCAGATGCCATGCTAGCATTAAATGAACTTGGAGTCTCTGTCGATGAACTGAAGGATTATGTAGAAGGCGAGGGTCGTGAGATGTCGGTAGAAAACTACGCATTTCAAACGGAGGAACGAAGGGAGTGGTTTGTGCGGTTAAAAGGTCGGTACAAACAGAGACAGCCGTTTCAGTGCTTGCTGATACATATTTTCTGCGTTGTATTGTCTAGGAATCCTTAACGAAGGCCGAAGAATAGAGCATGACGACGCTGTAGCGCTTGTATACGCAGAAGTACCGGAGATGGAGTTGAATGGGCATTGGTCCGGGGGCGAAGACGACGCAGAAGCCAGCGAAGATGATGAATACGATTTGAGACAAAAGATGAATGGCGATGCGACAATGTATGAAGCCGAAATCGATGGTATTCGAATGGCGTCGCCAGTCCTTCCTCTCTCACCAATATCAAACCCGTCATCCCCATCAAGAAAACGACCACGATTAGCAAGCTGGAATCCCCCCTCTCACATCCCAGAATACCTCCCTCCATTACCGCTAGCTCGAAACGGAGATGTTGATCACCTACCTTCACCTCACGTCAAATCAGAATTGGAAGCGGATCACTCAGCGTTCATTACCGGGTCGGGAGGTTCAGAAGAGTTCCAGCCGTTGGACACGACGTCATCTTCTGCTGCTGACTATCTTACACCTGTACAAGCTAACTCGTCGAACTTGGCATCGGTACCTGCGGCTTTCCTTCCAGAACGACACAACTACAAGAAAGCCCTGTCAGGCCATAGCCATGCCTTACAACTCCAACCTCGCAAATATCCGACGCCAGATAAAGACCCAGCACTTTATAGCGCATACCATCATTTACTCACCAACCCCCCTTCATCATATCCGTCAACGAACCCTGCACGTCACCGTGTTGCATTGGCGATGTTGTATCAGGCATACTCTAATCCTCGATGGACGGCCGCAGACACTCTCTTCGGTAGTGCTGCTGCGCCGAAGCCCAGGGTAGTCGCTCCAGGACCGTCGTTCCCTATCCCAATTGGCCCTAAGGGGAAGGAAGATCAGCCCTCATTCATGCCACCTTCATCTTGGCGGTCTATAGCAGCGAACGAATGCGTGGCTCCTCCCAGCTATCAGCCAAGGTCTCGGATCCCAGATATCACAAGGGCGATTCTACCAGTAGGTTTTCTATGAGGTTTTTTTTAAATAATTGATACGAAGTTTTTCTAGTTCCCCGTGTTCACTCGAGCTACTAGACTAAATCCTCCGCCCCCACTTGTCAATAGCTCGACGAAGGAAAAACTCCTCTATGGTGCTGGTGTTCCCGCTTTGTGGAACTCAAACTCGACTAACCAGCAGGGGAGCACAAACCAGCCCGGGAAGAGCAAGGGAAACGTGGATGATGGAGGCGAAGATAGGCAGCATGCTCATAATGAGAAAGACTCCAATGTATTACCGGATGCGATGTTACTCGCAACATGGGATTGGGAGACTCATGATTTCCGCCAACCTCCTCCGCATCCCAAGCGCGTAAGGGCACTGAGCAGTTTCAATCTCAACTCGATAAGCAACGCCGGGTCGACCGGTGTTGATGGTGTCGCTCAGCCTGGGGGCCCAGTCCGAAAGAACTCGATAAAAATCGGCAAGGGGAAGTAAGGTATTTAATTGTAGACCGGGATAATCGTAATTCTATAATACGGGAAATCACTGCAGTTCTCTGTCTCCCTTTGTCCGAGTTTATGTCCTACATTTGCTGTGCTTTCCCTTGTCATAGTGTTTGTTATCTGTCGTTTGAATGTTTTAATGATCACAATTTTCACTTGGGTGAATGGGTCACGTGAAGAGAATAGACGCGATGCATGCGCGTGGATTTTGGACGCGAACTCTGGCTGTGACTACCGTCTAAGATAACTCTTGTATCGTTGCACTACATGACAGGCTGATTGCTCATGAAAATCTTGCTTTAATATAATTCCCTTAACTCAAGCTAACGTCCCATACGACGAAACACTCTCAGCAGCATGGCAGCATCAGGCGACGATCCAATCGTTGTCAATGCATACAGCTGCCCAGTATCTTCTGGGACTTGCTTTTTCAATTCACTTCGCAGGAAGAAGGCAGATGAAGCGCCAAGGAGTGAATCGAATCTACTCAAGTCCATCCGTGCTGCTTTCCAAGGGTCTGGTAAGGATCCGGACCCTTCGTTTCGCTCAACGACGTCCCCAGTCGTTGACGGTCAGGATGGGGAAGAGAGTTTGACATGGGATGAGACTACAGTGGTACATAGCGCAGGAGGAATATTAAGGCAATCATGGAATTTTGAGGAGGAAGGCCAGCGCGTTCAGTACGCGTGTTTCGGGTGGCTTATGATGGAGGGAACGATACACGCAGGTGGAACGGCTGGTGGAAGCTCGACGCGGGAAGAAGACGATCATCCCGGTCCTGTTCCATCTGAGCAAAAGCCAGAGCGGGATATATTTGGACCATTCTTCCGCGCAAGGAAGGCGCGAATGCGGACTGTAGAACCCACAACGATTGCCCGTGGGGTATATATCTTTCTTCGAAGCTTCGGAAAGGTGTTCCTCATGAACGGCCTTGAGTACTCGTTTTCGTTGCCTTTCATCGTTCATCGAGCGTGGCCACTTAGTCCGCACGGGGTCTTGTTACAGCGCGTAGTTGAGCCTGTCGAATTGGACGAGCCCGATCCATTACCGAGATTATACAGCTTGACAAACCCGTTCCAGGAACCACGACCCATTGGGATGGCTGAGGGTATAAAGGGTGGACATAGCTTTAGCCCTGCCACTGCAGAAGTCGATACTCATGAACTAAGGGCCTCACGAACAGTACATGCCGAAGATCAATTGGTATGGATTACATTGAGGTCACATAATACGACCGACACCGACAATCTATTCGCAACGATAAACGCAAGCACAAAGAAGCTGTCTCTCTGGAGATATGTTTACGTTCCGCCGAAACCTCTCCCTGTTGCTAAGTCTGCACCGACTCAATCTCCTCCGAATCGTCGTGGACAGCCCTCTGGAGAGAAAACAAATGCACAAACACGAACTGCGGGTCATAGTGGGAAGGACTTGATCGCACGTAGTGATCGTATTCGAATTCCTTCACCGGACTTCGAACCGACTCAAGCAGCGGAATTCAATGAAATGCCGCCGTTATCTTCAATTCCCGGTATGGCACCTGCGTTATCCAGTACGACAACACTCGCATCACTAGCTAGTGCGGGCTCTGGGATGCCGTCGTTGCCGTCAGGAGCAACCGCCCGAGGACGGCGGAACTCCTTGACACGGAATGACCTAACATCTACAATGGATCGTATGGTTTTAGGACGCCGTAGTAGCACTCAGAATCAGATCACCGCGCCAGCCATAGTAAATCAAACCATTTTACCAGTATACTGGGCAGAGCGACTATACGAACATACATTGGATGACGAGGAGTGAGTGGACTCTGCTGATCACGCGTTTTCTTTGTCAAGCTAAGATAACCTACAGTTCATTAGCGTGGATGAATCTGAGTTTTGCGGCATATGATCAGCGTTTCGACGGCAAGAAGGCGCGCTCCATCGTTGTATTGTGTCTTCCTGCTTCCAAGCAAGCGATTCACTTAGAGCTTTTTGCCCTGTCTGAAGAAAATACACTCAAAATGGAACTTCTGTCGACCCGACATTCAGTACGATCTATAGCTGCTGTGAAAGCCACAAGACCGCATACTTGGGATCTCCTTGTCCTTAAGGCCGATTTCAGTCTCTCTTTACTCACCTTTGACGATATGGAGATCCCATTACGAGTTAATTTTGCGGGACTCGGAGAGACACAGAATAGTCCGGTAGACGTAGAGATGGATAGCGATCCGTTTGACGAGACGAGCCCTCCGGCACCCGGCGACCCAAGGAATCTGAGGGTTGTTGGGTTGCAGGATCCATTGGTTTCAACCGTGAAGCTTATCCTAGCCGATGGCCGCATGGCTCAGCTCAAAGTTGACCTTACTCCAACCGACCAGCTAGTCGCTCACATTATTCATATCCTTGCACTTTATTGCAAACCGAAAGATTTCCTCGGAATATACACAGCATTTATTCACACCTGGAACGAAAATCTACGAAGTCCGCTACCTGACGTCCAGTTCGATTGTGTAGCTGAGGCCATCTTGAGGAACTGGGGTGTTGCTTGGTTGTCCACGGAAAATCCGCAAGTGTCATCGTCTTCTCCTTGGGAAGCACTTGTAAAAAGCTCGTCTTACTCTCGTTTGCGAGATGATGCGACCGTTATGAGGCTCATACCCATGCCCGAGCCTCCACCCCGCCTTCCGGTGTACAAAAATTGGTCTCGGTCTGAAAAAAACGCATTGTACTACTTGCTTATGGGTTTACATTTTCTTGGCGAGGAATACCGTCTTCTGGCCCACAGACATGAAGCATTAATAAGACTTTCGACGTTGACGTTGCGACTCGCTGAACTTGTTTGGTCTGGTTTTGCTGACCTTCTTAAGAGGCTGTATCCTAGTTCGTCAAGTGGGTGGACTTCAGGTGAGATGACGCTACCTCTCGGATCCAAGTTAGTTGACATTAACGATAGCCCATTGTCGCTCATTAGGTTATAACATCACGGACGATGACGAAGTCATCTATCCCAGGGACGTTTTTTCAGCTCTTTACGTGCTGCTTGTGACTCCTGAGCACCGACCTCCTTTAATCGATGCTACAATTAATCGTCCAAACATGTCTAACGCGTATGGACGCGTCGACCCGCATCCTGTTATGCGTGAATTCAACCAACTGTTCACCACACTGTCAGATTTAAAACAGTCCGATAGTCGAAAACGTGCAGAGGCGACCGTACTAATGATGGCACAACATCAGTTCGGTCTCGATTTTCTCAATCTTCTGCCGTTGACATATAGCATGCCGCTCCGTGAGGCTGCGCGTACATGTCAACTCGGACCTCCGCCTGATTGGCCTGTCGCAGCGTACGAATTCGTCGGGCGCAGCGATCTGACCGAGTCTGGGAAAATCAATGATGATCTTATGTTCAACGATGGCTATCGTTCAATGAAGGAGCATCTTGTAAGTCTGCAAAGAATGCGCTAGTCTTGCAGCGGCTAATGATCATATAATAGAAATCGGGCTTCTCCCGGAAGGCGTACCGCACAGTATTCGAAGAGGTCCACAGGGCGGTTGACCATGGCGAAGAGACGGTGACTGGCGTTGAACTCGAGATGACAGATTTCACCGATGTCCGATTCGGTCAGGATCGTCGATTGCAAGAAGTGGCCAGGATGTTGCGTTCATCTAACATCCCGTCTATACGGATGATTGATCGTCCAGATTTGAAGTACGTTGTACCATCACTTAACTGGAACGTCGTTCTAAATGTGTCCCATGGATTGTCTAGCGAGCACGACTTTGCGAAGGAACAGCAGATGCAGGTCTTGCGCACGGCAGAAAGGACTTTGGCACTGCCCATCGGACGTGCAATGTTTACCTTTGCGACAATCCCATCTGTAACAAGGGAAGTATTCACGGTGCCCAAAATTGAGTTGGCTATCCGTCTACAACCTCAAAACATTTGCATATCCCCTGAGCCAGGGAAAATGCTGCTGGAAGCTACCAACTGGGCGGAGTTTCACAACGGCGTCGCTGCTGCGTTGCGAATTTCGCCTTCGACTGGAGCCATCGACAGTTCTTGGATTTCATTCAATAAACCGAATGAGTTGACACCCCAACATGCAGGCTTCCTTTTTGGACTTGGGTTGACCGGCCATCTGAAGGAAATGCTGACGTGGCATACTTTCGGGTATCTGACTCCCAAACACGAATTGACGTCCATTGGAGTCCTACTCGGACTGGCGGCGGCCAATATTGGCAGTTGTAACAAGCATGTCACTAAGCTGCTTGCAGTCCATACACCAGCTTTTCTTCCATCACCCGATGTGGATTTGAACGTGCCATTAAATACTCAAGCGGCTGGCCTTGTCGGTATTGGGCTATTATATCTGGGTTCAAAGAATCGACGCATGGCGGAGGTAGCCTTGCACCAGATCAGTCGACCCGATCTTTTGCAGCCGGAATTTGGTAATGAAACTAGGGAGGCATACACCGTAGCCGCCGCATTGTCATTCGGTATGATAATGCTAGGCAGAGGGACTGCGACGACGAGTCCTGCAGATGTTGCCATTTTGTCTCGTCTTCGTGTCCTTATTCACGGTGAGGGGCCAGCGGTGTTCCAAACGAAACCGGTTAAACAATCATTTGATGTCAATCTCACTTCACCTGCGGCGACAATGGCACTGGGTCTAATGTACCTTAAGACGAACCGACAAGCCGTGGCAGACATGCTCACAATACCTGATACAGTTGCTGCACTCAATTATATTCAGCCCAATTTTCTGCTGGTACGCACGATAGCACGCAATCTGATCATGTGGAACGATATCAAACCAACGCGTGAATGGTTACTGAAGCAAGTTCCCGATCAAATCATGCGGATTATGGAGACCCGGATGCCTTATCAGACTGTGGATGATGCTATTGAACTTGCCTACTACCATGTAACTGCCGGTGCTGTATTTGCGCTAGCACTGAAATATGCTGGTACTGCAAGTCATGAGGCCTATTCGATTATCGCGGAGTTCTACGAGTTCTTCCGGAGGTCTTCATGGCACAACAGTACGTTAATTCATAAAATAATACTCTTATTCATCACTAAAGCTTCATTAGGCCCGAACTTCGATCATCGCATAAAACGCGCGGCGACTAGAGACGGTCTTAATCTTGTCACCCTGTCCATGGGTATGGTTATGGTTGGAACTGGGGAACTTAGCTGCTTGAAACGGCTTCGTTTGGCGCACGGGATGTATAATCAGCCGATTCGCTATGGCTCTCATATGGCGACACACATGGCTCTCGGTCTTCTTTTCCTCGGAGGAGGAAGGTTCTCACTTGGAACGTCCGATGCTGCCGTTGCGTGCATGGTAGCCGCCTTCTACCCGCATTTCCCAGCTTTATCATCGGATAATAGGGCATATCTTCCGGCTCTACGTCACTTATGGGTTCTAGCCGTCGAACCGCGGTGTCTCATTGCTCGAGATGTCGATACAAAGGAAGTCGTGTATCTGCCAATGAAAATCAGGGTCAAGGAGGAGAGTGGCGCGGTTGGAACTGCTCAGCTGATAGCGCCAACGTTGATACCAAGTTTGGACCGTCTGCTGTCGATTAAGATCGATACACCTCGATACTGGCCATTCTTACTTGATATCGCTCATAATACTCGTCACATGGGTGGTCTTCTTCAGTCTCAGACACTATTCGTCAAGCGAAGGACAATGTTCTTGAGCTATATGGAGGATCCAAAGGGTAGTCGTAGCTTGTTTGTACGGTCCGGGATGTCGACTGGTGATGCCGCAACTCTCGACTTCCCTCAGCTGACCGACACCAAGGCTCATCCCGCCAGTGATGTCCAGCATTACATCACATCACATTCGAACGACATCTCCTTCATTGCCTTCGCAGACAGACTGTGTCGCGGCGATGGAATCACGGAAGAAGAGAAGATCTTCAACAACTACTGTCACGCTGCACTACTGGACTGCATCATCCAAGACAAACCCCAAATGCTTACGTCCTACCTAGCTCTCTACCGAACCCGTCTCCTTAACCCACGATCCCGATACTTCCCACTCATCCAACAAGATCTTGTGCATCTGAACGCATTTTACTCCAACCTCTTCGATCGACGCTTCAGCGGCCGGTCAGAAGGGATTACACGCCCTGCTCTCCTCAGAGAGAACTCCGTATCCGGTGCACTCCTCGCTGTCGACAAAAAGCTGCACACCGTAACGCAACAACCGGAGTTCCAACGTGCCTTACGTGTGTACGTACTGAACCAGCTATCGAGCGAGTATTTGCGTGATAGTCCTGCTCATCCCGACGTTGAACGGAACCTGGCATGGTACTTACAACGCCACACAGTCCCTTACGCTCCGTATTTCCCTGTACTGCAGCAATTGGCAGTCGAGACTCTAGCAAAATATGAATCAACCGCACCCCCAGATGGCGTTGCCGGGACAGACAAAGTGAACGACTTAGAACAGGGTGTTAAGCTTATGCTGCACGCTGCAATCGCTGCTCAGCAGCGAGCATTTGGGAGTTGGACTATAGAGTCTTTCAATGACATTTTGCAGATATGGCAAACCAGTTAATATTATTTTTCTACCATTACTACTAACTGTATCTCGTATCAATGTAAACTACTACTGCATAGTCGGCAACAAGTGGAACAACAAGCTTGGGAGGCAATACCACAACTAACACATGAGAAAGAAGGCGTTTGGTACAACAATCAGGTCCATCAAAAAGGACTCAATAATACAGTACTTGCAGAAGTGATTGAAAAGATGCTGAGTGATGATAAAAGACGACCCGTACAAAAAAAAATACAACACCGGAAATACACACTAATGAACAATGGCACGAAGAGCCGATCGGGGCAAATTGAGGAAATACAGCATCATACGAGCAGTAAAAAGCAGAGGCCAGAATACAGAGGCACAAAGGCGTACGGCGAAGTTCAAACCCACTTCGACGATATCGTCGTGATTCTGCGTGGCCTCCAATACGAGCGTCTGACTAGAGTCGGTTGCGATGAAACCATTCTGTGGACTATGATCTTGGCCATCTACATCTTCTTCGATGATAGTCTCCAATGCCGGGGCACGAAACTTTGAGCGAGACGGAGTAGTAAGTTTGTCCACCACTGGAGCACGGCGATGTGGATTAACTTCTTCAGCGAATTTGTCAACGAGCCTCGAAGCAAAGGCCCAAGCAATCGCTGAGATAGTCCACGGTAGTGCGAGCACGTCCCAGAAGATAGCTCGCAACCGTGCACCACGCATATAAGAGTCATCCGAATGTATGCGAGTTTTGCGGTCCTTCGCATGAAGGTCAAGTACGTATGTTTCCAAGACGCTAAGTCGTGCTTCCCAGTCCTGAGATTTTGTGAACGCCTCTGCCTGATGACGTTTAATACTCGTATCAATGGCGTCAATGGCGTCCGCAAGTTCATCCCATTCGCGAGAAAATGAACCGTTCAAATCTACCAGACGCTTGTCCATCGAAGTGAATTTTCCACGAAGGTCCGAAATTTCGCTGTCGAATTCCGCCTTTGGATCCTCATACTCTGCAGACTTTTCTGTGTCTTCACGGGATTCTTCAAGAAGTGTCGTCAGTGCACGGCTGCGATCTTTGAGGCGCTCTGAAAGATGTGTCCATGGGCGTATGCCAGTCGCTAGAACGAACAGCGAAGTACTGAACCAGGACAAAGTATTTGGATTTCCGGAAATCGAAGTCGCGACATACTTGAGTAGAGTCGCACCGAGGAAAGGAGAAAGAACGGTAAGGACAAGATAGAATAGTTCGAGAGATCGAAGCTCGGAGTAAGCCGAAGCCTTTATGGGGTGTGCATCCTTCGCGGGTGGAGTATGAAATCGTTCCGAAGGGATTGACATGCGGTACAACTTCCACGGAACTATAAAATATAAAATATATCAGCATATAATTATTGTCGATAATTGAAAGGGCCTACCTTCAACGAGCTCGTGCAAGTAATAAATAAGCAGCAAAATTAAAAGAATATTCTTGATATGATCGTTCCCAGTCAAGATGTTGCCTATGGGTGACACCAGGGCAACGATAATAGACAGGTCGAATCCGAACCAGGACGAACTAGACGGTGATACATTGTCGCGCTCCCGCCTCGCACTGCGGAAACTAGTCGTGCCACGTTGTTGAGCACGAAAGCGTGTTTGAGGCGCGCTCGTTGACATACGAGGAGGGAGCTTATGGGTTGAATCCGCCACCTCTGACTGGATAGGAGGCGGCTTCTCTTCTGACGTCGTGGCATGGGCAATGGTTATATTATCCTGACCCGACGCGTCTGTGCTAGGGCTTGCAAGTTCATATTCGCCTTCGTTGCTTCGACTTGAACATGAGAAAGTCGATGAGAACGAATGCGACATACTCTCACTGCACGGTTCCTCCGGGCTGATGTCCTCTGCATCGTGGTCTTTGCCACCATGATCGTCCTCATGCATGACACGCAGGTCAGAAACGGGTGAAGAGTTGAGTGGCTTGAAGACTGCTAGACGCCGACGAAGGCCAGTCACCTCCGTCGACATTGAAGGAGTAGATAAAACAAGGTGAAAGAGTATAAGTCCTAGTCGACGCGCTGAGGACGCGCGTGGTTCACAAACATGATGTATGGGGCTGGACGGGAGGATGGCGGTGAGCACGCGACTTGCAGTTCAGCACATTCCTAATTTGGGCATAAAGGATCAGCGTCGAGTTGAGTCAATATTGCTATCGCTCGTATCATGATGCATGGCAACATATAAGTATTTCACTGAGATGCTCTCATACACTGTTACAGCTAGATTCTACCACATTCGCCACTTGAAGGTCCATTAACATTGAATCTGGTGACAGCACCAGCCATACAAAGCGATCGATCGTAACTTATGGTAAGTGTGCAGTTCAGGTGCTTTGTATATTAAGCCACTATAATACAGGAAGGTAGCGTAGTCAGTACATCTAATCAGGGCTGGTAGTGAGCGACGGAGGACTAACAGACGATGCGAGTACGTCAGATGCTTTCCATCGCAGTGTATGGTTGAGCGCTAATAATCCTCTGGCTATTGTTTGTGCCAAATTACGTTCATTAGCTGGGCAATGTATGAAACAAGCAAGCAGATTACTCGCCTTGTATTTCCGCTTTCCATTGCTTCGTATCCCAATGCTTCTCACTTTTAAGCTTATAGAACTCGGTCCTTCTCCTTTACAAAATGCTTCGTATCAGAGTCATCTTCCGAGCATAGGGAAAGCAACTTACGCTATAGTCTTGCAAGGAAACGTATCCCAGCCGTGGAATAACTCCCAGAGTATTATGCTAGAATAAATAATGAAATCATTACAGTCTCTTCTCAACCCTATTGACTCACCCAAGTGCAAACGTATCCGTTCCATAGTAAATAATTTGGTTTCTTAGGGTATCTGCACGTTCAGGAGGAAGGTATTTTTGTGATCCACCTCCTCTTTTAGTTATTGTCAGCAACAGTGTAGAGGGGACCTGAAGGCTCAGCAAGGGGACCCAGGCTACAACTATCCTACACAACAGAAATACAGAATGCAAGCACTGGAACATAGTCAGAACTTACAGAACAGGTAGAGAGAGAGAGTGAGACAAGAGTAGAGTATATAGAGTGAGCCTAAGAGTACAGGACTACCTAGAGTAGACAAGATCAAGACTACAGGACCAGTCTGATCTTATATGCCTATATATACTAAACTACACAAGAGCACTCAGAGAGTATGAGCCACTTAAGAATGATAAGCTACAAAGAATGAAAGAAAGGAATGTTAAAGATAAAGGTACAAAGAATGAAGGGATGGACAAAGGGTAAGAGACTATAGAATGATACAAAGAATGAAGGGGTAGTCAAAGGAATGGAATGATGAAGTAAGGAAGGGTAGTAGCAAGAGTCAGCACACATATAGTCTATAGACAGTGTCCTTAAGGGACAGAAGTCCTGAGTTCTAGTACAGAAGAGTGTAGAACCCTCAGAACTGAAGGTATGAGAGTAGAGAACTGTAACATTACCCCCCCTCTAAAACTAATCATCCTAATTGGTAAACATTAGGTTTGGTCAGCAGCTCAAGTATAGGTTAGAATAGTAGGGTTTGGAAATCTGTAAGGTAGAGTTGACACAGAGTACCCAGATGAAGTTGATAGAAGTTTCAGATTGCCTTAACAGTATGGGTGAGATTCTCAACAGGTTCCTAAGTACATTCTTCAACTAGGTATCCCTTCTAGTAGATAAGGAACTTGAGCTTTCTATACACTAGCTTAGTATCTACTACATACTCTACTTTGTATTCTAGTTTGGAACTAATGAGTTCTGGTAGAGGTAGTGAGGGTCTTTGTTGTAAAGGAAAACCTAGATTATAGTACTGAGACAGTAGAACCTTGTTAAACACTGAGTGTATGTGCTTTCATGTTGCTAGAAGTTGGAGTTTGTAGGCAGAGGCACTAACCTTCTTTTTAATAATGAAGGGTCCAAAGTACTTGTTGTCCAACTTCTTTATTAAGTAATTTGTGGTCAGGTTAGTAGCTTCTAGTATAACTTTGTCACCAGGCTAGTAATCCTCAGCCACAGACCTCTTCCAATTATAGTTCTACTTTATGACCTGTGCTACCTTTTCCAAAAGAGCTCATGTATCCTCCCTAGTTCTGTGTATCTGTTCTACAAAGTCTGTTACAGATTCAGAACTGTTGTTCTGGTTCAGAACTGTCCTCTAGTACAGATGTCTCTCATGATTGAGAAAGAATGAGGACTGTCCTATTATAGAGTGTTACTAGTTATTGTGTACAAATTCTGTCAGAGCTAACCATTCAGACCAATCTGATTACTAATGATTAATGAACATTTAGAGGTAGAGTTTGATCTCCTGATTGACTCACTCAGTTTGACTGTCAGTCTACAGGTGATAGGTAGTAGAAGGGTTCCCTTAAATTCTAAGAAGTACATACAAGTCCTGTATAAATTTTGACTCAAATTGTGGTCCATAATTATGAATGAGCTTCTAAGGGAGTCTGTACAACTAGAAAACATGATCCTGATAAATACACACTATACTTTTAGAAGTAAGTTCTGTTCAGGTTGGAACTGTATAGACTTACTTAGAGAATCAGTCAACAATCATATAGATAGTGTTGTAACCCTGAGACTCAGGTAGCTTACCAATCAGGTCTACTAAGACTTCTTCCTAAGAGTGATCTAGAATCTAATACAAATGTAGAGGAGCCTAAACCCTTGTCTAGTAAGCCTTAGTCTGTTAGCACATATTGTAACTAGTCACATACTTTAGGATTTCCCTCTACATTCTAGACTACTAGTAGTTCTGAGTAATGAGTTCCTGTGTTTTGTGTCAGCCTAAATGTTCTATAGTTAGATTGTTGTGATAAGCTTAAATAATGTCCTCCTACAGCTTCCAATCCTTTAGAACATACAGTTGGCCTTCCTAGTAAACCTGTCCATCCTTATCCTCCTCCTAATCCCTTGCCTACTTCTCTAACTACTTTACTACAACTTAGTCCTGTGTGTGTCTTAGAGCTTACTATATGTGAGTAACAAAGTCAACATTCTTGGATTCAAGTCAGATCTCTTAGATTGTCTTAGATACAAAACAGGAATTGTCTAGGAGAACAAGATTTTTGTTATCATTCTCCCCCCTTTTATAACCTACTTGTTTTAAGAGTAAATTAGTTTTCATCATTTGTGTTCTAGGTTTGTGAGTTAGTATAAAGTTAAAGTCCTACAGTTCTAACATTCAGTAGGCTTAGTAGTAGTTAAGCTTCTAAAGTGTCTGAAAGTACTAGAGATTAAGGTGATCACTCTAAATCTTAAACTTCTGTATAGTACTAAGAAGATATTAACACTACTCCTCTAGAGAACAGACAATTGTAAGGAGTTCCTTATTATAAATAGAGTAGTTCTGTTCTGTTACAGAGAGGGATTCTGATCAGAACACTATTGAACACTACTTTCTGTCAATAAACTAGAACAGTACTACTCTATTTGTAAAGTCAGAAGAGTTAGCTTTGACTCAGAACTTGTCTACAACTGTTAGAACTACTAATACAGGCTTGCTAGTAATAGTCTACTTGAGAGACTCAAACACAGACTACTACTAATCATTCTATTACTAAGGAACATCTTTGCTGGTGAGATTGTAAAGGGGTCAGACAATAGTACTAAAGTCTTGAATAAAGTATTAGTAGTAGTTTACAAACCTAAGGAATACTTAGACCTGTTTCAGGTTCTAAGGTTGTAACCAGTTCCAAACTGTAGTTACCTTTACTGGATCCATACAGACCTCTCCTCCACCAATCACAAAGCTTAGATAATCTACTGACTCCTGTGTAAAAGAGTACTTTACTTTTTAGAGGAACAGTTTATTATCTTAGAGCTGTTGTAAAACTGTTTAGATTAGTTAGCAATAGTACTTGACTGTCTAGGTGAAGATCAGAATGTTGTCTAGATACACACTAACATACTCTAAGTCAATCAGATCTGTAAGAATGTGATTCATGAATGACTAGAACATTGTAAGCAAGTTAGTTAGTCTAAAGAACATTACAATTAGTTTGTACAATCTGTGATTAGTTTGGAACACAGCCTTCTACTCATTTCTGTCTTAGATCCAAATATTATTGTATCCCTATTAAACATCTAACTTAGTAAAAACTCTGAATGTATGTGTCTTATTAATGAGCTCCTAAATTAGGAGGAGCAAGTACTTGTTTTTGATAGTGCTCTCATTAAGACAATAATAATCCTAGACTAGGTAAAGCTTTCTATCTTTCTTTTTGACAAAGAAGAAAGGGGAGGCTATAAGAGACTTTAAGGGTTGGATCCAGCTATTCTAAAGATTTTCCTAAAGGAACTTGTTAAGCACCTCCTACTTGTCTCTGTTAAGTAGGTAGACCTTACAATCCTTAGGTTGGAAACCCTTAGTCAATTCAATTACATAGTCCTAGAAACAGTGTTTAGGAAGCTGGTTGAATTTCTCTTTACTAAAGACTTTAGGGAACTCTTAAACAAAATCTGGCAGGCTGAGTCTATGTGTGTTCTAGAGTAGAGTTGTTCTGAGAGGGTTCTAGACTAGTTCTGTCTCAGACATCCTTTAGATCAACTCTGTTCTACTTTGACTAAAATATGTATTCACATATCTATCCTAATCAAAGAAGAACAACTAGTCACCTTTATTAGAACTGTTAGTAACATTAGAAGTGTCTGTATCTACTCAGAACAGTAATACAAGATAGCTGTAAGACTTGAGACACTAATTGAACACAAGCATCTACTCTAACTAGTTAATAGTAGGGTTGTAAGCCTTAAGCCATTTGAATCCAATAAAGACATCTGTCTTTCTAAGGTTAGTAACTCTAAACTCAATACTTTCCTTATAATCCTGAATAGTCATCTGTAGTTGGACAAACTCAGTAATCTGACCATTCTGGTTTAGGGTTCTGTCTGTATTATATACTAGGATTGAAAGTAGAACACATTAAGTAGAGAGGTAGTGTTCCTACACAAAGGCCTTATTAATGTACAAACTAGTACATTTACTGTCTACTAGAGCTATTGTTCAAATCTGGGGGGATCCTAAGAAGGGAGCTAAGAGGATAGAGACCTAGAGCTAGTACTTAGAACATTCTCAGATAAACTACTACTTGTTCTAAAGGGAATGTACAGCTTGTACAGTCTTGTTGTCTAAGAGAGTAAGTATATACACTAACATTTCCTCATTAACCTCTCTCTTTCAACAAGGACAGACTCATGTCCTTAGTTGTAAACTCAGCTGAGACTATCCCTACTTAATACTATAGACAAACTACTAAGTAGTAAATAGGGCTAAGTAGTGTTCTGAACATTCTGAGATCTTAGAATACAAAAGTAGTAAGTTGGATTGTGTAGATTTAGACTTGGATAAAGTGTAAAGAGAAGAATCAAAAGAATCAGAAGAAATAGGAGAACTATCTACTTTTGTTTCTGACTTTTTTCTTTCTAATAAATAATTTTGTTAATTTATTTTTTTATTTTTTCTACTTTTTCTACTTTTCTTACTTTATTTACTTCTAATCCTACAGTGTCTATTGAATCAAAAGTGACCATTAAAAAATCTGAGTCATAGCCCTTTAGTACTGTATTTACTGTTAAGCCTTTACAAAATCCTAGAGTATATAGTTAGAGTCTAGGAGTTCTGAGGTGACTTCCAGATTTGTGGAAAAGGCTTCTTACTACAAATCCTACTTATTACTTATTATTACTCTAATAACCTGACAGATATACTGTCACTTCTGTAGACAGTCCTTAATCTAGTGTTCTGACTTTCTGTAGACAAAGTATGCTCCTTACTTTCAGGCTTCTCTAATGTCTATCAGAACAGATTGATTGTAAATTATAGGCAGATCAATCTGAGAGCTCAGAACTGTTAGAGCTAAACACATGTGTAAGTGTTCTGTACAGACTTAATGTATCCAAGCTGTAGCTTAGTCAAAGGAGATAGTGTGTGTCTTCCACTCAGTGTAAGTGACTAGTTCTAGTGTCATTCTAAGAATCTTATTAAGCAGTTCTAGGTGAAGAGCTTTTTCAAGCATTCTAATAAGAACATTATCAAACCTGAGTACAAATCCTACCTTCTAGGCTAGAATATCAAACTCCTGAAAGAAGGCATTAGTAGAATGTTTGCCCTGTCACAGAGACACAAGCTTGTTCTACACATTGTACTTCTTATTCAGATTAATGAAGGAAGTACAGAGCTGCCCTATGAATTCCAAGTATGACTCATCATTCTAAAGTCAGATCAGGCTTCTAATCTAATAGTCTTCAATCCAGTTCTAGGCTCAGGTGGTTGTGTTACCTTCCTTCATGAAGGAGAGGACAAATAGGACACAATCAAGATTTGAGGATAGATTAGTCAAAGTAGTAGCTACATATAGTTTAACTTAGTACTGGAAGTCCTCAAAGTGCTACCTATTAAAGTCTAAAGGGTAGGCTACATGTACTTTCTTTCTAGAACAGGTTGCAACTTCCAGAACAATTAGAATGAGTTCTAAAGGGGCTGGGGGTATGTAGTTAGTAAAGGCCTCTTAGATGAAGGTTTACACATATTAAGCTAGTTCTACTTGTAACTACTGATCTGGTAGGACAGTAGGGGTGACAGTCAGTGTAGGAGGGTCTATGTTTATACTACAAAGGAATCAGCACTAAACTAAAAGGGGTAATGAATAGAAGAAGGGTAGTAAAAGTTTAAAATTTAGAAATGTAAAAGGGTTAGGACAAAGAAAAGAGATTGATACAATAGTAAGTACTAATGCTTGAAACATAGGAGAGTTGTAGGGTGGTAATGGGTAGTCTTAATCTGATGTTAGTAACAGTGTAGAGGGGACCTAAAGGCTCAGTAAGGGGACCCAGGCTACAACTATCCTACACAACAGAAATACAGAATGTAAGTACTAGAACATAGTTAGAACTTACAGAACAGGTGGAGAGAGAGAGTAAGACAAGAGTAGAGTATATAGAGTGAGTCTAAGAGTACAGGACTACCTAGAGTAGACAAGATCAAGACTACAGGACTAGTCTGATCTTGTACACCTATATATACTAAACTACACAAGAGTACTCAGGGAGTATGAGCTACTTAAGAATGATAAGCTACAAAGAATGAAAGAAAGGAATGTCAAAGATAAAGGTACAAAGAATGAAGGGATGGACAAAGGGTAAGAGACTATAGAATGATACAAAGAATGAAGGGGTGGTCAAAGGAATGGAATGATAAAGTAAGGAAGGGTAGTAGCAAGAGTCAGTACACATATAGTCTATAGACAGTGCCCCTAAGGGACAAAAGTCCTGAGTTCTGGTACAGAAGGGTGTAGAACCCTTGGAACTGAAGGTATGAGAGCAGAGAACCATAACAGTTATAAGCTTTGTCAAATCTTCAGGTATCCACTTGGCTCTATTACCCTGTTACTCTGGAACTTAATATGTTCTACAATACAATAACTTACACTCTAAAATCTGCAATCCTAAGTCCTAATGTGCTGACACTCATTAGCAAAACATTTTGTGGTCTAAACAAATTTATAAATGTTGGATCAAATTATTTAAGAAATGTACCCACTTGAAGTCACAGTGAATGCAATTTTGATCATACAGGAATTGTAACCCTTTACAGAGTTGCCTTCAAGAGGAGCTTTGGAAGTATACAAATAAAATGTACTGTATAAAGTACTTACCTTATAATAGATTTTGCCTGACTCACACATTCTTTTGCAGCTTCATATGTAGTCAAAGAAAACAAGAGTTCTAAATCCTATCTTGAGTTTTAAATCTAACTTAACACATACAAATCAATAAAAGATACTACTAGTTGCTCACAATGTTTTCATGTCTCCCAATTTTTCTCATTGTTTCCCACTCATTTAACTGCTTTTGTTGTGTTTTGCTTGTCCCATCTCCTTTGAGTGCTTTTACTGCCACGACTTCAGACCAATTTTCTTTCTGGCATTTCTACCAATCTTGCAAGTAGATGGTAGTAAGATATACAATAGTTTAGCTTACAGAGACTGTTTAATAGACTCACAAATACTGTACCAAAGTGTCCCTGGCCTATCCTCTCTAGCAACAAAAATCCCTGTTCTGTACTTCCTATTATTGTAAGGTCGGGCTCATGTAATGCTTGTGGTGGTAGAGTTGTAGGTCTAGTTAAAGTGGAAACACAATAAGTAGAAGTTGGAACAGAGCTTCTACGTTCGGTTGTATATGTAGATAAGCCTGTCTGAGCTGATACTCTCTTCACAATAGCTAGTTTCTCTTTCTTCTTTTCCTTTTTATGATGAGGCATCTTAGAGTCGTATTGCTTGTGTTAGAGATAAAGACATTTGAGAGTGTTGCAGTTTCTGTATTGTTACAACTAAGGAGCAGTAAAAGGAGTGTGGAATAAACAGAAATGTATTGTCACCATCATAGTACACATCCTGCTCTTATGTACTGTAGTATTTTGCTGGTACACAGCAGGCATATAGCTGTGTGGTATGCATAAGTGCATTGATGTGAATCTCTCATTAGACAATAAAAGGTACTTTTTAATGCATGTCACATATAGTGTCATGTTTACCAGAAATCATCTTGTACATAAGTAATTGAGCAAAGTGTTGTTGCTCATCAGATCGAGCAGGTGGCATCACATCACACAGTAACGGACATGTTGTTTGCAATGATGCTAGGAAACAACTTAAGCCTCTGAGAGATATTATACTGTGAATCACACCTGTAATTAATTGCACACTACAGATTGTGAAATTCAGGAATAATCAGTTTGATGTGAAATAAATCAATATTAAGGTTAAGCAGAACAATTGATTGTAGTCTAGGTTAAGCAGCAGTGCAGAGTTGTGATATGTGTGAAGGGTGGATAGTAAGTAGCAAACACACAATATTGCAATTCAGTGTCTTATTTGGATATTAAATGTTCAGTAGGGACCAGTTCAACAATGTCTTCTCAAGCACTTAATGTTGACAGCATGATTGATTTTATCATGTATACTCGGGCTTCTGGATGAAACTCTTGTATATGTATTTTAACAGTATGACAAGACACTACTACATTGATCACCAAGTGTCTATTGACGTTAAGTATTAATCAGCAACACCAGTTACGTATGTAATTAACTAAGTCATCCACTATAGTGTAGAGAGGGACGTGGTCAACAATTATGAGCAGATTTAGAAGTGTATTTCAGAGAACTGACTTTTGATGCAAGCACATCGGATGCTTTCCATCGCTTTCTATAGTCAAGAGCTAGTAAACCTCTTGCTACAGTTTGTGCTTGATCGCATTGATTAGCCAAGTGTTTTGTGAAACAAAGAAATACACAACTTGCCATTTATGTGTACTTTCCACTGTTTCGTATCCCAGTGCCACTCATCATTAAGTTTATAGAACTCGATTTTTTTTCTTTTGCTAGAACTTCCATGTCAGAGCCGATCTCCAGAACAGGGTAAGGCAACTTACAGACTGGTATCACAGGGAAATGTTTGCCATCCATGGAATAACTCCCAAAGTATTATACTATAACAAGATAAGATACAGTACAAGATTGCTACAGGGTGCCCCGAGATTGTTCTGCTTACCCAAGTGGAAACGTATCCGATCCAGGGCATATAATCTGCTTTTCTGGATTTTCTACACGCTCTGGAGGAAAATATCCAACATTGCCACCAGCTGAGGCAATTAATTGCTCTGAATAGCCCTTTGATATCCACTTGGATCTAGACAGCAAGAATAATTACTCAGTAATGCAATATAGTTGATTTTAATGACTTACAATCCAAAATCTGCAATTCTCAACTCTAGCAGATCATAGCTCATTATTAATACATTATCTGGTCTAAACAGACCTGTCAATAAAAATCAACAATATTAAGAGGCAAGCACACTTGAAGTCACAGTGTATACAATTCTGATCATGTAGAAACTTCAATCCCCCACTAAGTTGTCTTAAAAAAAGGTAATTAAAAAGGTAATGAATTTAATACCTTGTACTTGCCTTATGATAGACTTTACTATAGCAATATCCAAAAGTTTTGATATACTCATAAAATTTTTCAGAGTGCCTTTTGCAGCATACTCTGTTGCAATGCATCTATAAACATATCCATTGCATACATATTCAAAGAATGCTAGAGTATCAAATCCTATCTGAAATTTTGGACAAGTATTAATATATTAGTAAAGATATTTAGGTACATTGCTCACAATGTTTTTATTTGCACCAATTCTTCGCATTGTATCCCACTCATTTAACTGCCTTCTTCTTGTTGTATCTGTTCCATCTCCTTTAAGCACTTTTACTGCCACTACTTTCGACGACTTTTCTCTCCGGCATTTCTATAAATCCCAGTATAGATGAAATTAATATGTATAGGATAGTTGGATTAACTGACAAAAGGTTCTGAACAGACTCACAAGCACAGTAGCAAAGTTCCCCTTGCCTATTCTTTCTAACGATGTAAATCCCTTTACAGTACTTCCAATTCTCAGAAGATCAGGTTCATAAAGTGGTTCTAGAGGTAGAGTTGAAGACCTTGCAAGAGTAGAAAAACTGTGCTCAGAGGTAGGAAGAGTGCTTCTACGTTGGACAGTATGTGAAGGTAAAACTGTATAAGTTATTTTCTTCTCTTTACTATGACCATGACTATGAGCCATCTTTCGGCTTGAACTGCTTACTGAAACAATTAAATAAATGAGAAAGATTGAGTAATGCTTTTGTACTATTACTACTAGAATGTAGTAGGCTGGTAGCAAGGTTAAGTAGTGTTGCAAAGCTGGCACTATCCAGCTTTTATACAGCTCAGTTTATTTTGCTTCCAACTGCCAAGCAATGTATAACTGTTTAGTAGATCTGGAAGATGGCGCATGTACTAAAATAATGTTGATATGCTAATTTAGGCGTGTGTGCAAACTACTCGGTGGGTCATACCTGCAATGTAAGAGACAATACAAGATACACAAACATAATAAGCAAAGAAGTTCTGATTATTGTAGAATATACTCAGACTGAGCTAAATTAACCTTTGGATATCGAATTGTTCTACCACCTAAATGTATTTCTCACTGACAGACTCGTGCTTTTAAGTAAGATTGATGAATTCCACTGCATTGAACATTGTACGCCTACAAGCGTTAAGTGTCAATGAGTGATACTAGTCATAGTAAAAGATAGACTGTAAATGCGAAATCTACTAGTTCAGCCACTATAGTACAAAAGGGAGTCTAGTTAGCATATTTAAACTTAATTAGAAGTGGATTTCAGAGGACTGACACTCAATGCAAGCATGTGGGATGCTCTCCAACGCTTTGTATAGTCGAGAGCTAGTAATCCTCTGGCGACCGTTTGCACTTGGTTAATGAATCAATCGAGTGTTGCTATAAAACAATAAAGTAAATGGCTTGCCTTTTATGTCTAATCTCCATTGTTCAGTATTCTAGCAACTCTCATCTTTGAGCTTATAATACTCTTGATGATCACTTATACCCGAGTTTCATGTACGGTTTGTCAAACTCGATGTTAGACTGTAATAGAACGGGCCTTACAGAGTTGTATGACACAGAAATGAATACCACCTGTTGAATAGCTCCCAAAGAATTATACTATAATTAACTATCAGATAATTACTGTAGTACACCTGTGACTGTGTCAAACTCACCCAACTGGCCACATATCTGTTCCAGACGAAATATATTTTCCCTTATCTGGCACATGTTCAGGAGGATAATACCTAACTGTCCCCAAACTTATCACAGGTTCTTAATGCTGTGACACCTCTAGATATCCACACAGCTCTGTTTAGTATGATTAATTGACTCAAGCTCAGATTATGGGATCTAAGCTCTACATATGTGCCAAAATCTGCAATCCTGAGTTCTAATAAATTGGTATTTATAAATAGAATGTTTCCTGGTCTAGATCAGAAATGTAAATACTTGAGCACAGTATTAGGTTAGATTTTTTACTTGATATCACAATGAATACAGTTCTTAGAATGTATAAAATTTAATCCTTGACAAAATCAGCTTTGAATCAAATGTTAGAAATGTATGAATAATATTAATGTAGATTACTTACTCAATAATATTTTTCATCTTGCTTTTGTGTAATACTTTTGCATTTTTTATTAGTCCTTCAAGAGTGCCTCTATTTATATATTCCATCACAATACACCTATAAACAGTTCTATTATATGTATAAGCAAAGAAGATTAGAACAGAATATTCTATCTTTAAACATTATTTATAAACTTTGTCTATAAATAATTAAAAAGACAAGATTATGTACTTACAATATTTTGATGTGTTCTAAGTACTTACAGTGTATTAAACTTGTCTAGCTGTTCTTTTCTTGTTTCAACAGTCCCATCCTCTTCAAGTACTTTTACTACTACTACCTGTAAAGTACCTTTTGTTGAGCATTTCTATAGATTCAGAGATTTTCAAATAAAGGTGTATAAAGTTTGTTAGTAATACTATACAGTTACTAAGTTGACTTACAAGTACTACACCACATCTTCCTTCTCCTAATTTCTTTAGTAATGTATACCCTTTTACTGTACTTCTAAGTCTTCTAAGATCTGCTTTATAAGAGTGTTTAAGCTGAGTTAGTAAAGTTTGAGACCTGTTAGAAGAATAACTTTGTTGTACTTGTCCTAGGGTAGGAAACATGTTTCTATAATGAATAGTATATAATAAGGGTTCTACTGTATAAACTGGTACAGTATTTTTGACAAATCTTTCTTTACAACTATTACTATTACTATAACTGTAACTATGACTATAATAATAACTATAAAGTATCTTTTAGTTTGTAATGATTTGTTTACAATCAGATAGATGACAAGTAATAGAATTTGCACTATAAACAGGTAGTAGAAGAGTGGTGAGAGAGTAATCTAGATATAGTAGTACTTTAACTTGAGTTATCTTACTTTAATACAATAGATTTAGTTTGCTTGTAGCTACTAAGTAAAGATGTACTCAATCTATTGAAACTGTAATGAAGGCATGTTAAACTTGATCCAATCTCATTTACAGACAAAGGAGTATTAATAAATGATATTGTAGGGAATGACTATATACTCAACAAACACACAGAAAGTAAAAAGATAACAAGACATCTCTTGTATCCTTTCAACAATTCAAAGAACCAAATCCAAAGCTTGTTTAATACTGTACACACTGTATACACAATGTCAACCCTCTCAACATATAATTGAATATAGATCAAACAACTGATGGACCTCTAAGCTAACACTTACAAACTGTCATTATAAAGTTGTATACTATAAGGATTTCCTGCTCTTAAGTTGTTTACAGTAACTATGGGCCTAATCTAAAGGGTTTAACAAATGTATACTGCTTTGTTAAATGTGCCTAACATTCAACAGATCATCTTGTAGTATAGTAGTCACATTGTACTGTATAGTAGTAGACTTATATAATTTACAAGTATATCTTACTATATCTTACAAATGTTTGATTTCAAATATGGAGCCAGATTACATTTTCACCAGTATAAAGTGTCTTTGTAAAAGATGAGACAACTTTCAGCTGATTTTTTGTTAGGACCACACAAGGAAAGTAATAATAAACAGGTCATATTTGACTCACAATAAACTAGAGAGTATCTTGTAGTCAGTCATACTACTGTTTTACACTGTAAAAGATAATTGTTCCATTCTGACAAAACAGATAAAGAGTAGAAAGATGAGAATATAGTACTCAGAAAGTATAGTTCATCCTAGTAGGCATTAGTAGGAAACTAATAAAGTGTGCACTCACTATGGCTCAGTGACTCTCAACATTACAATTCAGTTCCTTTGTTTGGTTGGAAAATACAACCAGTGACTTGACATTAAGATTTCATTAAGATTTGCAATATTCTGATTGTTTGTATTACACATACATGTACTTCTAGCTAATACTTTAATATATTCCAATAATTTGTGTTGCCACAATAGAAGGTAACTCAAGTAAGTATCAGGAAGGGATCTTCTACAGTTTACAGTAAATACTACTGAGTTCAGAATAATTTTTGTCACTGTATAAAAGAATCAACTTATTATATCATAAAATAAGATAATAGACAGAGCCTACATATATTGAATCACTTCATTTACTGTCCACCTTTGGTTATAATCATACCTTAGGAAATTACTAGCGATTTTTTTTGCTAATTTTGTTTTAATAGTATTTAGCATATTGAATATGCTAAATATCTAAAAGATGTACCAGCCTTTAGGGTAGCAATTCCATAATTTGTTATTCCAGTATTCTTCATATTCAATAATTAAGAAACTAGTTTGCTTGAGTTTCCTGTTTAAATATTATTCAGAATGTATTTTATCATAGAGAAAGAAATAGCACTGTAATATATCTGCCATACTTTGCAGTCTCTTTATTTATAACAACTGGAAATTTTCCACGTCCAATAATCCATTCCCAGACCATTTTTCTATTGATAGTACAAACTGGTTAAGTGATGGTCAAAGTAATCAATATGCATAAGTGTACCCTATTGCCCACTCATCCATTGTTCTGTTCTTTGCTAGCATTCCCTCAGGCCACTCGAAACGTTCTGGTGCAAGGTATGCTATGGTTCCAACATCTTTGTCATCCTGGTATTCCATTAGATCTGGGGTTGTGTTGACAGTCAATGCTCTTTACAACGGTAAGTTATGCTAATGAGGTCTTTCTTGCAATTTCCTGATCTCACTTACGTGCCAAAATCTGTAAGCTTAACTACCATGGATGTCCCTTCTTCAAGCTTTACTATCTTTATTAGAAAATTTTGTGGTCTAGCAAAAATAATATAAGGACGGCAAGTAAAGTATATTGCAAGACAAAATACTTTATGTCGCGGTGGACTATTCCGTAGCTATGAAGAAAGTCTACGGCCTCACATATCTGCCTATTAAACAGGTAAGCTTGATCATTTAATTTGGTATGCAAGGCACTTCTAGCCATGACATACCTTAGTACTGGACCAAAGCGGATGTTGTACTTCTGCATATACTCATATAAATTTCCATGAGGCATGTATTCTAGTACAATGTATCTATAAGTCGCGCCCCCGTATGTCAATCTGAACGAATCAAGAAGTTGGACCTTGGTACGACCGAGTTATTGGTATATAAGAATGTTAATTGAAACGACGAATCAAATGCGTTCCTTACGACTTTAGTTTGTGGTGATGCTCTGTCCCTTAAATATCTCAATACAAGGAGTTCAAGTTGAAATTCATATCTGTCCCGTTCAGTAGCATGCTTATCCTCTATGAACTGCTTCACTGCAACGTGGGTTGAATCGCCCTTGCCACATACGCATTCCTTTAGTGTAGTTGGTGTCAGCAGCAATCAGCTCGTCCGAAGCCGTATAAAGAAGGACGCACAATAACAGTTCCAAAGCCTCCTTTTCCTATTGTACGAATTGGCTTGTATTGGATCACTCTGTCTGGGAATCTTGACAGGTCAGGTGGAGGAGGCGGAGGTGCTGATGGCTTAGGTTGAGAGTATTGCTTAGGCTGAGAGTATTGACTACTGTAAGCATGAGATGATGTGGAGTGCGATTGACTAGAGGTTCTGGCAGAGTAGCCTGCATGCTGTCTGGAGTAATGGTTGGGCGCGTTCCCATACCCGTGTTTTGACATATTGATAAGGAGTGAACTCCTTTCTTAGCTAGCTGAAGAGACGAGAAAAATTAATTGAAGAAGCTGAGATGTGCACAAAGAAAAGATAATCCAATTGATCTTTGTACAGTCGGCACAAGCTCTTACAGTAATGCATAATTGCGTCATTGAGATTGTACAACGACACATCGCCGTTGCTAGCAACATGGGCGCATGTGCAACGACGTGTCGGAGTGTCACCAGCAAAATAGGGATGGGCTAGCACAAAAGCAGAATTGCAGGTTAGCCCTGCATCAGATAGCGACTAGTTTGCTTTTGTACCACTCACTAGGAGTGATTTGTGCAAAGCTTGGCTCTTTCACTCTCTTGTGTAGATGTAGACAAAGATCCATGTGCTTATGTAACAGGTACGCGAAGAGCAAAGTGATTATAGGGCGTTTCCGGCTCTAAATGACTGAAAAAGACGAATCCAAAGCTTGTTTTATATCTACTACATATTGTAAGAATGACAACAACCTGTTCTGCATATATATAAGCAAACATGGATCAAACAACCGACAGACCTCTCTAAAGCTCGCACTCATTAATGCACGTTCTGAAGTTGCGCAACACGAGGATTTCCTGCCTTCAAACTGTTCGCAGCGACACCGCGTTCAATTCGAAGAGCTCGACGAGCGCGTACTGCCTCATTTAGGTCATCAAGCATGGCACGTGTCGTCTCATAATCGACGCATGCATCCGTAATGCTCACGCCATAGTGCAAAGCAGCGGGGCCACCGTGTTCTGGCGGAGGCACGTCTTGCCGTCCCGCACGGATGTTTGATTCGATCATAACGCCCGTGATTGCACTTTCACCGGCACGGAGTTGCTCCGCAATGGCGGAGACGACCTTTGGCTGGTTGTTGTGATTTTTCTGTGAGTTACCGTCTGCAAAGAGGATTCAGAAAAGAAAAGAAATCAATGACTAAGTCGGAGATAAGTGCGAAAGCACGAAGAGATGCTTACGGCTGCAGTCAACCATGAGAGAAGGGTGGGTGCTTGGGCGTGCTTTTTTGATGCCTGCGGCCGCTGCTTGCACAGAATCCGCGTCATAGTTCGTGCCTTTGCTGCCACCACGTAAGATAACATGCACATCCTGGTTCCCGCGCGTCTTAACGATCGCGGCGAGACCCTGTTCCGTAACGCCCATGAACGCGTGCGGGGAGCTCGCCGCACGCATGGCATCCACAGCGACGCTTACAGAGCCGTCTGTACCGTTTTTGAAACCAATTGGGAAAGAAACACCTGATGCGAGTTCTCGGTGCAGTTGGCTTTCTGTTGTTCGCGCACCGATGGCGCCCCAGGATATTAGGTCGGCAATGTACTGTGGTGAGATAGTATCGAGCAGTTCGGAGCCGACCGGTATGCCGAGATCCGTTAGTGAACATAAGAGCTGGCGTGCAACACGCAGACCCTTATTGATTTTGAAGGAACCGTCAATGTCCGGGTCGTTGATGAGACCCTTCCAGCCGACAGTTGTTCGAGGTTTCTGAAGGAGGAATACCATTGAGCAAGGTACTCCAGCGATTTTTGAATTATAATTTATTTATTATTTACCTCGCTATGAAAATAGGTGAGTATATGCATCTTGGCAGCCAGGCTGAAGTCAACTTACAAGTAAGCACGCATGATGATGAGTAGGCCATCCCACTTAGGGATGTCCTCTTTGAGCATTCTGGCATATTCGATGGCCTGTTCTGGGCTGTGAATTGAACATGGGCCGACAACGACGATCACACGGTCATCCTTGCCAGCAATAATCTGTGATGCGGCGAAGCGTGCTCGAGCAATCGTTGACTGTGCCGCTGCGGTCGAGGTGATCTCATGTCGAATGAGTGCTGGCTGGACAAGAGGATCGTACTGCGGGTCGCATAGTGCAGAAGGAATAGGTACGTGTAGAGGAACGGTCGTGGATTCGGGGACGTGACGAGGATATGCAGAGATAGAGGGAGAAGAAGCAACTGAGAATGCATTCGAGAGTGACTTAGAGAGCTTTTTACCCACACCAACTACGCGTCTGTCTGTGATGTATTTGTGCATGCGCTCCGCGTCCGCCTCGTCTGGGACGGGAGTCGAGGGCATCTGCTTGACCAATGTGCCAGGCATTTCGTCGGGTTCTACAGGGTTGGAGGTGGGCAAGTTAAGCTGGATTGACGAACGGCGTTTCAACAAGCGCCTTTATATCCGGCTGGACGCACCCTTGTTCGTCAACCTGATTGCGGCCGCTGGGGGCGATGGCGGGTTTGCGACACTGATGGTCATTGGCAGCTTGAAGCAGGGCGGGTAGTAAATATGCACAACAGGTGCGGCCAAACTCCATCTGCTTCCGCTTAAAATTGTGCACAGCCTGACTCAATTCCCGAAACAGGCAGGCGCCGGTCCCTTGTTTCCTTATACAGTCATTATATTATGCTCTATTTGAGTTGATTGTACTATACAAGTGCATACACGTTCGTCTTGTGTCGACTTCAACTCAGTTGCCAACGCATCGTCCGAGGCCCACTCAACATGACACGCACACTAGCCCTGATCTCCGTGTGAACAGCCTCTGAGCACGGTGCTGTGCCGACGGGCCCGGACTGCAAGGAAGGACACACCAATCAAACCAATTAAACATATACTGCTATAAGTACCCCACAGCCTGTCCGAACTCTCGCGCTCGGATGCTTCATCCCGAGCTGTTAGGACCGTTTGCGCTCGTATAGCATCGGACTTTCAGTTTGATCATCACCGACAGGGCCTAGTCTGTACCCGGTTCGTTTCCACGAAGATCTTTCATGAGGAATTCCCGTTCTTCTACAAAAAAACCTTGCAAAGATTTGAATAGTTTGCTGGAGTAAATGTCCGATTATACGGAAACGATGAGCTTCTGTTCCCCTATTCGCCACTCAGCACGAGCATCCTCAACATCAAAGTCGCGTTGTCGCTTTAATCGTAATGCTTCTCCTGCGTTATGTCCTCGCACCCGCAGTGTCTCGGATTTCATGACGTCCGCAAAAGATGATTCCTCTGTGTCATCATCCGGAGCAGGTACTTCTCCGAGCTTTCCAATTTGAGCATCAGATAGGTCAAGGTTGATGTCCAGAAAGTGTTTCTGTGGGATATGTAGCAGTATTCGGCGAGACTCAATATCAAGCGTGGCTTGAGCATGGAGGTCTCGCATCTGCGAGTCAAGATAAGATCACAGATAAGGAATAGAAAATAAGGCACATTGATAAAGTCAAAGAACATACCAAGTCCGGCACTTCGATTTCTATCTTGAGCCGTTCTCCTTCCTTTCTCCATTTCCAACGCAAAGGTGGTAACGCCAAAGCCTTATTCTCATCCAATACATTGTCAGGCCCGGACGCGCCGCTCGTAGAGACTTCTTCAATATGTGGCTTTTTTCCGCCCGCAGATGAACCCTCACTCGCATTTGCGGCAGAGCTATTCTTCAATATAGATTTCGGCTTCCTCACAGCATTCGGGTTGTCAACCGTGTTTGTCTTATCTGTGATGTCACTGGCCCGCTGTTCCCTCTTCCCTCCCTTCTTGTCTTTATTCTCGTCCTTGTCATGGACCGCAGGCGCTATGTTTGGCAGTTCTTGCACGAGTGGCGACGCACGTGAAGCAGGACCTTTGGCAACCCCATTCGGGTCAACGAGAGTCCGCGGCATAAGCACAGTACGAGGCTCGAGTTTGCCCTTAGACACAATGTTCGGCGTGCCAATCTGTCTAGATAACGTGAAATGCGCTTTCTCCTCGACGTGTTCTAGAGCTAGCTCTGCAAATTTCATCATTCATTCAAATTGCCAAGGGAGAGAAATGTGCAACACGTCGACGCGTAAATATTGAGGCGGGGTTTGCAATTACAAGAGGTCAGAGTTTGTATGTTAATAACAAATGCAAGAGACTAGAACATACCAATGAGATACAGTTTAAACTCTCTATCTTTAATACATCGTAACTTGAGAGATGCGCTGAACACACAATCAAACACAATCGACGGTTTCCCGCTCTGTAAAGAAAGGCATACACTGGGTCAACTTGCCTTCTGACGGAATAATAAAATAAAAATAATTTAATAGCAGATATATACCTTATCCACATCTTCACGAGGTTCGCTCACTACAACTGGTACATAATAGGCTCCTAGACCCTCCACGTCCAGGTCTTCACCTGCCATAGCACGCCGAATCACGTCCTCACCTGCCTCCGGTGGAGCAGGCACACGCTTGTCCCATGCAATATTAAGGAACACTTTCACATCCTTCTGGATCTGGAGCGTTCGCATCTTTGGGGTAGGTTCAAGAAAGTTTGCACTTGCCGAAGGTCCTGTCACAGTCTGACTCACAGAGGACCTTGTGGAAGGAGCTGCGTCGACATAAGTGTAGAATCCCGCGTTGGTTGTGACTGACTTGACACAGAAACCTGCTGATGGTGCAAGTGAGACCCGCACAGTATCACTGAACGGAGAAGAGGTGCTCTGATTAGGCGTAATTAGAGTGGCCATTGTCGTACGTACGAAGGACGTTGAGCACAATTGTGCTCACAAGATTTCTGAAATTCTGACTGCATTTCCTCCTTACGTAATCACGTCGATCCGGGTCCCAACCTAGAATTTTTTTTTGGAAACACTTGATCGAACACAACGAAATCAATCCATGGACATACTGTAACTGATATTGGGACAACAGGGAACATTTGGTCATTCAGAATAAACGGATAAAAAGTGAACGGGCATCCAGTTACATCAAGAAGTGTCGAGGTGCACTCTGCGTTGCAGGCAGACAGAGAAAAATGATAGACGACGTCGAAATACAAATGCTATCGGGAACGAGTAAAATGTAGGGAGCATTCAAAGCAGCTAGGAGAACAAATGAGATATGCATGGGAAGAATGATGTGGAAAAGGGTTGAAATAAAGTGGAAAAGAGGATAAATTTGTATGGCTATAGAATTGAAAGGATCAGATATAACATGAAAGACGAACAACGATAATGAACGAAACAATGAATCGTACAGGCCACGAAACATGTCGAAAAAGTTAAAATAAAAACTTGGTGAATGTTGGTCGTACAGATTTGTCAAGAAGTCATACACTACTGTACATCAGCGTACAGTCGTAGTTAGTACAGATAACAAGCAACGGCCTTCCGCCCTTCAATCGTTGACCGTAACCAGCGATTAGACAGACCTGGTTGTAACAGGAAGTCTGGTTATCACTAGGACTTGCCCTTAAAGCCACGTACAAGCGACTTAATCCCTCCAAAACGTGCCTTGGACGGAGAGCGAGAAGAGCCCGCGGAGGATCCAGGTGAATGAGTAATGTGATTGTGATGGCGGTGGCCATGAATATTATGGTGAGCGTCCAGCGAGAACCCCATCTTCGCAAGTTTGCGCGCTCCACCACTGGTCCGAGGCATCGACTCGCCTCCATTGCCGTAACTTCCGTATCCCGTCGTCCCTGCACTTGAATTCTGTAGGGGAGCGGTTGCAACCCGTGTGAGCGGAACACCAAATGATAGATCGTCGGTTGATGCCAATGCATCCGGTTCTGGAGTGCGAGACCGCATCGGAAGAGACGGACGTGCATCGTCAATCGTATAGCGCATGCTGGGTCGATCGTCCATGGTCGATGAGAAGCGAGGGGTGACACCTTCAGGTGTCTTAGGCGATTCGACAGGTGTCGCTGTTGTTTCAATGATCGCAATGTCAGGCATCTTTCCCGACTCTTTTCCTAGATAGAGGGGACTCGATGTTGAACGGGAGTGGGAAAGTATATGTTGAGAATGGCTCCCAAGGCTTCTGCTGTCAATATCCGTTCTTGTCGCTGAAGTTGACGGAGAAGCTAGATAATTAACATTTAGCTATCAAAGAAAGAGAAAAAAAAACTTTTTTTTTCATAAAAAGAAGGGAAGTACGAACCGACAGGATGATTGACGCTCCAGGAAGCTGCCTGGGGAGCACCCTCCGCAGTGTGCGGGCGCTTAGGTTTGGGCGTCTTTCCAATGCCCTTGTATCTAAAACCCGACCCACTAGCGCCAGAAACTCCAGTTGCCCCACGCTGCCGCAGTGAAGCATCTCGTCGCTTCTGTGTATTTCGTGCTTCCTTAGCTGATTGCGGTTTTCGAAGGGCAGCTCCGTTGCGTTCATCTTCCTCGTGGTCGCTGTCGTCAGGCTTTGACCAGCCCTCACGTTGCGCCTCACCTCTAGCAAAACGACGCTCAAGCGCAAGAATTTCTCCATATGCCGCGAGCTGGGCCGACAGGGGAATGTCCGGGCTCTCGGGCCCTTCCGCTGGAAGGGAAGCACTTGCAAGAATAACCTTTTGCGCACGCTTCACGAGTGCCTCTGCTTCCGCTAGGTTCGAAATTCCTCGCAGGTCCAGAGGGGTCATCTTCAATGGTACCTCCTCTCTATCATGCAGTGAAAGATCATCAAGTGAAGAAGTAGGTGAATCATGGAGGTAGATCGCGTCGGCGCTGTGCTTGGTCTTCGCGCTCGGCGTGCGTGCACGTTGCATATCTACTTCGTTGGACTCCTCACTATCAACTTTCATGTGCGGCTGTGTCCCAGGGCTTGGTGTAGTAATGTCCGTCCGCCCAGACCTGCTCGAGTTCTGGCTTTGCGTTGCGTGTACACTCGTTGTGCTTTCATCAGTCCCCACACTTGAAATTGATTCACCTCGCGTGCGAGAATCCGCCGTGTCTTCAGGTCCTGTCCCCTCGCCTCTACCGCCTTCTGGAAGCGTCGTTACGGACGACTCAGATGCAATCGAACTCGGTGTAGGCGGCGGAAGATCAATACTGAAAGGGAACTCTGCAGCCTCATAGTGTCTGCTGTTCCCTGGCGAAATACCCGGAGAAGACGACGAAGTCGATGTAAATGAGGCGCCTCGAGCTCTGCCAACAGATCCGTGCTTGTATCCATTCGATGCAAGCGGAGGGGATAACTCTTGACCCGGCGATTCGAACTCGGCATCGTCGTCGTTCAAGACATTCGCTTGTTCAGACTCTCGGACATTAATACTAGTACCGTAGTCTTCTTCCTCTTCTTCCTCTTCATCATAACCGAACGATTCTCCGTGTCTGAGAGAACTCGCACTTCTCGTTCCACGAAGCCGAACAGCAGAGGCGATTGGAGGTATCCGACTTGGTGCCGGACTTGGAGTAGGGCTTGCTGAGGAGGCTTCGAACCGCAGTGTCCTCGGACCCGCACCAGGTGTACCACTTGAACTTGAAGATGTAGATCGATTGTGACCCCGTAATATACTCGGCCTCGTAGTAAGCCGAGGAGCCATTGCCGGCGCATCAATGTCTGCCTCTGCGTCCGGTTCGGATTCCTTTCTGAACTCTTCACTAAGTTGTTCCTGCGAATAACGATGGTGCAGTTCAACAGCCGTTGGAACAAGAGGACTACGGGGGACAGAAGCAGCACCCTCACTTCCCAGTCGCGATCGGTACCATGATCCTGGTCTACCTCCTGTGTTTAACGCGGATGTCGACGGCGGCGTAAATGACGTGGATAGTGGAGACGCCGGAGGAGTCGGTGACGAAGTACCTCTCGCTCTAGGACTAGAGAATGTGTGATTATACGGAGAAGACGAAGTATTGGAAAACGAAGTTGACACAGACGCAGAGCTTGAGCCTGGCTCGCTTCCAATGACGTTTGAACTTGAGTTTGTCTCGCCGCGCGAACGGAAAAGATTCCTGAAAGAGACCTTGCTGCTCAGTTTACGTATTGTATTTGTATTTGCACTTGGATATGGGTTGTTAACCGCCGTTGTAGATGCCATGCCATTATGTCCAGTGGACTCATTTGGAAGTGTACCGCCGCCGCCGATGCGACCTCCGTTATCACCGTTCCCGCTTCCGTTGGTATCCTGTTCAGCATCTGAACCCGCGGATTTCGGTCTCCGTTTCCGGTCTGAGAGTCGTCGCTGAAACGGCGAAGTAGGATGGTCAAATATCTGGGGCAGTGAAGGCCGCCGTTGAGATGGAATTCCATACGCGTCAAGAGAGCCGGAGCTGGAAGTAAAGTCTGCATTCCCAACAGGAAGTGTGGAAGGTGAGAGTGAATCACCCGAATTCTGCACACCCGTAGGGTCTTGGGACTGGGACTGGGGATGAAGCTGAGAGGTGGAGTGCGAATGTGTATGGTGGAAAAATGAATGAAGGTGAGAGTGGGAGGGTGAACCGCCATGTGAGTGAGAACGATGTTGCGAGTGATGGGAATGAAAGGGTAGAAGCGAATGCACATGAGGATGTGCAGCAGCTGAAGGAGAAGGTGGTGTCCTATCATGTTCTTGCTCTCGTAGTTGACCATAGGAACCATGATGGTGCAATGCGAGTGGCGATTTGAAGAGATGCAATGCGTTATCTATTGAGCGTTTCATATGCAGTTTCTTCGAACTGTTGTATATCGATTCCGCCATTTCATATCCGTCTCTGTCTTTGTCCATTCCTAGCCAACATGAACTTCCATTCTTAGAACCAGAGGTAGACCCAAAAGGCTCATCGCCCTGAACGGGCGGCAAGTCACCTGTTCGACCACCGCTCCACGCGGCAAGCACATCTGCACATTCGACCCAACCATTCTCCCGAGCCAGCATCTCTGGTGTTACACCATGCTTGTCGGCGCGGTCTGGCACAGCTCCTTTCTCGAGCAACAGCTTGACGACACCTATGTGTCCGTTGGCAGCAGCAAAATGTAGAGGCGTTGAACCTATTCATATCCGCGATATTGATAGGAGTTTGGGGATACCAAAAAGACAAATGAATGTCAGCATGAATTTTCCTCAGAGATATAACAAAAGGCCAAAAGATTGCAAAAATATCGCGGTTTCTTTTCAAGCAGGCTGTGTGCGGCTATTCCGCTTCTGTTCTCCTACGTTCACCGAGGAGACCCTCCGCGGTTCATAGGAGAATGATAGTTGAGGTCGCACTTACCGCTCGCACCAACCGCCAGTCCAGATGACTTGTGCTTCTCATTTGAATATCTTCGTGGTATCCTAAAACGACGTACTTATGTCATTTATGACCCATTGTTCATAGTCGGGTTGGACTTACCTTGGTGCATTTACATCCGCTCCTTCATCAATTAAATACTTCACTACAACTTCACTCCCACCAGCACATGCTGCATGAAGAGGAAGAACACCATTGAGAACAGAATTGATTGGCTGCCCATGGCCTAGCGCAAACTCGACGAGTCCAAGATTTCCCGAGGCAGCAGCGAAGTGCAAGTCGTATTGCGGGACTGTGGACAAAATCAGCATTCATATCTTTAAAAAAATAGTTATATAATTCAAATCGATGGATAGATTATCCATGAATTTTGGAGATAGAAATAAAGAAAAGACATTGAACGTGGCGCTAACGCTGCGGACACAGGGAGAAAAGAAAGAAGATACCATCAAAAGAGACAAAAATACAATGGGGACGTACAATGCGTAGTGACGTTATATCGCGCCTCAGCTTTCTGCTGCGTTCGAGATGTGCCGGGCATTGTGTTATTCTTTTCACGCCCGAACGCTGAGCGACTTGCCATGCGCCGTTGGAGTCGTCCGCTGAAGCAGACTGGAGATCAAATGTCGACCAGGAGGTGACGACAAGTGATAGGAAGGACAAGGCCAGACCCGCTCAATCAGATGCTTTCGAAGGCCGTTGAAGATGGGAGTCAAGAGCTGAAAGGGTCTGCCAGCGACGACCTCGCCGGAGCCTATGCACACGCGAGTGTCGGACTAAGTGATTGCTAATGACCAAGATGACCGGCCTCGAGGAGAGACTGGATATCGGAGAAGGACGAGGACCGAGCCGGTCCAGACGAGCGCTAGTGCTAGTCAAAGCGTCCGGAATGATAGGGCGATCGCCTGCTGGACAGCCGGCAAGCGAACAAAGGGAAGAACAAGGGGGAGAATGAAATGCGGACGCCTGTCGTCGTTGAAGACGTCGACGAGGGGGGAAAGAGAGGACGGAAACGGGAATGGCGGGGGTGGGGAGATTAAAGGATGCGGAGAGGCTGCCCGGCCACGTGCCGAGAAGTTCCCACGAATACATTTTCTGTTTTTATTGTCCATCTCGGACTGAGACCTTACTTTATTTGCGATCGCCCTGTTTGGCAACCGAACAATCCCTACAAACCCATCACTGCTTTGCCAACAATTCGCCGCAATTGCCCTGCACACCTCCCTGCACGCTCCACGTTGAGCCGGGCGCATGTGATGCTCGCGTGTAGGGCGGCGCGTTTGCATGGCGAAGCGTTCATTTCTGTTTTCCATCAGGATGCAACAACGATCGCGGGCAGGGTTAGATTTTTAATTATCGAAACGTAGCTAATCGTGGCCAACAGCTTCCTTCGATCCGGACCGAGCCGTTCGACGTATATCCTCCGCCACCACCGCAATTACTCGCCAACCACAACCAGTAGTTATACACACAGCTCATTTAGACGCAACCTCGTTGTTGTGCCGTCTAATGTCCATCAGCTCAACCTCTGTCCCAAATAACCAAGCCCACCAAAGGCCGTGCTATGCATCTTACGACGCTCACTCAACTTCCTCTTCTGATCGTACGTCGATGCGGCAAAAATGCTCCCGTCGACAGCATCACAATCTGGTCGCGAAGCTTTCCCTCCTTCGTCGCGCTTCTCCCGCGCTCATGCGCACGAATTTACATCTAGAGACCTCATGCACAACATGCCAGCGCCTCTTAGTTGGATACGAACACTGAGCCCCCACGCAGACCGATATGTTCCCCTCCTATCTTTTGTATGGGGAACGGTGGTCTGCACGCGTGTGTCACGCTCACGTTTTCCCAGACCGATAAAACGGGACTAATAGTGGATGCGTGAGTATTCTACGCAACACTGACGCAGTTATGAGGTATTTGAGGCTCGCCAAACAGGCTATGTATATCCCCTCTCCCGCAGGTTGACCTAGTTCCTATTTTAGTTTCTGTTCAACAACACTTGATGACGACACTAGCAACACAAGAAACTGTGACAATGCTGACCGCCGCAGCGATGGCGATGGTTGCTCTCTTCTTGTTGCCCGTGTTGCATGATGATCACTCTCTGATCCCTGAGTGTCTTCCTCTTGTTCATCTTCCGATCTCGAACCCTAAATACAACATCTCCCGAACAACTCTTCAGCGCTTTTGCTTCCATTGCATGGCAACCATCCATGCCCCTATCGCGTGTCCGCAGCACAAGTTGACTGAATTGGATCTATATACAACTTTCCGTCAATTCAGTGCAGTCAAATTCAACGTCACTCCAGCTCGCGTAACTGATTTCATCACGTCTTTAAATTCCGGATCGAGTAACCTTCCGAGAGCCGACTTGTGATAACGGAGCAGTGATTATCTCGGTATGACAGCGGCCCGTCTCAATTACTTCAGCTACTGTTGTACTTCGTCATCGAGAGTACGTGGACAAAGTTCTGGCAAGGTGTCATTTGCTCGTCGAAAGCAAGCGGCCGAGATAGGAACTAATGCTCCGAGTTTATCGGAACAGCAGAATAATCTGCGTCTTCTTCCTCTCAGTTCTTTTCCCTGATTCGTTCAACTACTCCCCGTTTGTGCTCGGCTTCCCTGGGCCCAAGCCCTATCGAACTGCCACCAAAGCCAGGTCTTACCTTGTAAATTTGCTTGCAGGCTTGCCAAGTTGGACTCCTGACCATGTGACTGTCAAGGAGTTTTTCAGTGTTGGAACGCCCTCTAAAGATGGAAAAGTTTTCCGGGACTAAGAATTCACTCGGCTCTAATTAATCTGTGACATCTTCTGTCAACATTAATTTATCCTATAGCTGACGAAATTTGCATCCTCCTCTGATACATCCGGATTATTCGACCTCGTATCTCTTCCTGGTCATAACTTTGCTTATCGCTGGATCAACAGTAAAGAGCAATGCTGACTAAGCAAAACACATTTTAGGACACGACGACCGCTTATATGCATCACCAAAAACGCATATAACTCCCAAAGCATCACTTGGCGTTCCCTGCTAGAAGGCAGAAGCGCCATACTACATGGCAGATCTCGTCCATATGACACCTAAGCCTGCTAGACCTCAGCAAGGACGGAAGAAGACTACAGGCAGAAAGAATCCCATCAAGGCACCCAATACTGCCTCGGGAAAGCCGCAAGAAAGTAAACCGCTTGAACTGGTTACCAGCACAAATGAAATCGAACGAAAAAAACAACCTGTGGCGCTGAAACCAGGACCTCAGCCTCGAAAGGCAGAAGTCAATGAGGAGAACAAAGAGAATGTAATGCCGGAAAATGACAGTTCTACAGTAAACACCCAGGCCGAACCAGCAGAACCAAAGGGAGGTGTGGCACCTGTTGATAAAGACAAGGTCGAGGCTTTCCCACCGAAGACGATCCAAGCTTTAGTGGCGGAGGAGCTTCGTAAAACATCGAGCTCGTCAAACTATGGTCCCTCAACGCTCTTCACAGAAAGCCCATGGACAGATTCGACTGCAGCTCCAACAAGCAAAATTGAGAACATCACAGTGAGGGTTGCGCAAACTAAACTACCTCAGGCCGTCGAAACGTCCCATGACGAAGAGACCTCCCTAGATGATCCAGGGTATGCGCATCCACCGAGTCGTATTTATAACTTCGATAGGATGATTGGAAGAGGTGCCTACGGGGAAGTCTTTGTACGTGAATAGCCCAAATTAGTTCCACCGACAGATCACTCATTTATTAACGCTATTTCTATTCTGTAGCGTTGCGCGACTGGTCAAGCGCCCAAAAAGCAGTATTACGCAGTAAAGACTATGAAACCGTTGGAGCACAAGAACAAGCGTGGGAGATCTTTAGACAGGCGCAGGAAAGAAAGGCAACTGAAAGAAATAGAGCTCCTGGAATTTCTACGAGATCACCCGGAACGACCGCAGAGTATTGTAAGTGTGCCCATTGCTATTTACGTTTAACCCGACTTCTGAGTGACTTCCACTTGCGACTACTTCTTAGATTGAATTCTTTGAAGCATTTGAATATGGAGGAGCTCCATTTGAGAACGAAAGAAAAAGTCGTCTGTGTCTTAGTTTTGAGTTTGCTAAAGGCCCTAGTCTTGCGAGAATCCTCAAAAAGGGCCCGATAAAAACAGTTGAGACGATCAAATCAATCACCAAGTATGTGTTTTTACTTTTCAACATTCATTAACTCGAAGGTCGATGGAGTGAGCTGACGACTGTACTGCTTTCATTAGGCAGACCTTGGGTGGCCTGGAATTCTTACACAAGAATGATATTGTGCATTGTGATATAAAGTACGAGCGTTTATCCTTGTCCCGAAATCAGCGCAATGACTGATTCGTTTGAAGGCCAGAGAATATGAAGCTAATGACAGATAATTCAGATAACCCTATCATTAAACTTATCGACTTTGGCCTGTAAGGATACCTCTTTGAGAAATGATTTAGATTTATTTGCTCATATGATCTTTATTATAGGTCTTTGCGCATCACGAACGGTCCAGTACGAAGTCTCGGGGGGACGTTGATGTACCAAGGTCCGGAAGTCTTCCTTGGTAAGAGAGTTGTCACCAGTAAACTTGATATTTGGGCATTTGGGTATGTCAACCTGTGTCGTTTTAGTTTGATAGCATATTCTTGACGAAAATGGATGGGTTATTTTCAGAGTCATCTTTTGGGAAATGTTCCACGGTCTGGACAAGTTCCCGATAGATCCAATTAATATGGAAGGGGCTAGAAAGATTAGGAGTGATTCGAGTATGTCGCTATTCGATATCAGAGAATATACTATGATTGTCTGACTGAACTGGCGGCTGCAGGAGAGGCACATGAGTATATGAGAATGTACAACAAGAAAGAGTTCGATAAGGAGCTTAAATTCGATACGGATGAATGGCAAAGTAATCCTGAAGGTAAGTACAGTATAGTCGGGGTCGTTGAACCGAACTAATACCTTGGTCACAGCAATACCACTTGCGAAGGGCTTGCTAGAGAAGGACTATCAAACGCGAATCTCTGCAGAGGATGCACTAAAAGATGCTGTACGTCTACAAGACTTCCTCATAAGCTGATCTTAACTGACCTTTGGTTTCAAGTGGTTAAACAGCTAGAGCAACTATGTTCATCTACTGATCCTCGTTTAGGCTATATACTCCCATTATTAAAATCTCTGTTATCTAGTTGCGAGACAATACCTCACAGGGTTCCGATTTTTAGTATTGCGATCCTGTTATGAGTAGATAGTATGTATGTATCAGTTAATGCATGCTATATTATAAAGAAGTTTTGTGTGAATACTGCGATATGAGTTAAAAGGGACTGGTCATAGAGGTCCTGAGGGTACACTGTGCAGGTAAAACCATGGTCAGGTTTGTCACTTCACGAGATTAAAGATCATCTGAGCCGGCCTAAGGCGCATTATGATTTACTTTTTATTACTTTGAGCAATGATGTTGTTTGATCCGAGCATGCGATGGAGGCATGCATGTGCGGGCCAGTGCGGCTGTCAGTCAGTCGCACTAGAGGTGCTTGTTTGGCCGCCCCGAGCTTTGAGTTCGAAGTCTGGGGACAGGGTACCTCCTTTGCGGCTGAAGATGATGCACATGTGGAGTACAAGAAACGTGGCCTCCTTTAATGGACTAGTAGTCTTATTTGTGTATATCGAGACGCCATACTGGTTAGCTTTAATCGTTGCTTTGCCTTTGCACAACGTCCCTTTCCGCCTACTTGTAGCATACCAGTGCGTATACTGATTTCCGCATACATAAACTGGCTCTGATGCACGAACGCCACATGGTCACCTCTTTGTCTGTGAACAGTAGTGCAAGTTGAGAGAAATTTCATAATGTCTAGAGCTTCCTTCTACAACAACTACATTAAAGGTTCCTATATTAACAGAGGAACTCATGCGGAAGTTTACGTATGTAACCGTTCTATCTTGTTGCCGTGTTCATCAGTATATATATGTATTAATTTCATTTGATTCTATTGCATTCCCACTGCTTATGACTGAAAAAAATCCGCAGAGTTGTACGAGGAAATCATCAGGAAAAGTTCGTGCAGTTAAAATAACGGAATACAGTACAGTGAACGAAAGGACTAGAACGATGTACATGGATGAGTATAGAATTCATCAATATTTGTTGACGAAGGACGGTTGCCCACGAAGCCTTGTTAGTGTTAGAATTCTTAGCTCAATTTGGGAAGTTTTGCTAATGTAACTCTATTATGTCATAGGAGAGAACTAAAGATGTATTCCGGGATGATCGAAATATCTATATCGTCAAGAACTATATAGAGGGCTGGAACTTGGAATGTGTAATAACATATCGACATTCGAAAACATATTTTCCATACTTCTCTGAACGCGGATGCACTAAGTATGTGTACATTTTGTCTCATATGTTTGTGATTCAATACTAAACCTTGCAACACAAGGCAAATACTGGAAGCTCTAAAGTTTCTGCATATGCACAGGATCGTGCATCGCGACTTAACGTCAGTTCCATATCTCATCAAAACGTGCTTTACTTTTAGAACGCTGAACAATTCATAAAAAGTCCAACTAATGTTTTGATAAGCTCCTCTGGACGTGATATAACGGTCATTGATCTTGGGTGGTCAGTACTATTAAATACGAGAAAGTAATTCATTTATTGATGCAAAGCACCTGCTCAGTGGTTCCTTTACTCCAAAGACAGCCGACAGAGGTTTTCTGCAAGGTGCAGCACCCTTTTATCAGCCACCAGAGTTTTATCGACATGGCATAATTACCTGTAAAGCAGATGTCTGGGCTTTGGGGTAAGCACTTTAAAAGCTATTTGTTATTCTTCCAAGTTAATTCTGACTGAGATTCCAAGAGTTGTCCTGACTCAGTTTCTCATTGGACTAAACAAGTTTTATTTTCAACCAATTGGTATGGAGTATGAATTAAAGCGTATTGCGAACAAGAAGAGGTATAAAGGGCTTCTTTTCTAATCTATTGCCCATATTGAAAATTAATACCTTGGGCCAAATCTAGAAAACAAGTGAAAGACCTTAACTGTGACGAAAAACTACAAGCACAATACAATATGGATAGACATAATGAAAATGAGTTTTCTGAACCTCCAGTGTTCGACGGAGATATACCTGATGGTAGGTATTCTCGGAATCTGATTTAGTGCATACAAAGAAGAATTCTAATAAACATGTTTCTAGAGTTTATACCACTTATGAAATGCTTGCTAGATTTTCATCCAGAGTCAAGATTGACTGCTGAGGAAGCACTGAGTCAGCTAGTTAGTTGCACAGTACTCTTTCATATATAAACGAACTCATAATATTTTAAATCGCATTATACAGTAGAAAAGCCATTATAATTTAGGTTATTATTTTGTCTGCATATGAAAATCTGCCATACTGGAGTTTGTGTAACTATAATAGTATCAAACTTGTTGCAGACGAATCCAGGAACGAGAAATGTTTCTGGTTACTTCATGTACGTTTGAGTACCAGCAGAATACAAGTGTTCATTTGCGAGTCATTGTCTTCTGCTTTGAATGACACATAGTACAGAAGCCAGAGTAATGATGCTGCTGCAGAACAAGTAATCAATAGTTATACTTTAATTGTCACAAACCCCTTAAAGATGAGACTGGAGGCAGCCCAGACACTGTACATTTGAATAGTTTGAAGAATTTGCTGCTCTTATTGATTAGTATGCTACTACATATGTGATGCCAGACAAATCACTATTCCGGGACAGCCTGAGAGCGAGAGTACTCACATACCTCTTTGCATTATCCCTGCCTTTCAATTTTGCGACCGAGTCCGTGAATAATTTGAAACAGGGGCAATTCAACGCAGGGCGTGCCCCCCGTTCAATGTGCTTACACTTCATTTTGCATCACAAATATGATGCAAAGTAAGTTACATAATTTATCAATCCTATCTGCCTTTACAGCCATAAGAAGATTCTGAGACGCGAACGCCACATTGACAGTTTGAAGGCATCATCTATTCTCTTGCTTCTCACAATTACACCCGTTAAGTCGCTTGCTTCGCATGACCGGGAACGGCAATTGTACAGGAAGCTCTATAGACCAAAGTGTGAAGACTTGTAAATGTGTCTCTGCCTCCACTATGATTCCTGTCGAGGGCGAACAGCAAGGTGCTGGAACCTTTGACTCACTTTTCAAGTTTGGAAAGCAGCTCGGGAAAGGATATCAAGGCACCGTCTACGTGCGTGCATAGTTCATCGATGTAATCTTTCACTTCTTAACACACGGCACTAACTAATGGGGGGATTGCATTTACATTTTTTGTCCAACAGCTATGTACACATAAAGTATCGGGAAAGGAGTATGCAGTGAAAGTACTTAGGCGTGGGTGCTTTGGGAAGGTGCACCCAAGCCAAAAGATAGAAGTGTGGTTCCATAAAGAATACTTATTTGCAGGAAAGAAAGATTCGGATAGAGTTGTAAGTGGTATTCAACAAATAGACTCAGAATTATTGTTCAATTGTAATTCTTCTTTACAAATCTCGCATAGCCTTTAACATCTTATATTTTTGAGACTGCATGCGAAACCCATATTGTAATGGAGTATATTAAGGGATTAGAACTTGGAGTTTATCTAGCTAATAATAAAGAGTCAATAACTCTTGATCATGTTAAACATCTTAGCAGGTAATTTCAAGCACTAATAACTTGCTGCCTTATATTTCTGATGATTGGTTCCATTGACATAGACAGATCTTAGAAGGATTGGAGTGGCTACATAATAAATACCTTGTCCACCATGATTTAAAGTAAGGGATTGGGCTTTGTTTTACTTGTAACTTATAAAACTGAGCTATTACTTCATATAGACCAGAGAATATTCTGGTTCGCGAAGGAAATGCTATCATAAATGATTGGGGAAGGTGAAGTATTAATGATTATATTGTGGCTTCAGATAAGCTATGAATTTACTAGGAGTTTATTGACATTTTCCCGCTTATTTAGTATTCATGCCGAAGGTGAATATAAACTTTCAGACATTCCTTGTCATATGTGGTTTATGCCACCTGAACTTCATGTGAGGGGTGAGACTGCTACATTGCTTTGTGTTTCAGATATATGGAGCTTTGGGTGAGTTTTCAGTCTTGAATGTGTTACAGCTGTAGTTGATAATAATCAATCAAAATTAACTTCGATCACTTTATAGAGTTACTTTCTTGAAAATGATCTATGGTCCCCAGCACTTTTTATTTCAGCCAATTAGCGTTGAGCAAGCAAGTAGGAGGTATGCGGATGAAAATAAGTGAGCAATCCTTACTTCTTTCAAGTACAAGCCGACGTAACTCCACTAGAATTCTCAAGGTTTATGCTTCGAGATTTTGTCATAAGGAGGTACAAACATATAGGGAAGAATTCAACAATGCAGAGTTCAGTAAAACACCCGATTTCAATCAGGCTCCATGGATTGAAGAGCCCGGAGGTAAGCATTGATTCAGTAAATGGTACAAGAGGCGGTTTCTAATATATATACAGCAATTGAGTTTGTAACCGGTATGTTCCGGCTAGATTATCGAAAACGGTTCAGCGCCAAGGACGCTCGTAATCATCCAGTGAGTCTCGAACCAGATAGTTACATTCAGTATTCAATATAATATTTAATTTAATACCTGTAGTGGCTCAATGATGCATACTGACAGCGTAGGGTTTTAATCTTTCTGCTAGATACGCCCTATTCCACGGAGAATGTCGTGCTAGGAGCAGTAGATTAGTACAATTTATTTACAAATATTGAGGCATGTTTTCAAAAAGAGGATAATAAACCGAGAATAATGGCCCATTGCGAATTGTCAAGTTGTTGTCGAAGTCGATCATGAATCATGAATCATGATTAAGTATTCTCCAATCACGTGTACCGGACAATAATTAGATTGATGGATTCGGCTGCGTCGCGTCGACCTCAAGTCAAACGTGTTCTGTGACCGCGGCATGTGTGGCAGATTCGCTCTCGGATTACCGGTCAGACAAATAAGCTCATTTAAATATATGTCGTACGCTGATAAAAGAGAATCACATAGCGCCCTCAGATTATCCGACAGGTGCACGACGAGCACCCAGAGTTGGACCTTGACCTCGATGAGTGGATCGACGAAGACGCGTTTTACCCTCGTTATAATGTCGCGCCGCGATCCCGCAGTCCAGTGGTCCGCAGACGGAATCGTTATGATGACCGTGCGGCCTCTGAGGAGCAGGGAGAGACGGAACAGAAAGGCACAGTTATGCATACGATGAAGTGGGGAGTCGTCCCGCACTGGAGTAAACATGAAGATACCAATCTGAATACCATCAATGCGAAGGGTGAGAACCTCACTGAGGGTGGTGGCATGTGGGCGAGTATCAAGGGCAGGAAGCGATGTGTTGTCGTTTGTCAAGGGTAAGGTTTACTTCATGTTAAATGACGGAGATTCTGTCATGACCCGTGATATTTCGACACAGCTACTACGAATGGCAGAAGAGAGGAAAAGACAGACTGCCACACTTCACTAGACATAAAGAAGGGAAACTCATGTTGCTGGCAGGGCTTTACGACAGTGTTATTCTTGAAGGTGGGTACATGCTAGTAAGTCAGACCTAGCGACTGCACATACTATCGACACAAGATTACTCAATTCTTCTAGCACTACATTCCCTGCCCATACATTGAAACTGACGAAAAAGTTACTATCTAGGTCATACTGAACCTCTTTACACTTACACAATCGTCACCACGGACGCAAACAAGCAACTTTCATGGCTACATGACCGCATGCCAGTTATCCTCAGTTCAGCTGCACAGATCGAAGCATGGCTCGACACTTCCGATCAGACGTGGTCGACCAAAGCCGCAAAAGTCATCAAACCCTATACATCCCTCGACAAAGCACACGACTTGGAATGTTATCCCGTCCCTAAGGAAGTTGGTAAAGTCAGTGCGGAGAGCGCAACGTTCATCGAGCCCATCAGCAAGCGGAAGGACGGTATTGAGGCGATGTTCGCTAAGCAGAGCAAGGGAGGAAAGGATACCGATACGTCTTTTAAGCCAGCTTCACAGCCTTCACAGGAGAAGAAGTCTCAGCCTTCTGGGGAAACAGGTGAACAGACCCTACTGAAACGGAAACGAGAGTCCACAGAGCAGTCGCCGAAGAAAGAGAGAGCGTCAAGTGTCGAGCTGCTCTCCGTGGATGAACCTTCAGGCTCCAAGAAAGCTCGAACCGATAACAAAGAGGAAACTAAACGGAGTGGCAAGGTTTGTTCTACATCTGGTCATCTGGCTTTGTGTAATAACCTGTACGTTCCATTTCGTTGCAGCAGGTAGCGAAACCAAAAACGCCTAGTTCTTCCCAAGTGAGTGTCTCACCTAACTGATGTATGACACATGCTGTGCATGTTAATTCACTACACCTTGCAGAGCACAAACATGAAGTCGCCCAAATCATCAAAATCACCGAAGAGTCCAGAACAAGCCAGCCCTGGCACCAAGAAAATAACAAGTTTCTTCTCCAAAACCGAGGACAATAATTGAGCGGACTGATTAATTCTGTTTACGTCGTGTACATTATTTCTCCCCTTATCTTACCTATTGTACTGGGCTTGGAACAATTAAGGCATTTTTTTTCAATGGTCACTCGATGTGATGATTCATGCAATGGATGTGGTCAAACCACTCTCACTTCGGAGTCCAAGATGTTAGACGTACATACACATGCAACGAAATACTAGTGAGAGAGGAGTAATTGAAGACCGACAAGGACAGAGAAGAGAAGAAAAGAGAATATAAGAGTCAGAAAAGGGGGAAAGAAAAGTATGCACGAAATAGGATGACACATATACTCAAGCTCGAATCAGCAGGCGATAAGTATCAGAAAATGGGAGACGTTGACTAGGGCTTGTTATCACGAAAAAGTATGCGCATATGAAACAGGAAATAAAATTGCAAAAAGGGAAGAGACTCGCGAGATGGGGTCAATTCACATCAGTCCTTGCTCAACCCCAGTATTGTGGACCATTTTGGGACGGGCGCTGGTAGTAGAAAGAACTATCAGCTCCTTGTGGATAGCCTTGAGTTTGTTGCTGCTGATTTTGTTGGCCAGGGGGACCACCCGCGTTTGGGTTCGCGGAGAAGCGGTTTGCACCGTAGAACTGCGAATGCTGTGGCTGCTGCACACCGCGTCCACCTTGACCTAGTGCACCTTGGCCTCCAGCGATACCGGAGCTACCCATACCTGGTGCACCACCAACATCCTTTGCATTAACTCCAGAGCCTGGACCATATGGCTTATACGAGTTTTCTGGGGAGGCACTGTTTCCAGTACCTCTTGGACCTAGTTGTGCGGCAGGACTTGAAGACTGGCCCATGAAACTCTGAATACTTTGTCCGCCGTATAGCTGTTTGCCATATTCGTTTGTAGGAAGTCCCTGGTTGTGCTGAGGTCCTAGTTGGTTATGGTGTCCATACCCATCATCGTATGCGGATGAAGCGTGCTGCTGCTGTCCATATAGACCCGGCGCATATGGATTTGACTGAGGCTGAACCGAGTTTGGACCCTTCGCATTCGCTGGAGACGCAGACGTGGGATTCGCAGGTTGGAACAAAGGAGGCTGCTGCTGAGGATATCTGTTTGCATATTGACCAAGCCCATAACCAGAGCCGTAAGGTGTACCGTAATACTGGCCTGGTTGGTACATGTTGTAGTAGAACGGCATTGGGTAACCTTGCTGAGGTTGACCTGCAGCAGGACCCTGAGGCTGAGTCCCAGTCTGCGGCTGCTGAGACGCCTGCTGCTGGGTCGACTGTGCTGCAGACTGGGGCAAACCAGCACCAGATTGCGAGGATTGTTGACTACCTGGGAGAGACTTCCCAACATCGTCATGACCAAGCGCATTCCGCCCACTGAAGCCGGACTGCGGACCATACGATTCATAAAATCCCTGGGTTTTATTTGTCTCGTGAATACTCGGAAAATGACTCTTGTGCTAAAAATGAACCGGACTCACTCTTGCTCCATCATTGTACCCGAAATGGTCTGAATTGAATCCACTTAAATGCGAAGCTTGCGTCTGGTAACCAAGCTGTTGGCTAAGCGGTGCAAACGAACCATACTGCGTGTCCTGTGCCTGACCCGCAGGTGGGGTTGGTGCATGATGGAAATTCTGCTCCGGCTGACGATAATATGACCCATGGCTGCCAATACCCTGGTGAAGTGCCGACTGCTGTGTCTGCTGTTGCTGTGGCGCTTGGGGTGGTGATGGTTGACTTGCAGCTTGTTCAAGATGTGAAGGGAAATGCGAAAATTGATGAAGTGAGGATTGTTGCTGTTGCTGCAAGTGATTCTGCGTCGCAGGTGCCTGGGGTTGGGGAGCCTGAGTCTGCTGTTGAGCAGAACTTTGCTGATAAGGGGAAACGGATGATTGCGAAGAAGGCGTTGCCTGCTGAGCAGAGAATGAGGTGAGTGGGGTTGAAGTGGCAGTGGAGGTCGACGTCTGAGAAGGGATGACGGATTGAGTAGAAGGTTGAGTAGGGAGTAATGAGGGAGGGGTCTGCTGTGCACTCTGTAAGGCTGAGTGAATCTGTGCCTGTACCTGCGGTTGTGGTTGCTGGGGCTGGCTGTGTTGGGTAAGAGTGTGTTGGAAAAGGCTTTGAGTAGAGGTAAGGGGTGTTTGAGTGCTTGCAGCCGGTGCAGGCTCCGGAGGTGGTGCATGTGTTGTTGGAGGCTGGGGTTCGCGCGCAGGCTCAGACGCAACGGGAGCGGCAACAGGTGGCTCAGGAGTAGGAGGCTCCAACCTGTACCAGAACCGTAAGTAAAGAATTCCGGGGAATAAATACCTATCGTGTGACGTACGCATTAGGTTCGACATCCTCCCCACCCAGGTTTACACTTCCAAATTGCATGCCTAACTTCTCAACCGAAGAGCCAAATGAAGAAGGCATGACAACAGCTTGGTCTGTCACCTTTGGGCGGTGACCAGCACGCGAATTTAAAGAACGTGCGTAGCTGACAGGAGTCGAAGGCTTTACAGGAGGTACAACCGACGGTTCAGCCTTTTGCTGCAGCCCAAGTTGTGCTGGGAAAGCCGAAGCTGTAGTTACTCGTTCCGATTCCGGTTCGGGCTGGTTGGAAGGGGTTGGTTGGGCTTCCTCCGGAGCAGGCTCGTGTCGAATCTCAGTTTTCTCTGTGACAGAGGTAATCCACCCGTCTGACGTTGCCTTTACCGTTGGCTGAGCCGGAGGTTCATCCTCCCACGGCGGAGCTTGCACGGTCGTTGGCTCTTCCCAACCATCGGCTTCTGGTTCTACTTTCTGCTCTGGCTCAGGAGCAGCGGGGACTGGCTCTGGAGCTGACGCAGGTACAGCTGCAGGAACCGAAGCGGGTGCAGGGGCAGGTGGAGGTGGAGTAGCCTTTGGCTTTTCTTGCGCTCTGGGAAGGAGTTGAGGCTTCTGCCAAATTCAACTAGAATATTTACACATACCTTGCAACCTGTGCCCATGACATTTTTGAAGTAGCTGGTGTCTTACTCGCAAGTTTGGCAGCTTGAGTAGGGGTAGGCGACAATGCTTGAGGCTTCAACTCGGTGGATGGTGCCGGAGTACCATTTCCCCATGCACTAGGAGTTGTATCTGTTTTGGCCTTCGGTAGTGTCGAGGAAGAAGCAGCAACAGACACCGTCGAATCACCGGCATCGCCCTGTCCCGAAACAGCGTTTTGGTCGGAAGCACCATTCGCTGTCGCCCATTCACTTGCGGCCGAAGCATCGTCCGTCCCAGCAACAGGCGTCGATGACTCCTGTGTCCAAGTCGAAGATGACTGCGGGGCGGGAGAAGACGCATGACGCCCGTTCGCCTCGCGATGACCGCCTCGGCCAGCACCGCGACCTCCGCCACCTCGCCCTCCACGAGAAGCCCCGCGTCCTCCTCGAGTCCCACGAGAGCCTCCTCTGTCTCCACTGGAAGGTGCTGGAGAGCCGGCCGTTGCGCGTTTGTCCTTTTTACGACTGACCGCACCCCATTGTTCCGCGTGACCTGCGAGCAAAGATCAATACTCTAGCGCCCTCTTCAAAATGTGAAAACAGCTGCACCTTCGCTGATGCGGACAACTGCGAGTTCAACGTCGTAGTTCACTTCCGCAAGCACCGACTTGAGGTCTGTCGAGGGAGGTTGAGTAAAACGTGGCTGTTGCGCGTCCCGACAAGAAGACACGTACCGTCGTCCGACCACGACGGAAACATTTCCTGAAGTTGGCGAATCCTGGGATTGCCACGCTCGCCAGGCGCGGCTGCTTGGTCTTGTACGCGACGATGGTTTGAGGACTTGAAGGACATTCTGGTCGACAGAGGTGAGCTGGATGAGATGATGAGGAAGGGGAGCACTGCACAAAATATTCCGATTTTTCGCTCATTTACGACCGTGAGAAAATATTAAATAACGCCAGCTGAAAATTGCTTGGATCAATCGATGCTTTGGCTCTCGCCGCATCGCTGCCCTCCTCTTCTCATCCACGAACGACCATCCCCGCGCTCTCCCTCCTTCTTCACTTTCTTTAGACTAATCTCCGCCTCCGTTTTGCTTGAAAATGTCTGACGACGAGCAGCACAACCACCAGTTCGAGCAGGTCAGTCCCAAACGCCCATTTGATGCTGTCCAATGCGGACCCTTATGCTCGTCTGCCCTACCCCCTTTCTCATTAGGCGTCCGCCGGTGCCTCGCTCACCTTTCCCATGCAATGTTCTGCTCTCCGCAAGAACGGACATGTCGTCATCAAGGGTATGTTCACCTCACTATATGCGCCGCTGGCCGCCCTGTTCTCACCCACGATGTGCCCCTCCCTGGCTTCCAGGTCGTCCGTGCAAAATTGTCGACATGTCCACCTCTAAGACTGGCAAGCACGGACATGCCAAAGTCCACCTTGTCGGCATTGATGTATGCTGCCTGCTATACATTCGCATGCCCTGTGTTAACTGACCAACCATTCTCCACCCAGATCTTTACCCAAAAGAAGCTGGTTCGTGTTATCATCTTGCATTGTGTACTTGCTCAAATCTGACAGAAATTCTGATCTTCTCTCAAATACAGGAGGATATTTCTCCCTCCACTCACAACATGGATGTTCCGAACGTCAAACGTGAGGAATACCAGCTCGTAAGTAATGTGTCATCACACACGCCTCGCGTTCTAGTACGTAAGGATTCTGAAGGTGGCGCATTGACTAGGTCAACATTGATGACGATTTCCTCAACTTGATGACTTCGGACGGTACCCCCAAGGACGACGTTAAAGTCCCTGAGGGTGATATTGGCAAGGAGATCCAGGAGAACTTCGACGCTGGAAAGGATCTTCTTGTCACGATCGTTTCTGCTATGGGTGAAGAGCAGGTAATTATTATTCCTTATTTTATTCCAAACTATGCCTAACAGCAATCATCTCTGTGTAGGCTATCTCCTGGAAGGAGGCCCCGAAGGGAGCGTAATGACCTTGTGAGTCTAAAATATGTCTGCATCGATTTCCCACGATGCACTGCATCCACATGAATGACTCAATGCTGAATTGCTTCCCTTCCCTAATACAGGGTCCGATTCCCGATTCACGATCCTTCTGCCGTGTCTAGTCTCTTTTTTGCCTTGTTTACAATTCATTATCAGTCCTGCATGTACGACGCAACGTTTTCTCGTGTAATGTACAGCACGTGTTGTCTTGTCGGAAGCTGAAAGGTTATAGGTCATTGAACTTGTTTTTTTATTATCGTGCTCATGGCTAGGAGCTGTTGTATCGGTGGTTTAGATGCACTGTAAGGAGTTCTAGTTGATGTACTGGGGAGGCGCAAGAAAAAAAGGGAATATAATACATGGTTGTGATCATAGAGTGTGTTGGGAATATAAATACAAAATACGGAATTAAACTTGTGATGATTAAAATGTGATGGGTCAACTATCAGAATTAGTACCAAGAGCTCGGACGATGCACATTCTGTGATTCGATGCTGCGAGAAGGTGCGAAAAGACTTGCAGAGCCTGCTCGCAAGCCAAAGGGGTTCTCCGAATTACTCGACGTTGTAGACCACCCAAACCGCATCCGTGGCGGTCGTGGCGCACCAGCGGCAGACGGTGATAATCTATCGCCACCTGCTGTCCCTACTGAATCAGCCCCGGCTCGTTGGCGGAGGAGGATGAGTGTGTGCGTGTTTGCGCGATGGAAGTGTAAACACCTAAACGAACGAATCATTGTCAGACGAAAAAGGAAATTTATAACTGGAAAGAAATGTTTTGAATTTAAATTTACCTTCCGCCTGAGCCACCGTTCCATGGGATTGATCCCGTTGACTCTTCCTCGGCCCAGGATAGTAGCTCTTCGATTGCCGGGGCGTCGTTTGCGGTCAGTGCGCCACGACCTTTGCACCATGATATATTTCAATACCAAGAGAGTTTAAGAAACAGATTGGATCATTACAGTTAGACGCAGAGTAGTTGCCAGTGATCACGTCAACACACAGGTAGAAATCAAATTGCAAAGAACTGACTCACTTGCGATGGTAAGCCAAGAGTTACGTGTAAGAACAAGTACACCTGTTACGCCACGTAAGGCAAGACTATGTGTATAAGGACATACAAAGTTGGTTAATCAATCAAGCTGAGCGAATGAACTTGCAACAAACATGCTTACGCTTTATCGAGAACTGCGTCCATATCTAGCAAAGTAGCTACTACTCCGGACCAGCAGAGACAGAGGATTGCTTCAAAGGCAAAAATGACGTGAAAGGTAACTCCGAGTCTCGGTTACCACTAGACACAAAGAAGACAAGAAGCCAAGGCAGAGCGTAAGGCGGAAGCAGATTTCCCCGTAATATAATCGAATGTCGTAAAAGCGAGGCAGAACCGTGAGTAACAAGAAAGTAATAGCAGATCACTTGTTGTCTTCCCTTGAGCAAGTAATTCTCATCGGAAGGTCCTAGTAGACATCAGGAGATGAAACACGATGCAAGTGCATGGTGCCACGAGACGCTGTTGTGGTGACCACCATTGGTGAGGTGTGACGGTCGCGTAATAAAGGGGTTCTTCACGTTCGTAAATTAAGGGTGGTTGACCGATCATTTGAGATAAAATAGGACACTCTGTAATTGTGTTCACCGAGATGTATGAGTGTAAATGAAGAGAACTGTAGATAAATAGGCAAAATCGAGGTGGCATGGAGTCAAATGAGTCTCAAGCCTCAGGGTAAGATCAGACTCCGAACGATCAGGAACGAAGAGAAACGTCCTTGACCAGTTACATAATCGGCTAGTGATTTGCCTTTCGTGTTTGTTATTCCGATTTCTCAAAATGTATACGATCATTGAACCTATTTAATACTCTAGACATATGCATGATAATTATTTCCCTAACCGATCCAGATTTAGCTCTTAGATCTTGAGCCACTGTCGATAGCATAACGAATATCATGATTCAATGCTTAACCCAAGCAGTAATATAGGAAGATAATGACCTACCAAATGGCCGAGCGCATCCTCTGCTGAGATCCTTTTTCTATAGTCCTTCCTCAACAAACGTTCAGCCAAGGATACAGCTGGGAGGGTATGCTGTTTAGAATAACTCAACAAGAAGCAACAAAATATATCTTGCCTTCACTAAAGTTTTGCCATTCTTTTGTGTCAAACCTAAGTTCTTTCTCAAACTCCCGTGTATTATACCAATTTGCATAATTCTGTGCATAACAGAAAAGATTGTCCCTATTTTTTTGTGATGCATGTTCTAAGTAATCATGTTGCTTTTTCGGGGTATCGTATCTTTATATAAAATGAGCTCGAAAGCTGAAGTGGAAGAAATGGCTAGATTCACCCTTTTTTCTTCAGGTAATGGTCCTGGGCTGTCGGCCAAACCATTACGTCGATTGGGAATGTATCAGAACCATGTATCATTTCCCAGAATACAACACTACATTCGTTGGAGTTGAGCCATGCTCAGTCTACTGTCCACATGTACATATTGTAAGTAAGGACATACCCAAGTGCCCACATGTCTGTCTTGTGAGTTGTAATCCAATTTTCATTCGTACCCACAGCAATCTCAGGAGGAAAGTATAGAGGTGTACCGCAGACCGCCGCGTCACCATAAGTAGGATCACGTGTTACACTGATAGTAGGCAGAAGTTAGATTAATTACATTCTCTTAATTATTATTCAATATACATACAATCCAAAGTCAATGATCTTTACCAGTAGCGTGTTGCGCCTTTTATTCCTTATTACCATAATATTTTCTAGCCTTATAGCAGTTGTCAGCTGCACATTTACACAAGGTTGAGCGAAGTAGAATTACAGACTTTATGTCACGATGTACAATCCGATTGTCACATAGGAAACTAAGGCCAGTTAGGACTTGTCTAGAGGCGGAGCAAGTGTTATACTAGATCCAGGAATTAAATATATGCGAGCAAACCTCAGGATGGATTTTACATCTTGTTTATCTTTCATTGGAAAATTATGGATCTTCTTTCCCCGCCTCATGGTAGGCTCCTCACGGAGTAACATTTGGCAGAGAGTGGCACCTTCAATATACTCACAAACGAGACAAATCCTCCTGCCTAGGCTAGCTTTCACTCCTTGAGCATTCAGCTGATATTCTGTGTCTTCAGATGACCAAAATGCTTCAATAAATCTCATCTAAATGTAGTATATTAGTCTGCGAGTTTACACATATTTGTATCATCCTCTTTACTCACAATACTGCTGGGACGGTCAGGATTATCCTTTAAACTCAGTAGGAACTCAGTCTCTGATCTTTGCCAGTAGCCAAGTAAAGTATGTGGATCTGCAGGCTTCAGAGTCTTTACTGCATACCTGTCATAGTCTCCATTCTTACAAAGCTATTGAATTTTGTATGCACAAATAGGATGGCAAAGTTGGCTCAGGTCAGAAGCGACATTGTTTAATACTAATACAGTAGACGTACAAAGACCTCTCCATACATTCCTTTTCCAAGTATTCTTCGGAAATTGTATGACTTACTTGGCATTCTCTTTATGTGAGGGATCTCAGACAGATCATTCTCTTCTCCCAACTCCCCAAATTTCTGTTCTGCCAGTGCTGGGACCACTACACCTTGTTTAGCCTCATGTAGATATTGCTGTTTCTGAGATTCTGATAAATCATTGACTTGATTCTGTAACAAGCTTGACAGACTATTACTTTTGCTCATAGGACTACTAATTGTTCTCTGTGTACTTGTGCCTACAGTTGCCTGAGATGTATGAGGAATATTTGCATTTAAAGACTCTCTTATTGTTGCAGTATGTACACTGGCAGATGGTCTATTAGTACTATTAGTAGTAGACACATGTTGCCTATGTCTCCTTGTATTGTTGTCCACATTATTACTAGAGTTATTGTTATATAGTAGTGACAAACTCTTCTTAGAGTCTATAGTGCTACCACTTTGAACCTGTCCTGATGAAGAGCCAGGCCTAGGAGATCCAGCTCCTTGTATCTTATATGACTGTAATATTTTCCTGTCTGACATTGTATAAACTAGTAGACAGTAAATATAGGGATTAGATTTAGTATTATACACAACTTTGAGTTAAAAGTATTTAGCAGCCCTAGTTCTTTGCTTTAAGCTTCAATGCAAAATTATAATGTAATCAACTGCTTCTGTGTTCAGTCAGGCAATACTTACAGAACCTAGCAAAGAGTCCTAAGCATACACAACTAGCTGTGTAAACTAGTAAGCATGTAGTCAGACTCAGAAATTGTAACAATAACTAGGTACTAGCATAATGTGCTTACAAATATTCATTTTTTATTTTTCAGGACTGACTTATACTGTTTCCTGATAGTTCCAGGAGACAATGTAACACACTGGCCTAACTTTATACAGATCATTCAGTAACCCTTTACAAACAAAAGGGCAGTCTATTTGAAATTACAAGTGACTAACTATTCTTGTATCAGTTTTAAAACTTTACATATCAAGCAATTAGGAACAAAACAACTCCTCAATTCAGTACAGAGTTGACTAGCAATCCATGTTGTTGTGCAAATTTGTCCATCAATACAATTTCTCACAAAATTACAGCTAGCAGATCTATAAAGCTACTCTAGACATCTTATTATACTTATTTCTCTATCTAATTCAGATGCACCTATTCAATCTTGAGCCACTGTCAACAGTACAAATGTGTATTAAATATATAGCTCTGTGTAATTGTGGGAAAACAAGGACTGACCAGATCCTCAAGTGCACCTTTGGCCTGAATTCTTCTTTTATAGTTTTTCTCTAAGAAACGTCTGACCAAAGGTATAGCTGTAAGGGCACACATTAGCCCTGTCTTGTAAGGAATAAAAGGATTTGAACCTGCCTTCTTTAAACTTTTCCCATTCTTTAGTGTCAAATTTAAGTTCCTTTCCAAACTGGTGTTCATTGTACAGCTTTTGAACATGCTGTACTCGTCTAGTTAGCTTGTTAAGATCCTCTGTTGAAGCATTATCAAAGAACTCCTGGCGCTTTTTACTGTCCCAGCTATAAACAGGTGAGCACAAAAGGTCAGATAAGATGAAAATAGAGGCTTTACCCCCTTTTCCTTACGACTTCACGCTCAGCTTCATGCCGGGTCATTACGTCGATTGGGAATGTATCGATTCCATGTATCATTTCCCAGAATGTCACACTGTATAGTAAGAGTCAAAATCAGGCCAGCAATCCCTGCTAAACTCAACAAGAAGTGGTCAAAACACACCCAAGTGCCCAAATATCCATTGTACAAGTTGCAATTTTGTCGTCTATTGCGCCACAAGCAATCTCAGGAGGAAAGTACGGCCATGATCCAGCAATTGCACGTATACCGTGTGCACCCCGACTGGAGGCCCTTACTGCACTATTGTGAGTAAACAGAGAGTGTGGTATCATGATTAAAACTCAGAAGGTAAAATAATGAGTATTACACTTACAGTCCAAAGTCAATTATCTTTACCAGTATTTTATTACGCCTTTGCCTTACAATCAGAATATTTTCTGGCCTTCAATATGGTTGTCACTTTAGAACAGTTACACAACTGTAAACCAAATAGAGCTACTGACTTTATATCGCGATGTACCACATCAATGTCATCTAAGAATACAAGGCCAGTTAGGATTTGTCTAGAGATAGGATTATTGACATCGATAGATACATATGTATACTAATAAATATGTTCTTACCTTATGACAGATTTGACGTCCTGTGGATCCTTCATAGGAAAATCACGAATATTTGTTCCACGCCTTCTGATAGCCTGCTTGCGATGCAGGATTTGGAAGAGGGTGGGACCCTCAATATACTCACAAACAATACAAATCCTTCTTCCTAGATGGTCTGCAACTCCCTGAGGATTCCGCGGATATTCTGTGTCCTCGGATGACCAGAATGCTTCAATGAATTTCATCTAAATGCCAGCTGTGAGCTTTGCAAAGGGGAGAGAGATGACATTTATACAACTCACGATACAACCGGGACGATTAGGATTCTCACTCATCTCTTCTAGGATTTCTATCTCAAACTTCTGTTTGACGGCCATATGGATCTCAGATGCAGGTTTCATAGTTTTCACGGCATACCTATCCTTAGTGTTGACAGTACAGCGCTATAGAGTGTACAGATAGAATATGGGAATTGTCACCTCTCAGAAGCAATACTAGTTAACAGCTATGCACTAGACGTACAAAGACCTCTCCGAAAATCCCCCTCCCAAGAATCCTTTGAAAGTTATATGCTTTTCTTGGAGTCTCCCTGACAGCGGGAATGTCCAATAGACCTTCTTTTATGGGTGGCTCGACTGTTATTATTATTGGTTTCACTTCAACTTGCTGAACTTCCCTTTGATATGCTTGTTGCTGAGATTCTGATAATTCGTTGGGCGGATTCTGAGATTGACTGTGACTATCATCTCTTATAGTAGTACTTTCTGATCCTTGTGAATTTGTGTCTCCGAGCATATTATGTGAATGGTGAACATCTGCATTACTTCCTCTGGAGTGGGGCAGTGTACTAGCATGCCCGGAAGGTCGGCCAGAATGACCAGTGGTAGATGTACGGTCCTGCTCTCTGTCTGAGTTATTGGGTGACGCTGCGTCACGTCGTAGAACTGTGCTCTTCTCGGCATTCATCGTGCTGCTGCTTTGGACCTTTCCTGAGGACGGGGTAGGTCTTGCAGAGCCAGCCCGCGGGACATCAATGGAAGATCGTGCGTGTTTTTCTGACATGAAAGACGAAGTATCAGCCGTTGGTAAAGAAAGGGAGTTTGGCAATATAGCTGGTTTGCAACGTTTAATACTCCTGCACTGCTCGAAGGTTCTGTGCAATGATTATATTCTATTCTTGGGTTCTTGCTACGCCTGTGAGAAAAAAAGGGGTCACAATTGACAGATGTCTGCAAAGTGTTACTACTAACAGGGCAAAGTTGTCATTACCCGGTTAATCAACCGGAATTCATCCCCACATACATTAACATCGGTTACGTGTTATTCCTCTCTCTCGTCATTACTGAATTTTTTGATAAGTGAGTTTTTTTGGATCATGTATAACAAGCTAATAGGATGGCTTATTTATATCTTTCCAATGTAATCGATGTTCAAGGCACGTAAGTGCCAGAAAAGATGATGTTCGGAATTGCAGGCGAATGTGACAATTCATTACGCTGTTTAAAATGCGAATGACAATCATGACGTTATCACCAACATCACGTCCTAGCGTCCCTTGCCGAAGTAACCAAACTGGCTGCCTTGTCGCTGCGAGGGACAATATGACAGGCGAATTCCATTGGTCGGCTGCTTAAATAGTAAGTACATAAGTAAGGAGTTCGCTAAACGATGCCTACCTATTTAATCCGGAAGTGAACTCAGGGGCAGGGATTATTTCGCAGCCCTTTTCGTCCAAGGCCGGCAGAATATTGAAGACAGTAAGAATGCTGGCCATAGTCAACCAAATATCTGCTTCTGCAAAGTGTCGTCCTGGACAGACACTACAGGGGAAAATGAGCAAACCCCGGTCAAATGATGGAGCTTTGCAAGTTGATAATGAAGCATCTCACCGCCTTCCAAAACCGAATACGGCCATCCGCGGATCAAGGATGGATGATGCAACTTTGCCACTTTCAATAAAGCGATCAGGGTTGAAGGTCATTGGATCGTCATAATTTCGTTCATCGTGCATCATCCTCCTGATGCATGTGAGTACTAAGCATGCTAATACCAGACGTGGGGCGTACCAGACGTTTGGCATGATCATAGAGTTCTTTGGAATGTACTTTCCCTCTAATTCTCCATCGCGCATTGCCCGGTGAGCTATTGCTATCAAGAAATCAGCTGAGCATATAACTGAGCGACATAGTTAATTACCAAGTGGGAAAGGAGGGTTCCATCTGATATTCTGTCTAGCCCTGTTCAATGGGTACAAAAGACAAAGAACGACACACCTCAGGCATTCCTTCAGAATACAGTTTATATAGGGGAGCGATTCCTGTTCATCAAATGTTGGCAACCGTTCGCCACCGAGAACAGCATCTAGATCATTTTGGGCCTTTTTTGCAAATTCCGGATACAACACCATTGCCAGAAAGAAGGTATAAATTACTGTCGAGGTCTAATAAAGGTGGACGTAGTAAAAATGAGGAAGTGCACGAGTGGCTATGAAACCCACGGATCCAACACCACCTTTGTCGTCATAGTTTCACGGTAAGGTGTCCGTCTTTAGAGACAAATAAATCGCTTACCGCGATACATCGCACCACAGACATTCTTAATGGCTTCAAAGCGCTCCTTGTCATCAATTCCCTGCTGTTCATAACCATCAAGCATGTAAGTTAATAAGCAGGGAACTGCTGTTCCTGTTATCTGCACAATGGAAGGTATTAATGGATGTGAAATATACAACGCGGCCGGATCTCACGCGTTGCTCTTGGACAATCTTATACGGGTAATCCGAAATTTCTTGTGCCACGACTCTCGCCTTTAGTGCGCGCCTCTTAAAAGAAGCGCCTGGGAGGAAAGATGGGATATATTGAACTGACAGAGCTGCATGAGCTCGGGAACATCATGGATGATATAAGAGAGGACGAACGAAACGGGAAGAGATCCGCAGCCATGGTTCCATAAGGGCCACGTAGGCCTATAGCACTTTCTGAGTGTTCGTGTAAATTCATGATTGGGTCGTCCTTGGGCTTAACCTGGTATCCATAAGTAGCTGAAAGCACAGCTGATGCTGCGAATCTAAGCGTAATGGTTAACTCATATGAATGAAGTAAATAAATGCGTGGTATAACAATGCGTACCGTTTGATATTCCGCCAGAAGTCATTGGGTTCGGTGAGAAGATCTTGGAGCAGGTCATGAACACATTTCGTTTGCATCGGTCGAAGGGCAAGGACAGCTCGAGGATTGAGATATTGTTGCATTAGCCGACGATATAGTCTCCACGTATCTCCGTACGGCATAAACGTGGCCGATCGGAACCGTACCCTGCAGATAGACCAATCAATTGGTTCGCTATTCGAAGGATATGAGACCAAATACATCTTGACGATATAGTCCATAGGAGGGCGGTCAGAATAGCTCGCGCTGTGCTTGTCTAAGAGCTCATGCGCGTGCTCGAACTTATTCAAGACGATGACAGGCCGTCCAACAATTGTGAAATATATTATGTCTCCTAGAGGATGGATCATCGGAAAAGACGCGCATGTAGAAGAGCACACGGCTTACCAAACGTCTTGGACCATTCCGCATACTTCATCCACTGATATTTCGAAAGCATGACGTGCAAGTTTCCGGTTGCAAAGTCACCTTTCGGACCCGGAGGCAAGTTGAAGTGTCGCCCACTTGAAAGCCTCAGCGATGCAATGAGGATAGCTAATGCACCGCCAAGAACGACGACAGACAAGGTATCCATTATCGAGTGCTCACTCATCTTCCGCTCGCTTCTGGGAGGTTGGCTATTTATCAATCATTCTGGAGCGGCCGTGGGATCATGGCATCGGGAGAATGGATAACAAGTGATATTATGAGCTAATGATAGCTACACCAGTGAGTTTAGGTAGTCTCTGGATGCCGAACGTTGACTTCGCGGAATATAAGTTTATCCATAGTTAATTCATTTCGGCAGAATCTGCTTTTGTCACCCTTGTCCATACATTGAATAGCTGGAAATACAAAAATACTGTGAGCAGTGCCAAGAGAAAGGGTACACTGCATTGAATACTAATACTGAACCTACCATCGTTGCAATGGTGTGTGTATATTCCGCAAACCAACTCGTCCGGATCCGGATCGACGTTGACTTTCAATAGGAACAGGAGTCCGGACCTAGATTTGTATACATGTAGTTGGCTCTGGTGATCCTACCGGTCCTAGTGGAAAGAAGCGAAACATAGAGAACGGGTATTCGGTGAAAAATCAGGAAAATCAACTGGCGAGTGGTGTGCGTCAACGAGCGACCCGCCGCACGTGATTCATCCTGTTCCTCCGTTCTGAAGTTCCTTTATCCGATTGTTGTATTCGACGCGAAGCATCGACGAGCGGAACTGGCGGCTAGGCCTCATTATGAGAACTAAGTACATATGCTGACAGATGTTTTGAACGAATAGTGCCTCTCTTTTTTTTTTGGCGACTCAGCGCGAACGTGCAGCTTGTGTGCCATCGTCATACTCTCGACTCTTGAGAGTCGGAGAGACCTCTTCGATCCGGCGGAGGACCTCCTTTAGGATCTGATTCTAGAAGGTCAAAACTTCGGTTCTGGCCACTGAATTGCCAATAGTGACTATCCTTAGCTTGCTTCGTTCACTACTGTATTCATTCTCCGGAGCTCGCAATCTCACGGCAGTTCAAGGTTGAGCGATTTATAACCACTTCCCCTGATATATAATCCCCTTCCCAGACTGGCTAGCGATACGGGCACACTAGGATGGTTGCCTTATCTGCACTTGTCCTTGCTTGTGTACTCCTGTTCCTCTTTGCGTTACATGCGCTTCCGTGTCGACGTCCTCCGAACCTACCCTTAGGACCAAAAGGCGAATTCTTCGTCGGCAATCTGAAAGTTATACAATCGAAATATCCATGGAAAAAATATTCGGAATGGTCCAAGTCGTTCGGTGTGCAACAGTTTCCATCTGTTGTAAGTCTGCTAAAGATTGCAAATTAGGTGATATCATATACATGACTGTCGTCGGACGACCTTTCGTCGTTCTGAATAAATATGAGCATGCACGGGAACTCCTGGATAAACACAGCACGACCTATTCTGACCGACCTAGGATGTACTATATTGTTGAAATGTTATGAGGCTCATGTCTACCAAAGTACATCAATTGACGTGGCTTTCGCAGGTTAAAAATTCGCTCTGCAACGTTCATGCCATACGGTGATACATGGAGATTGTATCGCCGGCTTATGCAGCAATATCTCAATCCCCGTGCCGTTGTCATGTTTCGTCCAATGCAGACAAGTTGTGTCCACGACTTGCTACAAGACCTTCTCAGTGAACCAAATGACTTTTGGAGAATTATTAAACGGCGCGTGAAACATTTCCTGTCCTTATCCAAGTTAACAGTTCACCTTTCTTCAGATTTGCAGCATCGACTGTACTTTCTGCTACTTACGGATATCAGGTGGAGCGCAAAGATGACCCAATAATGAAATTACATGAACGAACGGACGGCTCCGTAGGCAGATTTCTTTCTGGAACTACATTTGTGGACCTTTTCCCACCACGTTCGTTTCTTTCCAAGTGTCTCTGATTTTTCAGGAGTTGATTCCGCCAGGCAGTTCGATACGTGCCTTCATTTTTTCCAGGCGCATCATTCAAGAGACACGCGTTAAAAACCAGCGCAATATACCAGGAAATAATGGATCGTCCTTACGAGACAGTGAGAATCCAACGAGTACGTGCCGAGCATGTTATGTCCCTTGTCTGTCGTTGATTCTTCACACTGTGTAGCTTGCTGGGACAGCAACATCATGCCTGCTTGCCCGTATGCTTGACGATTATGAACACCAAGGAATTGACGATCAAGAGCGCTACAGAGCCATCAAGGACGTTTGTGGTGCTATGTATCGTGGTATATTTCTAAATTTCTGATAATGACGTCCCTCTCACTGTCGGAGCATGCGTAATGATTTAGCTGGGGTTGCAACTGTAAATCCGTTTGTGACTCGTCTATTTCCTCAACTCACAGAATGCACCATTTCTAGACATCTTCAACAATATATACCTTCTTCTTGGCAATGGTACTGCATCCGCATGTTGCGAGGAAGGCCCAAAGTGTCCTGGACGCCGTTCTGGGTGGCGAACGCCTACCAACATTTGATGATCAGGAATCTCTTCCCTATATAAACTGTATCTTGAAGGAATGCCTGAGGTACGTCGTTCATCTTTGTAGTATATTAAAGAAACGAAGTCTGACAGAACAACAGATGGAACCCGCCTTTCCCTCTTGGTCATTGTTTGCTCTACTGAAACTTACTATCGGAACTGATCTCACAATAGCTCTGCCTCATCGAGCAATGCGCGAAGGAGCATTAGAGGGTAAATATATTCCAAATGGTTCAATTGTCGTGCCAAACGTCTGGTACGTCACATATTCGTATCATCACCCTCTTATGTACTTACATGACTACAGGAAGATGATGCATGACGAATGCAATTATGACGATCCGATGAGCTTCAACCCTGATCGCTTCTCTAAAATTGACAACAAAGGAACACCATCCATCCTCGATCCACAGGTAGCTGTATTTGGCTTCGGCAGGCGGTAAGATAATCGAACAGCTACCGACGTTTGCTTTGAATTTGCTCATTTCTTTTCCTTTGTAGAATCTGTCCAGGGCGTCACTTCGCAGAAGCGGCAGTTTGGCTGACGATTGCCAATGTCCTTGCTGTCTTCGATATCCTACCTCCCTTAGACGAGAATGGTCGTGAAATTCTGCCCAATTCAGAAGCCAGTTCAGGTTTTGGAAGGTAAGGTGCCTTTATGCAAGTTCGCGCATATACGCTAACTAAAAACTTTTCAATCAGCCAGCCGGCGGAGTTCACATGTCGACTTGTTCCTCGTAGTACGGAGGCGGTCAATTTAGTTAGGAATGCCAGACGTTGAGCAAATTAAGAGAATCTAAAGAAGCCTGTTCACATGTATGGCGGATCGCTAACGTATGGCTCGACAGCAGCTTTGTACTTCAAATTGTTCATCGTTAGCAATTTAACAGAGTACATGTCTCGTTCTCGCTAGTTTGGATTCAGTACCCGATGAACGTGTCTTGCCTTCCGTCCTCGACACCTGTACAGACGTAGTGCCACCATACAAGGACTGTTCTGTGGCGAACTACTATCCAATCAATATCAAAGATCGCAGAGATACTACATACTACATTGGGAGAAGGTCAATGTGCAACAGCCGTCACCTCGTCATCATCGAACTTGACCGTCCGATGGATCCACGATCGTGCTCGTTTGCCATCTATGTATCCAAACACGCAATATTGTCTATATTAATAACTGAATAATCCTCAGGCCTACTGAGCACTCACAGATGTACATTGCTAAAGACACGGGACGTGAGTTAGAAAAAGGAGAGTATTGAAACAGGAGAGAAAGAGGAAAGGGCAAGGTGTTAACATGAGACACGTACGAATAGTAAGGAAACACGTGAAGAGTGTGATTCCGCCAACAATACCAAATACATTGAGGACACCTCGGGCTGCAAACCAGCTAGATAATTTGAATCACGAGAGACGAATGATAAAAATCGAATACAACGACCAGTTAGAGGTATTTCAAATTTCACGTTTTATAACGAACGGTTACTCAACTCGTTGATGAACAACGTAATGATGAACGAGAACCTGTTGAAATAGGGGGAAAAATTATCACATTGGGAAATTTAGCGTTTGGGAGTATTGGGAATTGGAGCACAGGTCTAAGTGTGAATACAAGACGTACATGTTTTTGAAACTAGTGTCGCCGTCGGCATCGGTGTTGTCGTCGTCGGTGGTGTTGTTGTAATCGAAAATATAATTCATCAAGGCCGAACCCGATTACAGCGGTAAACCAATTCAAACTCGGTCAGCCTCGGTCGTTGTGAAGACGTATATGAAAAACGATAAAACAAGGAAAGATGGATGAGACGTACAAGATGACCCCGCCTAAGGCCGAATCAGCGGACTGGCGATGCGAGTCAACGACATAGCCTATTGCCGCAGAACAGCCAATCGTTATACCTTAAAATAACGAAAGTGTAAGAACAAGGCAACTAGCTAATTTGAGACCGTGCACGAAAAAGATGAAACTGAACAATTCAAATGCAGTATATACTGACCGAAGTTGATCAAACCGAAAAAGATGACGGGTCCGATCCATGGATCATGTATGTCTGCAGAAATCCTGTTTTTATTGGGGGTTTTCGCACGTAGTCAGAATTCAAGTGGTTTATTTTGCGGATGACACGTGTCAGTAGGGAAGAACACGCACCCCCAACCAAAGAATCCCATTCCACCAAATACCGCGTAAAAAACAACGAGGACGAGGCGGAACTCTGGTTCGAATATACCTGCATGGAACAGCAAGACACGTAAACATGAAATGGATGTCGAGAGTTATCAGTTTAGTTTAATAGCAGACCTTGATTCGCTAAGCTGAAGCGCTTCGCGACGTAGTCGGTGAGAGGACCGCATAGTAGTGCGGCAAGGAAGGAGAAGATGAAGGGAGACACTGAGAAACGTTAGTTTTATTTTAGTTTTAATGCATATGGCATTCGCAAGTTGAGGTCATGCGTACTGTAAGTGAGCCCAATATTTCCGGTATCAAAATTATACGCTAGCTCAAACGAATATCAGCGAAAAAGAACGAATGGGTCAATTCTCCAACAAGTCAAATTCTAGCGAATCATTAAAAGAAATAAACTTACGTGGACCTGAGAACAACTGCGCAACACTCGTCGCAATCAACACAAGCCACGTAATCGCCACACCGTACAAAAGACTCGCCCATAAACACACAGGTGTCAAGCATGCAATGAACGGTCGGAGGAGTAAGTTGCACACTGACGCCTTCGTCGGGTAAATTCCGTTATACACTGACAATTCCTGAAGATAAGATTTCTTTTGCGGAATGCTGATTATGTGTTCGGTAGCTGAGGTCTTCGCCTTCTCGGGGTCGATATTCTCTTTACTGGACTTTTGGCTTTCGGATTCATTCGGAGCAGTAGGGACCAGGCCTGGAACGATTCTGTGATAGGTTGTCTCAGGTGCTAAGGACTACTCAGGGCGAATGCGCACTACGAAATGACGAGAGAAACTCACCCAAGAAGAATTGGAAGAGGAAAAGAACACCGCAAAAAATGGAGAATAGCTTGAAAGCGAAACGCCAGCCCTGCTTCATGATGACTTGACCGGTGATCGGTCTGTGAAGTATATATGCACATTAGAATATTATCTCTCACTTTATTTGAACCGCACGTACGGAGTGATATTAATGCCATTGAGTAGCGCAAGGTTCCCTATCGCTCCCAAGTCAGTCACGATTCTCGGAGTTGAAGAAGAGGTCATTTACACAATGCAACCGGTATACCACGCTACCGAAGACAGCCGTAAATACCGCGGAAGCCTCTCTTGTTCACGAGCTTACCTCGTGTGTAAAGTATATATCCGCGATAGATGCTCTAGGTCATCATAATATGTTATTCTTAGCTACAATACCTTAAAATGAGTAATGAGGTAGAGAAGGTCGCACCCGACTAGGAACTCGAGTACCGCTTCACCAACTCCTTGTAGAATTCGAGAGCCTGGAAATCGAAATTAGTGGTAGGTTAAGCTTAGTAACAATATTCTAGCAGACGCACCGAGTAGCATATTATAGTTCTTAGCTATAAGAGCGGATATTATCCAAGGCCAAGAGTTTAGAGACACAAGAGACAAACATAACTTGATCACCCACTAAACGAAGCAATCATAGATCCTGCAAACATCATAAGTGAACTAAGCAGGAAGACCTATTCAGCCAAAGAAAAGGAAAATCAGAAAATACTCTTAAATTATTAACTGCATTTGTTCAAGTTTATCATATGAGAAAGAAAAAAAAATACTACGTACAGGTCGTTTACCGAACTTAATACTCGACACGGACCACACGACAGTAGCGAATGCGAGGGCAAGCACAAGCGCAGAACCAAGTGCGCGTGAGATTGCTTGTACGGAACGGTCGAATTCGGCAGCTATGCCGACCAAGTCGGCGGATACGATAGGTCCCTGAGTATTTAAATTGTCAATTATATCTCATGTATTGTGGTATTGTGGTTTGGAGTGAGAGAATGAAAGACGTACCAAGACACCACAGACGACAGCTGGAATATCCTGTTAGTAGGTTGTATAATAAAACATAGTATTATAATATTTTGGAAATACTCACTCCCGTAAACTCTGCACAATGCACACAATAAAAGGAGCCCACCAAATAATTAGAAAACTAACACCATACCCCACACCCAAAGAAGAAAGAAAAAAAAGTTAAAAATAAAAAGAGAGAAACTCACAAAACGAAAAACACCATATGTTTCTTCCACGTCGGCCAATTCAGCGGATCATTCGGGTCGTCAGAGGGTTGTGGGACAAGCACGATATGTCCTTCGTTTTTACCCTTGGCATGTTTGAGTGACGATAAATCCAATCCGGCGTATACGCTTTCTGCGATGGCGTTTGGGTCGTCGCTGAAGAGCGTTGTACCTGGAACGTGTTCTAGGTGTTTGTCTTCTAGGATTCCTAGGCCCATCCTTTCCTCTTTTTTTCCCTCTTTCTATTATCGTGTTTTTTGATTTACCGGAATCGTTTGAACCCTATGCAGTGCTGTGTATGAGTATTGGTGAGCTAAGTTTCTCCTGATCGGAGGACGTGCAGAAGAACTGGAAACGTTGCTACCAAAAGGATTCAGTGTGTAATCGGACTTGTAGACGATATACCAAGAAGTCCGCTTGAAACCAGGAGACCAAAAGAACAAATATATCAGCCTAGGCGTGGAGTGAAGATGGACGAAACACCGAAACACTCAGAGAGTCACCATTCGTTCACAGCTCGTTTATATACATATACATATACATAATTAAGGTCAGGGAATATTTTCCAGCTTCTTTTCTCTATATGTAACCACATGAGCGCTCCGCGCTCCGATAGAAGGAATAGACGGCAAGCAACAGCGGTATCAGTTGATTCGCTTGAATGCGTAGGTGTGTAGGTAAGTGGGCGTTTATGGGTGAACTTATTATCCTGAACCCGTGGGTGGTGTGGGAGTTCTCTTTCTGGCTGGGTATTACAGGATGATTGGATGGCTGGATGATTAGTTGACTGCAGAGGTAGAGATTGGCGGGCAGGTTCTGTAGTCTGAGTTTACTGACTGCAGAGGAAATCGTTTGGTCAGGTGGTTTGAGTTGCGAGGAGATGGCGTTAACATTTTACTGTATTTATGATCGTCGTCTGTACGTACCAAAATAATGTTGACTAGTTTTTTCAAAGTACGCCTATCTACGTCTATTGAAAGCAGCGTCAGAGTTGTTTTTGTCTCTATCCAAACAACACATACAGACTCAAGCTACGTCTAAAACTAATAATTATTCGACGACAGCAAATAACGATTAACATTAACGAAAAAATCACAACTTATCGTCTATCATCTATTCACCTATCACCGCCTACGACCGCCTTTACCACCCCTAGCCTTAGAAGACCCTCCTCCTCCCACTTGCTGCTTCGGACTAGGACTCGACTGTGTACTAGAAATATTGGATGCATCGGGTTCGTTTTCTGTGAGGAGGGCGGAGAGTCTAATTGCAAAGTTTAATAAGTTTGAGATTTTTTTATTTACTTTTATTTTTATCGATAAAGAGTATGAATTTGGACGAACCCGCTACGAAAGTCACCGGATTGTATGGAACTTTGGATACCTGATACTCGGGATTGTCGTTCGTTGAGTTCTTTTGCTACTTCGGGGTCGAGGTTTTTCTAGTACCAAGAAAAATAAAAATTCGATATCAATACGCCAACTCCTCATCAAAGAACCAAACCAAAACGACTAGAATCGAATACGTACGATGAGATAGGGCAATCCGATAACGAGTACACCCATGACAAGCATCATTAAAACCATTGGGTTTTGTAACATGCCGAGTGCGTTGAAGGATTGAGGTTCGACGAAGTAGTTTGCTTTTTGTCGGGGTGTGAGTGCGATTGGGTATTGGAGGGTGATGGTTGAGGGAGGGTTGTGTGGGGTGCCTTGGACGTATGGTCGAACGTCGGGGAGACTTTCGCCTGGGGAGTGGACGTCGACGCGGAACTGGAAGAAGACACGTTATTTTGGACGGGAAGCAAAGTGAGGTAGAGGAGAGCTGACTGAGTCGAACATGATGTCGTGTGAGAGTACGTTGAGGATGTATGAACCTTCGTCGACATCAGGGCTACAACATTATTGTCGATGAATTGTACAAGTATATTATTGAATTCTGCTACTCACATTGAAAAAGATCCGTCTCGTCGAATACCACCTGAGTAACGACTATCATCGAGTACGACTTTGGAATGGCCAAGTGAAGAATACCCTGGAATCACGAACCATTGAATACTGATTCCTCTCGTAGAGCGAGAAGTTCCTAACCTGGACAGACACTATTCCACAATACACGACCTTCCAAGGAGGAGGACGCGTCGGCAATCTGAAAAGCACTGGTAGGCCGTTTAGTATGACGCGTGGGCGCTGTTAGAGGTTCCGGCATGGGCCACTCACGCCACTAGCAGTATCAGAGCAGCCAACACGAAACGAGACCTGGACATTGTCGCCAACGTCGACGTGCGGGATGAAGGCAGACAGTACTGAGCAGTGCAGGGTCAGGCAGGAAGGGAGAGTGCGTCGATCTGCTGCAGACCAAAAGAAGCAAGTGCTACGTATGCGACCCCCTACTGGCACTTAGCCCTCACTTATTTGTCCTCTCCTCGCCACACTCGAATTTTATAGTCAGCGAGAGAAGAAACAGCACAAGCAGCGAGTTTCAAGTTGTCAGCACACGCGACGTCTTCGGGAGCTTGGCTCGGCCTGATAGGTCTATTACTACGGCATGATGAACGGCGTTTCAGGCAAACTCGACGGCGACTCGCGACAACGCGTCAAGCCGAAGCTCAGCATTGGCGTTGATGGCCTCAGGAGTGCGGCTCTCAGAGCAATTACAATCGACACAACACCCTCACCGGCAGTCGAAACAGTGGTTAACAACGACAGGGACGGCGTGGAGGAGGAGAGGTCATCATCGCCTTCTTCGGCGTCCAGCTCTCCTCTCGAAGATGCACTCAGCATTGGCTCGGACTCGGAGTACTCAGACGACATTAACAAAAATCTTCAAATGCTCGAGAAATTACGCAGGAATGTGCACAAAAATCTACGCCTACGGCCCTTGCGCTCGTCGGCTGAAGGTCTGGATAGTTCCAGCCCTCCGAGGACGGAGGCTGTGTTCGACAGCACGGAGCATCAGCACCGCTCAGACAGTCCCGCCCTCACGGACTCGCCTGCGCCTTCGCCGGCTCTAAGTGTGTACTACACGCCGACGACGGAGTTCCGTGCATCCCCATTAAGCGCACGCTTCATTGGAAATTACAACGACTCCGACTCGACAAATACCACTCCCGTTTCCGTTGCGCGCCATCATGCGCCTCACCTAGGGACGACGCCCAGGCCGTCCAGTAGCACAACAACGACACCCTTGTCGTCCCCACCACTTCAGGGCATGGATGCCGACTCCCTGTTCGACCGACTGGCTGCATCAAAACGGCCCTTGCTAATTGACACCCGGCCGCTCGCATCATATCTATCTTGCCGGCTCCAGCACAGCCTCAACATAGCCATCCCCTCCCTCATCCTCAGACGGCGGAAAAAGTCAGCCGCAGGCCTCCCGTCGCTCGAGGCGCTTCGCACGTACATAACAACCGATGCCGGCAAGCGCTTGTGGGACGACTGGATCAGCGGAAACGGAGCCTGGACCGGAGACGTCGTGGTATATGACGAGGAGATGGACGAACACAATCGAGATAATCTTCAGGCCCTATCCTGGGCGATGTTATCACTTTTACAGCCCCTTATTGGCAATGCAGCCGTCCATTTCCTCAAAGGGGGTATAGCCGCGGCGCGTGCCCACCCGGAGTCCCATCAGTATATCATCGCGGGGGAACAGGACGAGCCAGCCGAGTCGCGTACAGACTCTCGCCCAAGCGACGGGTCCTCCCAACACCAAGGCAAAGGCGGTCTGTTTCAGCTAGATACACAGGCGGCTGCCCGCTCAAAAACCATGCCTCAAGTCGAACCTCCGAGCTCGTCCCCCGGACCCCTCACTTCTTCTTCCAACCACAACATGTTATGCGATCTTTCTCCTTCACCTTCTCCTTCCACCTCTTCCTTCCCGCACAATGCAAAGCCTCGGAAGTGTAGCATACCCAACCTTCGACGCATTGATACATCTTCTGCGGAACGTCTCATTCCGAAGCTGACAGTACGGACGGTACCTCTTAAATCGAACACGTTGGCTGCGCCGATGTCGATGAGCAGGCATTCATCTTCCTCTTCCCTTCGTTCAAATTCACCTTCGCACCTTAACCTTTCGTCATCGAAAAATGGCCAATCGAGAAGTCGGTCTCCGCCTAGTAGGAATAGTTCAATCGAATGTCTTTCGACCAACGTTCCTCCCCCCGATTCCCTCACACCCCGAACTCCGAATACTCCGATGGGCTTCCCTGCATCGCCAGCGACTGCCCGTCCTGATTATGACCAGCCACCCTCAACGGAGGATCCCTTACCGGTGTTCAGCATTTCGATGATTCTGCCGAACTTCCTATACTTGGGGCCCGAACCCTCTTGCGATGAGCATGTGGAGGAACTCCAGTCATTAGGGGTGAAGCGCATCCTGAATGTCGCAATAGAATGTGATGATGATCAAGGGCTGCGGTTACGAGAGAAATTCGAGCGATATACCCGCATACCTATGCGAGATATTGTTGAGGAGGAAAATGTTGCTCGTAGTGTTCGGGAGGTTTGCGACGCTCTTGGTAAGTCTAGTACTCGTCGTCATTGCCGAGTCCTCCTTGCTTATATTTTTTCTTCTTCTTTTTGTGGCATTAGACGACGCCCGATTACATTCCGCCCCAACATACGTACATTGCAAAGCCGGGAAATCGCGTTCCGTAACAGCAGTCATCGCCTACCTAATCCACGCCAACCACTGGACTCTTTCACGTGCCTACGCCTTCGTGACAGAACGACGAAAGGGTATATCCCCAAACATCGGATTCGTTTCGGAACTCATGACCTTCGAGGAACAAGAACTCGGAGGCAAGTCCGTCGGAGTAGTGAACCCTGCATCCGCTGTCGGCGGCGGTGTAGGTGGCGAAGGAGGAGTACACAACCACCACCCGGGACTCCACAGTGCTATAGGCCTCAGCATGAGTAAACCAAGTAATTTCGGGTATGGTGCCGGAGTGAGAGGGCGAGCGGCGAATTTGCGGGAAAGTTTACCTCCGTTGGTGGCGAGTCATCCGAACTCGGAGATGATGATGGTCGTTCCCGGGCAGTTATCCGCTGGTGGGATTGCTGGTGGTGGACCTGGAGGAACGGGTAATATGGCGATGAACGCTGCGAGGGTGGGTGATTCGGGACAGGAGATGGAGATTAAGGATGCGAGTGGGAGGTATCGACATGCGCGTCGGGCACCTGTGGATGAGAATACTCTGCAACCGATGCGTCGTGTGAGCAAGGCCGGATTGGAGAGCTCGATATACTCGTTTGCTGATGTTTGAACATTCTTTCCATCCCTCTCCCCCCCTCTTTTTTTTTGTCTTCTTTGTTCCCTTTTCCCTTCTTTTTTTTTCACTCTTAGTGTTTTTTCCATGCTTCTATTTTATTCCAGTTAATGCTTTTATTTCTTCGTTTACTGTGTGATTTATTCTCTACGGTTCACGAAGTTCTCTTTCCCTTCTTCTTCTGGTCTACTCTGCTCTTCTATTTCTCTTCACGTTTCTTTTCATCGGTACTTCACGAATCACCTGCAGGCATGTTCCTTATTTCTCCCTTGCACTTTCCCCCTTTAACTTTCTTACGTTCTTTACGCTCCTTTCTTTATTATCTTATTTCGTCTGCGTACGATAATCTTATTTTTAACGAGCCTTTTCTTTGGATCCTGCATCTCACATAGTTGTATTTTATTATTAAACGAAGCATACCATGTATCATCACAAATGGCATCTACAGACTACACATTTCGGACTTTCCCGATTCCTTTCTCCTTTGATTGCTTGACTTGATGAACGCTATAAATCGACTTCGGATCCGTAACAAGGTAAAAATAAAAACCTCCGTTGCTCTGCAAGGGAGGTAAAAATTAGGAAGAACCTAACAAAAATAAAGCACACATACCCATCCCTACAGTCAGGATAATCAAAAAATCAAAATCAAAAAAAAAGATCAAAATAATTCAATCAGACAATCAGACAATCAAAGTTTCCCATAAACAGGTCTCCCATCCACCACAGTTGCCATGACTTTAGCTCGTAAAATTTGGGGAAAGGGGACGGTCATGATGTTGGTATCGAGTACGACGAAATCAGCGTGCTTCCCTGGGGAGAGCGATCCGATTTGGTCTTCGTTGAAGGAGGCGTAGGCGGCGTCGAGGGTCATGCCTTTTAGGGCTTCGGAGCGGGTTAGACGTTCGGAGGGGAACCTTAGTAAATGTGAAGTTGGGAGAGAGGGTGAAGTTAGTGAAAGTTAGTGAAGGTGAGTAAAGTGAGGGAGGGAAAGGAAGGTAATGTGAGGTAAGTTAGATAGGTAATTTTGCAGTGATAATGGCAATGTTGATGGTGAAAAGGCGATGTTGATCGGGTCAGAGTGAACTGAGGTGAGTGGAATAGTGCAGAGCCAGTTACGGCATTATCAGCATGAAGGAGGAAAAGAGAGGAAATCAGTTCAGTTCGGTCAGCCTACCAGTGCGCCCATCATCATCATCATCATCAGAAGTACGTATATCAATACGGAGAGCATAGGGCCGTTCGTATCCTGTTCACTTCCGGGGAAACCGATGGATAGATGGATGGATGGATGTGTGATGGATGGACGATAGAAGAAGATAGAAGGAAAAGGAACGTGGACGACAACGTGAAAAGTCCGAAGGCAAAAAAAAATCATCAACGGATCGGAAATGCGTACCATCCGTCAGTTCCGTGCGGGGAGTCTCCTGACTCCGAGAGGCGTGTCACAGCCGCGTAAAAGCCGAGCAACGGGTTCACGCTCTCGACGGGGAAATCTGAGCCAAGAGGCAGAACGTGGGCCTCGGAGTTTCTGAAGATTACGGAAAGGTGAAGGAAAGGGAAGGGTGAAAGGGTTCGGTGTTAGCTGATATAGAAGTATAAAACGCCGAAGGAAGGATGGAGGACGGGATCGGGGTGGCTGTGTCGAGGAGGGGAAATGTGGAGGCTGTGAACGGAACTCGGCTCACTGTAGGAGTGTTCTGTAAGCGTAGGCTGACTTGATTCGTTCTGGCCCCTGTAACCGGCGTGCGTGAGATTGGGCGTAACTTTTGATACGGCATGCGCAGTATGTGCTTGGCGCACGACTGCCCCTACATTCGTGATCATCAAACGGCGAAGGTCTACTCACCAATCGTGACTCAGCATACCACATATCGGTCGTGCTAACAGATATGTGCAATGCACAAATTAGTACAATGGTCTTCGGAAACGTTTTCCCGGCGAACTGATTCCCGAGAAGAGAAATTTAATAGACTCACGCATGGGTCGGCTGCACACTCGCAATCACTGGGCGTCGTGGGATCAGCAAATAGGCATCTCTGTTAGCGCACATATCCGAGTCCGACTCGGATTTGATAGGCAGAAAAGTAACTTCAGACTTACCTCCGAGCCGTGCTGTGCGCTCCAAATCCGACGGAGTCATGATCTGGGCATGTTCGATGCGAGGTCTGTGCTCTGCTGCGCTTGAATTATCTCGCAGTAGCTTCTCGAAGATATCCAGAACGACATTGTTGGCTAAATCACCGATGCAGTGGATATTCTGTACAAAAATGGAAGCAATGTGCGGATCATGAGGGAGAAGTGATGCTCTTAGGTGCGTGATTGAAGGAGAGAGACGAAGACGCACTGTTTGGAAGCCAGAATTCCAGAAGTCGGTGATCACGTCTGATAGTCTTTCGGGGGAAGCCAGCAACAACCCTCGAGTCTCAGGCTTATCCGTGTAGGGTTCCATCAGCGCAGCACTCCACGAGCCCAGCGAGCCTGTACCACAGAACCACAGATGGACAAAAGCCGAAAATAAATAACATTAGACATGTTCCGATTTTGTCGAAGAATGAACGGTTTCTTACCGTCGCTCATCATTTTGATACTGCGCAACGTGAGTCTTCCCGCAGGTCCATAGTTCACGAAACGCTCGATCTGCTCGCCTCGGTAGTCAAGCAAATTAATAGCACGCATAAGATAGAGCCGCAGCTATCGTTATGCGGTGCATATCATAAGGAACCAAACATCAGAACGCGAGTCCAGACATGCTCCTAAGCAACTGGAGGCAATTCGAACATACCGGAAGTTTGTTCGCATCGGCTACCCTGAGCAAGAAAGAGTTACCAATATCAGCATCAAGGACACATTTACCCAAATCCAACATACCTTTTGAAAAATTCTATGGTACGCGGTAAAGCCCATGCATCGTGTATCGAAGTAAGGCCGTAAGACAGCGCCTCCTTCACCGCCGAAAAATAGTAGTCAAGCATTTGCTTCTCCGTCCATTCCGGTACCTTGATGATGTCCATCGCATTGTCCACAAATATACCTGTTCAAAATTTGAGGTCGAATCATTGGCAACGTGAAAGAATGAAACGAGTCTTCTGGTTACCTGTAGGACTGCCATTCTCATCCCGGACGATCAGTCCACCTTGGACGTCTTGTGGAAGGTTGCCAGCTTCGTCAATCACCTTCTGAGACACCCATACTGCGTGGTAGTCAACTCGAAGTAACCGTATCGGGCGACCTCGAAGAAGAGGATCTGCCTCAAATTCAGCCTACGAAACGTGAGCTGAATATCCGATGTGAAGGTTACAGGTCATTCACCGCCGTTGGAAATTCTCTCTCAGGCCATTTTGTTTGATCCCATCCTATTAGATGGTATGAACGAAAGTACGTCAGGGTGGATGAATCTAACCGTTCAAAGAGCTCACTCCTCACCGTCCCCCTGTATCCATAAACCCCTGTCCTTCAACAAGTCTGGGCGGTTCTTAACGTAGTTTTTCACTTTCTCAATTACCTCTGAACAAGTTTTGGTGCAATTGTATTGGCTTAGTTTCTCCCCGTAAATTTCTTTCAGGACAACTAACCTGAAGCTGATGTGGTGTTGCCCACATCCAACTCCATCTTGAACCCTTGCTCAAGGAGATGGGCATGGGAATCTGGATGACAGGATAAAAAAACGCAAAGTGCCACAGAATACCGTTTACGCATTACCTGCTAGACCAGGGACAACGATATGACCTGGCTCAACGAAATAGAATTTTAAACCACTCTTGAATGCCTTGAACTTCTCTGCGAGCATGCCTGGCCCGGTAGTGGCTGAGTCTCCGAATCGCTGTCGAGTTCCATCTGGAATAGCATTCCAGAGATAATTTCCACCCACCACAATGGATCAAACACACATGATTCAGATCAATTGATAAAAGGGGTAAAATAATACATACCAAGTGTACCAACTGATAAGATACGGGACTCGTGAACAACGATGCACTCTGCTCGAGGGGTACTTGCATCGACCGTATAAATATTTCCTTGTTTTGAACACAGTGCATATGTCTTCGGAAGAGCAGAAAACCGCCCTCGAAGGAGTAAAGAAAGACCGAAACTACAAATGATGATAAATATCAGAGGCACAAGTCGATTTGCGGTCGCGGCAGAATTCGGTTGATGAGAGATTCGGTCTTCAGCTTTCCTCGATGTGCTTTTCTCAGAAGTCACCAGCTCTCCGCTTGTGTATGTGCCATCACGTCCAGTTGTATCTTTGGAATCCGCAGAGCGTCGTCGAAGGCCGCCAGATGAGTCTTGTGTTGATGGTACGGACATTGGGATGTTGATTGACAGAGTTTGTTGACGACTTCACGCGTGTCGTTCATCCTCACCCTTCGGTTCTCGCTATCATCATTATATCGCGTAAAATCCTATAGCTTGTTTTGGGTGCTCTCATTGTTATCCATTACGCTGCTATCTCTCGCTCTTTGCGGAGAGATTCATGACGCGAGACTTGAGAAAGTAATAATTATGCAGAAATAAGTAGGTATCGCCAATTCTTGTCAGTTGGATGCATATTTTCCGAAAGTTTTTTTATAAACTTTGCACACCCATCCCAGTTTCTCGATGACATGTTCACGGGCCGTGATTGATGAAGAATCCAGTTCATACTCGATGGCATGGATATCACACGACCTCGTTCACCACTCACGTGTCTCTTCGTTCGTCACGAGAACGGCAACTTATTCTCCTAACTGTGATGGAGCAGTCTAAAACAGTATCTTATATCGCCTACCATGTCGACGAAACATGTTTTCGACAGCTCCGACGGTCTGGTCCTGAAGGCTCTTAGAGGCGCTGTCGCTCTCAATCCGGATTTGCGTTTGTGCGTGTTCCGTAATCTTATCTTATCAGACAGTTACCAATGTTGATGTTAACTTCGTCGGTACAAATGGCAGACATGCAGCAACGAAATCCGTCTATGCAAAAACGCGAAGTAACGCGCGTGTAGCTCTGATCTCGGGTGGAGGAGCGGGACATGAACCTGCTCACGCAGGTTATACGGGTCGCGGCATGCTCGCTGCTTCCGTATCTGGAGATATTTTTGCCTCTCCAAGCGCGTCTCAAATCCTGACGTGCATTCAGCTTGCAGTTGCTGCACAAGAAACCAACCAAATATTGCTCATTGTCAACAACTATACGGGCGACCGACTCAACTTCGGTCTCGCGGCGGAACGCGCCCATGGGTTATCCTTTCTCCCGGAAGCTGGCTTGAAGCAGATAGATGGAGTAGAAATTGAGACTGTCGTGGTTGCGGATGATGTATCGTTATTTGATAAACCGACGCTCGTAGGTCCGCGCGGACTAGCTGGGAACATTCTTGTGTGCAAGGTTCTCGGAGCCGCCGCGGAGTCTGGATACAATCTCGAGCGGTTGAAGAAGCTCGGCAACGCTGTCACTGCAAATTTCGTGAGCATCGGCGTGGGGCTCGCTCATTGCCACGTCCCAGGACGTCAGAATCCAATAGAAGAGTCCTACATTGAAGATGGGGTGTGCGAGCTTGGACTAGGTCTACATAATGAACCGGGTGTTCGTCGGATGGAGATAGGCAACGCAGAGAAGCTGGTTGGAACAATGTTGGATCAAATCTTGAGTAGCTCCGATCGCAAAGCGAGAGCGTTAGGATCGTTAGGACCGACGGAGACCTTCGTGCAATCTGGAAATAGCCTAGACGAAGTTGTTCTCTATGTGAACAGCCTGGGTGGAATGTCGATACTTGAGATGAGTGCCATTGTAGACGAGACTGTATCTCAACTCGGTATGTGTGGTGCAAGTCTTCGTCCTTTGCACGTGTCCTCATAATCATGCCATGCTATAGCGTCGCGAAACATCCATCCTGCACGAGTCCTCCTTTCGTCTTATATGACATCGCTGAACGCGCCGGGATTCTCACTGTCTCTGCTTAACGTTTCTGCAATCTGCCGAAATATCAGTTCGCCTAATGAATCGGTGGACGCAGTCACCGTTGCGGAGCTCCTTTCGTTCGTTGACTTCCCAACAGATGCGACTGCGTGGGCTGGTGTTAAGTCTCACTGGCCTGCACCAGGGCAGCATCGTGATCGAGTTTCGGAAGACGAAGAAGTGTCTCAACTTCTCACCGCGTTCTCAACGAATTCCATCCAACAATCATTCTCATCTGGTGAAGTTACGGATGGCAGTTCGAGCGCTGGATGGGCAAGTGCTGGTTTGGACCCTGAGCTCGTCAAGGCTGGTATCCGCGGCGCGTGTAGAGCTGTCCTGGTAGTTGAGAATGATCTAACACACTTCGATACTATTGTTGGCGATGGGGATTGCGGTGCGACATTCTCTAGCGGTGCACGAGGTGTGCAAAATGCTTTCCTTGTCTTGTTCTCTTGTAGAGGAGCTAGACGCTGATGTAGTATGTTTAGCTGTGATGAGGGCCTTAGAAACCGGCGAACTTGATGTCAGTAAACTGGCTCCTTCTGACCTCATGGCGGCCTTATCGGAGCTTTTGCTGAACTCAATGGGCGGGACTAGCGGCGCATGTAAGTAAGATTCATTCTACGAATTTTGCCGACGTAACTTAAATGTTTAACTTTATGTCGAACCAATCATACGTGCTTTTTACAGTATTTGGCCTGTACTTCACGGCACTCTCCAATTCACTGTCCTCGAGCCATACGAAAGCCAAATTACCTCCTACAGGCCAAAGCCTATCACGGACGAGTTTTGCGACCGCGCCAATGGCAGCCCTCGAAGCTCTCGGAACACATACTCCAGCTCGTCCAGGAGACCGTACGATAGTGGATAGTCTGGCACCTTTCTGCTCCGCGCTCACGGCTGGCGAAAGTCTGCAGACCGCGGTAAATCGAGCAAAGGAAGGTGCGGAAAGTACACGCGGTATGCGAGCGAAGCTTGGACGAGCCACTTATGTTGGGGCTGGAAATGCACGGGGAACTGAGGACCTGGACCCCAATTTACCACCGGATCCAGGTGCTTGGGGTGTCGCTGCATTATTGGAGGGCCTCGTTGAAGGATTGAATGGATTGCATGCTTCTAATGACTAACACTGAAATCGATGAATAACAGAAACACAACAGGGACCGATGTTTTTGATTCTGGTATGTATTTGGATAGCTGATAGAATGCCAGGATTTGAAGAACTGGTAAGAGTGGACATGTTACTGCTTGCTGCAATAAGCTAGCACTCAGTACCAGAATCCCAAACCTATATATGCGTGTTTGTATAGGGCGTTCAATTCGAGAAGACAGTCCACCAAAGCTAGCATTTGTGCATCCTGGACAGTGTTTTAGAAATAGGCTCTGCACCGGGTTTGATCCGAGCCATGATGTACACTTTCCTTGTCGACTGCAATCACATCTTGATGTACGACTTTTAATCAGACAATGCAACCTATCCGACCCTACTACAAATTAAATCCAATTGTTGATTGCAACAATGCATAAACTTCTTAGGGTGATCCGTGGGTTTATACTCTTGTGGTGGACGATCTGAAGATAAGTTCAAGCAGTTCCAATCGTCTTGCCAGAATATGTACTAAGATTTCTTTGCTGATTGTTAGAAGTGGATTTGTGTATGATTCATAATCTGTTCACTTGCTGAAGTATAACCAAGCCCTTGGCGAACAGTAGCACGGCATCCGAACAACGCAGCAACCGCCCTTAACGATACAGGTTGAGTGGACGGGAGCAATTTTCGTTCATTGTGATGCCGATGCAGAGTTACAACCAACCATCGAACGAGATTAGATTGAAATCACAGTCCCGTCATGGTTCTATCACATACTTACAATATGCCATCAGGTATCTGAAGCGACGGCATCAAGAAGAGTCTACAATGTGTGGTACAAATACAATGTTTTATCATATATTTGCAGTATTGCAACTAAATTGTCCGACTGATATGATTTGTTGCACTATAATAATAGGTTCTTTGTGATTGTCACCCTCTGTACATAAAGGTGAAGTTGACTGTCTGTGAAATAGACCATTCAGGCATCTACTTCTAAACTGTCTCTCTCGCGCTTCTGCTTCCAACGCCCTGGACCTCAAAATGTATACCCTTCAGCTGGAAATAGAGGGTCCTCCAGAGCCTGGAATAAGCGATGAAATAGTTCTTCGCGTACATATTCGGATATTCAGCATTTCAGCTCATTCTGACATACCTCGAATAGTATTTTTCGGGTACGTACGTGAAGGAAGGACATGATATTTGGCAATCATAATAAGCTACCGAGCATAAGCTTTCAATAGTCGCCACTCGTGCCCTTGCGGTAAGTCCAAGATTATTCTTATTTGGACTGATTAAATATAACTTCAACAAATAGGTTTATGAGTATCTAATGAATATTGCAGGAGAGGTACGTCTCAGATCAATAAATTGTAGATATCTTCCATCATTCGAGACTGCAAGCAGGTGGAGCTTACATGGTCATCGCGGGTTTCATTTCCAAAAGTGCTCTATTTCGCAAATCGTTTCATATCAATAGGCGCAGCAGTATTTGCAACCAACATATAGTGAGTATTATGATGACTCTATGATAATTAATTCACCACAAAGTCTTCTAGCGAGTGTTTCCGATACCAACTATGACGTTAGTTGATGTTAACAGAACTTTTGAGCACGAGCTTTACATCACTTCGCCAGAATTGTAAAACTGTCCCAGTTGTTTCCAGTTGTAAGTTATGCTTCAGTCTTCAAGAACCAATTTAATCAGCTTAACTGGTACGTACTATTATTCGGATGTTCGTACTGTTACTGTGCAGAGGGTGAGTTACCTGCCATAGACCAACAATTCACGGTATGGTAGTAATGAGCGAGTAGGAACACTATCATTGCGAGTATATGCAGTATGGGCGCTGAACCGGATAGTACCTATCCTACTTGTGACTGTGGTATTGGTGGACTCGATTTCCGTTCAGTAGACCAGTAGCATTCGCTCACGATTACATTTACAGAGCAGCGGATTTGGTGGCTATTTTTTGACGCTGTTGTTTCTTTGTCTGCTAGCAATAAGTTTCGTCCTCTTCAATGCTGATCAAATTAACCTGCCTCACAAGTTTCTCCCATCCGTGTATTCCATTCCGGGTGCATTTTTTTCTACTTCCATACAAACTACTGGAGAATATATCTAATTCTCGTTATTCAAGCAGCAGGCAAGATGGCAACGTGTCTTGTCAGTTTTCTGGATATTTGATGCTCAGGTTATCCTTCGTCCCCCTCTTACCACCCTAATAAGTTGTATTTGGTCTCCTGCTGGCAAGGGTCATCAGCTACTGTAAATTGATGGATTCTTTGCCATTGCTCCACTAAACAAGCACAGATTGCGTTTCGGGAACATTTGGGATTCTTCTGAAGACAATGCTGACTGGAGGTCTGTCATCCTTGAATTATGCTAAAGCCATAGCTGTTTCTGAGTAAATGCATGCAGGTGCATTGTACTGCTTATGCATTATCTGTGAGTATCCATTCGGAAATCTTCTTTAACTGTACAAGCAAACATTGATAGCATATTTACAGGTGTGGCGTTCGCGAACATGATGGTGCTACTTCGGAAAGAGGTACGGCAAATAACCTACTCTTCTGTCGTTCTGTGTTGACGCCACCGTTTAACAGAGCTCCTTGAGCCTCATTCTCCTGACGTATGTCCTTGTAATTGCTGATTAAAATATCAACACTGAATGTCAAACTTAGCCAACAGGGCGTTCTCACTTGCATTCTAAGCAACCGATTTATCTTGCAGCTTCGGCATGTCGACCACGCACAAGTACCTTTAGTAGTGTCAGTTCAGACCGATACAATTCGCTTCGGATTGGATCCATGACGAATCCCCTCATGTCCCAGACGGTAGTGCGGACCCATCAGAGACGATGCCACGGGTTGTCCAGGACAACTGTAGAGAATAGAGGGTAGATGAATTGATCGTTATGGCTTTGATCAGAGTCCTCGACGCTTTACAGGATGCGACCGAATTGCGATGCACCATTCATACCTTCCAGCCACAACCTGCACCACCTCGGTCTCGTTCTTACTTGGTTGTGAGTATTTAACTGCCATGTATCACTTACATCAGACTCACTGATGCTTATTTATTTAATTTAGATTTATTTCTACATAGTCAAATAAAGTCTTTCACATTCACTGCAAATATAATGGTCGTATTAATACTTACACTTTCAATTGGATTAACTTCGATCAGAATCAATATTTTACCTTCTTGGTACGAGATATTAAGAATTTGAACGGGCTGTGAACGAAGCATAGGCTCTTCAAGCCCGCCAGGAATGTCAGTACAGGGGATTCCGAGTCCGTCTCCAGTTTACCTCCGTATCTGGGCACTTGATTCCCTCTACAGCATTTTGAATAGTCTCATACAGGAGTAGGACGTGTTGGCAAATGACAGACCCCGAACACTGATGAACAAAGCGAGGTGAGATAAAACTCGCAAGTCAGACACAGGAACGAATGTTTCTCACTAGCAACTTCGGAGACTTGACGGAATATCTCGATTGGAAGTGACGCGCGCTCTGGTTTGCTGTATGTTGGCTGTTTGGCGTTAGAGCGTGGTATGTTTAATGGATCTCGATCATTCCGTTCTTGGGACCCACCAGCGTCAACCCTTCTGAAGTGCTGCTCCAATCGTGAGATGAAGCTCTTCTTGGTCCAACCGAGGCATATTTGCATATGCAGCATGAGTGCTTACTGTAAATTAGCTGCTGGAAACTTGTGGAAAGACGGACAGCTATGAGATAATTCCATATGTGTCTCCACGATTACCTTGACGAAGGCCAATCCTGCTCCGCCGCGCTCTTTCGATTTGCAGCCGTGCTCAGACGCCCGAGGACGAGGAAATCCCTGGTTCACGCAATACGGACTAGGACAAAGAACGACGCCTTGACGTGTCTGAAGGGGACTAGTGCAAGCGGGGACTCTAAAATCTTGAGCTTGCTTATTGAACGTTCTTACAGCGCAGAAGCTCGGAGCCCAAGCCTTTTTAAGTCACATTGCATACTCCGAGCTTTTGAGTAGCATTTGCATTTGACGTTCATCTGCGTTCTTGGGACCCATAGCACCCAATAGCCTCCTCTCCGAGCAGGACTGAGTGTATGCATTAACTTGGATTGAGGAGAAGTATTTAGTGCTTATTTGTGATGAGGATATATGTCTTCGTTTAACTCAACTACTAAGCTCCGATTCTATGCATATGGACGATTCTTGTTAAGTCTTCGTATCATGGGGAGAAGGCTTTCAACAGGCCTAATCACGATTCACATATGCATATGATGGCATCGTTCAGGGCCAATACACAAGAGACCATCTAACCATCTGCTCCCTCCTCCGGGTGCAATCGACGAACTACGGCACTGCATTTCATTTGCAAAGCTCATTCGTGAAGTATCGTTTTCAGCCCTCTGCAGGACAGAAAGAATTGATACTATGCAGTTCACGTGTCTGCCCGCGGTGAATGTTCTAATATTCTATATCGAAAGTGGCGCCAGGGATTTGTTTCTTCTTTTCGTTCCGATATCTACGATTGAGCAAGGCCCGTGATGTATACTTATTGGCTTGTCCGAGACATTGACATTCCAGCAGAAAGCAATGCAGGGAGGCAAAGCGTAAAAGGGTTCGGTTCGACCCAATTTTAGCTTGCGAAGTGTCGATCACAGGATATGTACAGCCACAGCGACTTCGAGACAAAAAGCGAGTTGGAATGATGTGCACTCTCCATTATAACGAAAACCCTAACCTGCATACAATTACCCCGCTAGCACTTGCTCGCGTGGTTGGCCATCTGATAGCTGGATCCCGGTTGATTCTTATTTCCTCATCGATGATGAGACGCGGTGTATACAGCGAGAGCGCTAATTGACCGCGATAGCGTGGTTATCATTCAGTACAGTCCACAGGTTAAGGATGCATGGTATGACGCATTACTAGCATGGGTCCATGAATAGTGTATGTCTCAGACGGGCTACAAGACGAGAGAATGAGGGTGAGTTCGGTGTTGGCTCCTCCTTTGGCCTACTCACTTTTGGGCAAGTGATGACGAGTTCATCAGGGTCTCTTTACTCAATTACAGGGCTGTGTCCGGTGATCAGGTGCACGGTTTGTATAGGAGTTAGGCTAAGCGACCAAGTCATCCAATCGTGTCCTCGGAGTCCAGAGAGAAACTACTTGACCTGGATTCTCAATTTTCCTTTGATCGACTTCTCAAATCGACCCTATAGCATGATGCTTACAGAAAGAAGAGTTCAGTTAATGCCCATTTGTAGTCGGATTCGACTCATACGGGGTATCAGAATAAATTCTGGCAGCATAATACGCATGCATACAGCGAGATGGCTCTGTCGTCAAGTGAGCCATCTCCTCTCCTTTTGTCTGTCGTTTCCCTCGGAGGAGCATATGATGTATAGATATTCAACAATAAGCGGACCCTCTCGACGGATACGGCTAGGCGCGCTACAGGGAGCCATTTCTGGATTAGACTTTGAATTCAGGTGGAATAGACATATGCATAGGGGACAGGAACGCTACGGAACGAGGCTGTTCACCGACGCTGAGACCCGCACGAGCCAAGCTGCCTTGGGACAATTGCGAGCCTCCGAGCTGATATCACTACCCATCCTGGACCCTCAATTACCTAACTATTCCATCCACAGGATAATTCAGGAATTTAATTATCGTGTAGAGTTAGAATGCAGTCTGCACGACATGAGCCTATAGCTGATCGGCGGCGGTGAATCTCTGGTCACGATCCCCTACCTGACCTGGATTGTACTAGCCCACCGTGTATTTGTTGCAGACCGTGTATAAGTATGGAGGCCCCGCAATCATTCCTCCTTTCCTCGAAGCATCGTATTTATCATACGCCGATTCATCTATACCTTCGCAGCCCCTCTTCTTCCCGCCCCTCTGTTCCGAGAGCATCGTACCTGCCCTATCTATTCCTTCAACTGACTCGGTGAGTACATCGAACAGATGTGCAGACACCAATGAAGTATACTGACTTAGCGATGCTATAGCGAGTATGCCCGTGACTCGATACATTGACGATATAAACGTTCAGGGTTGGGCGCCTTCGCTTGACGGCGGTATCGGCACCAACCTAGCTACGCTTCAGATTCCCTCGAACTTCGGCAGCTCATCCACTAAAACCGTAAACATGCCCTCAATCTCCAGGCGGCAGGCTCCGTCCACGCGGGCGCGGGCCGCAACCTTCGCTTCATCTACCAACTTCACAAACGCGTCGCGCTCGGGTCCGAGTGCTGTTCAGCAGGCTCGTACACCCTCATGCCATGTCCCCGTCCAAGCCTCCGCCCGAAATGCGGCTGCGGCCGGACGGAGTGGCTCACGGCCACGCACGTCAACGGAGCGTAAGATTGCACGCAAGCTTGCGGAGAACGCGAATTACGTTCCTCGTCCGAAGAACTCGTTTATCCTTTTCCGTACTGAATTCGTTGCGCAAAAGACGGCATCTGGGACTCGTAGTGCCGCTGAAACGAAAAGACGGAGAGGAGCCGAAAGTGATGATGACGACGATGAGGCAAATCAGTCACTTTCGAAACAAGCGAGTGCAATTTGGAACAGAATGACTGAGGCGGAGAAAAGGCCGTGGGCTGAACGTGCGAAGCTTGAGAAAGCGGCGCACGAAGCGAAATATCCCAATTATCGATACAGGCCCATCAGGCAAAGCTCAACGAGGAACAGCACCTCAAGTCAAATTGCACCAGGCCAAAACTCCTATCCAGAACGGTCGCCGAGTCGACAGCGGATTGGGTCGGAAATTTCGACTTTGGTGGACTCAGAGACGGACAGTGCAACGGAGGATAAGGCTGGAGACGAAGCAATACCCGTACCTTTGAGTTCCTCGACGGTTGACGTGACTCTACAAATGCCTGCGCCTGTGCGGATGCTCTCGCTTCCGACAGCTTCGCCTTCTTCCGCTCTTGCAAATGCCCTCGGCTCACCTACTCCTACACCAATGCCTTCCAAACAGTCGCAATCCTCGAATTCCGTGCCTTCTCTCCCGAGTGTTCCACGAATACCGACCCTTGTCCCTTCCGAAGCTCCTACCTCAAGTACAACGGACTTCGCGACAATGCCTCGCTCTCCGTCTGTTCCATTTTTTGACAAGCGAATATTTGGACAGTTCCCGAAGCAGATGCAACCACAACCGTTTATAATGCCACCAACGGGATCCTTCTTGAGCCAAGAACAAAATCCCGCGTCAGCTTTTGCCGCGAGACCAGCTTCTTGTCCTTCGACACCTCCGATGCAGCAATACGTTCTTCAAGACGTGCCAAATGGCGCCGAGACCGCGATGCACAGTACTTTGTCATCTTCCGATGAATCGGAAGCAGATTACTTTTGCAATTTCGGTCAGTTCGGCGACTCTTTGGATACGCCACCGGCTGGTTCGGCGTCGGCTTTGTCTCTAGCTTATCAACGAATGTTCATGGTGCGTATCAATTCTACTTGTACTTTCGACATTCAAAATAAACTTATTCTGGGACGCCTAGACTGATGAAAAGCAAAACGACGACGAAACGAATATCGAAACGAGTATGGATATTGACATGCATGCGTTACTGAATCTTTCGCCTATTCCCGAGGTAGCCGAAATACCCGCTTCCATGAGTGAGACGACGACTGCACAAAAGCCCTTTGACGCGGTTGCGGAGCTGTGGGGGCAGGGCCAGCAGGTTATGGATGGCGCTACTGTACTTAACACACAAGCGCAAACTCAAACTCAAATTGTCCCTGAGCAACGGACCCACATGCAGACGCAAGTTGCTTCTCCGTCGTCCAAAAGTAGTAGCAGTGGCTTCTCATCTGAGAACGAGGCTGGACTGGAGACGTACGCGCTGGCTGTTGGCTTCAACGCAAGCGGCGCGTCCTTATACAATTATACTTGTCCTTCGACGAGTGGCAGTTCGTGCACGGACAGTCTAAACGAAGACTTGTTTCACCTCGACCTCGACATGGATCCGGTCCTCGGCCTTGGGCTCGGGTGTTCACCAGCGCAGCAACTACCGGCTTCAGCGCTGAGCTTCACTGCCCTCGGCGGAGGTAGCAGTGGTAGCACTTCAGGCCCAGAAGTTTTATCACCCGTTGACCCAGACGACATCTTTGCGTATGATAGCGAGCGTGGATTGTTCAGTCTCAATACGTCTCCTGGCTATGGATACGGACAGGGCTTTGAACTCGGGATGACCAGCGCTAATTCTGGGTTCGACTACGGACTTTGAGTTTCGGTTTTTTTTGTTGACCTTCTAATGCATATTCTTCGCCTTCGCTTACCTCGTTGTTTCTTACCGATTATCCTATCCTCCCTTTTTGTTCGTGAACTGTAATAAGGGCACGATACAACCGTAGAGATCCCGAACGTCCGATTTATTTGTATTTATGCAGTTCGCTTTTCGCCCCACTTCTTTTGTCCCTTTGCTTCCTACGACCCTGGTTATTTCGGTCTCTTGTCGTTTATCTGCTCTTCTAGGGCGTGTTGTAGCATATATGCTCCATATCGACTCGCAATGTCACGTATTCCCTTCTCATACCTGTGTCCGAGTCCCTGTATCACATTATATCGTATTTATTCCAATAAACGATCCTGTTTAAAGAAAAATCGACGTTCGTGCCTTGCTTGGTGGTTAGCACTATTTGAGGATGTATGTCGTTAGACGTACTAGCCCCAGTCAGGCATGTGCCGAATTCTCACTTAGATGGGTTGTGCAAGCATTCGACGCATAACTTTGACAGCCTGTATGCTTGTGCCAGTTGTACAAGGAATCATCTCAATAAGAAAACGACACAAAACCGGTACCAGGAGGACTAGCAAGCGATAGACCTTTCTAACATATTACCGTACGCAATATTACTTTACATGACATGAACTATTTATCTGTTCTTCAATGGTCTTTAGCTTCTTCTCCATCCATGCCTTATTCACGGAGCATTCCAATGCTTTCCAAAGAATTCACGCAAATCTCCGACGTACTCGTTAGGGAGGTCAAGGGCAGGGAAATGCCCGCCGCTGGAATGTTCTGTCATGATACAATGTTCGAAATCAGGGTGGATATCTTCAGGTCAAATAAGAGATGACTTACCTCTGTGGAACACCAGCGGTCCAAATTGTTTAAGCTCTATTTTGGGAACAACAACCAGTTCATACGGCTGGGTTGACAAAATAGTCAAATAAGTCCGACAGAAGTATAACAAGATAAAACTTCGTACGAAAACTGAGTAGCCAAATTTGTTCTTTAACAAGACTTTTCCTCCAGAGCCTTGTGATCTCCATCCAGGTGTTCCCTTCCTAGCCTGGGAAAACCAGATTGCTCAGCATACATAAAGGAACTTTTAAAATGACAAGGAATAAGCAACTGAACCTGATTATAGATGACTACCGACGTAGCGAAGGATCCACTCAAGTAGTAAAGAGCGACCGTGTTCAGGATATCATGCGGATCAACGAGTTTCGGGTCCGACCAGCTGTACATCTTCTCGCCAATATAAGCTAATACAGCAAGCGGTGATGAGGCAATCGCTATTCCGATGGTGAATGGCTGGGGAGTAAAGTATGTTCTACAGTTAACGAGTGCCTTGTATGTGGCCTGGAAAAAGATAAAAATGCAAATAAAACACACCTTCGTGCTATGGAGCTGGAAATACCCGGACCCGGAGGCAAGCCACTGGCTTCCCCTCTTTAGTAAATGATTCTCCAATTCTGTGTACTTTGACTGGTCAGGTTCGAGAAATGGCCGTATGAACAGAAAGTTGAAATGCGCTAGGATAACTGAATCGGGGAACAGTCCTTCCAGGTTGAGCAATATTAGCGAGCCCTTATGCAGTAGTTTATCAGAAATGCAGTGGCTCAACAGGAAATTGTTTTGATCTGCTGGCTCACCCAATCACCGCCTTGCGCGACATACTTAGAATAACCAAGGACAGACGTCATGAGTCCATTATAAACGCGCGCAGTGTCAGCTGTGCTCCAGCCATCTCTTCTTGGCAATGTCGACAGGAAGAACCCAGGAATGGATGGAACTACAACATGAAAGCTAGAGCGAACGGAGCTCAGCATAAGCCAATCTTTCCGAGAAAGATATCCTCACGCTGGCAAGTCGGAGCTTGGTGGGTTAGCCAATAGGTCGATGACCTTGTGGAAATCAAAGAAAGTGCCTTGAAAGTAAGAAAGTAAATATATGTTGGCCCGACGACATGCTAAATAGAGTGCGAGATGTACCAGGCCAGCCATGAAGGAGGATCAAAGGAATCGCATCACTTCGAGGACTCTTAACATGAACGTAATGTAGGTCCAAAGCGTCTCCTTCATGCTCGTAGTGGACCAAGTAGTGGTCAAACTTTGCAATCTTTTCCTCAAGTGCTTTCCAGCTCCATTCCGTTTGAAACATATGCTTCAACTTCTTCAAATATTCGTATTCGATACCGAGTTCCCATGGCGTGTTCGCGTCGATAGGTGCCTTGTCGGGAAACGGCGTTGTTTGAAGCAGATACAGCATATCTTTTACCACCGCGTCATCATATTTGATGTGAATTTGCTTTGGATCACCGAACGCCATGCTTGATGTTGTGGAAGGAGCTGCGTAAGATTAGAATCTCAGTTCCAGACTGCTGAATGACGGGTTTCTACAACCCTATTACGAGTGTGATAGTGCGGCCGCTGCGCGGGTTATAAACACCGCTTGGTAATTAATACGGGGAATTCACTAAACCGATATATGAGGCGCGATCAAGCCGAAGTGGGCAAATAATTTAATAAAGCAACTGCTGGTGATAGGCAGATACTTGGTACCAGAATAAGGAATTTGCACGTTCTCTTTCGGCTGATGACAAATCAGGAAAATGAATGATGTTAAGGTTAAGTGGCATTGACAAGGCAGAAAGGCGGTTTGGGTTTTCTTTCTCGCAGTTCCAAGTCTGTCTGTTTTAGCAATCGCAATAGCCTGGACGTGTGCATACTTGAACTAGAAGATGGATAGTCCGGTTACTGGTAGGGGACGATGAAAGCGATAACGGATCACATCATGAATCGAAGAAAACTGCTGGATATGAGTTTTATCATGATATTGTACAACGTACTACTTGTCATTAGACATGCCTGACCTTCATTGATCGTCATTATTTTCTGGCTGTAGCTTGTTCACGGAGTACCCCAGTACTTCCCGAAGAATTCACGCAAATCTCCGACATACTCATTTGGGATGTCAAGGGCAGGGAAATGCCCGCCATTGGAATGCTCTGTAGTAGAGCATCGTTCGGAATCAGGACAAAAATCCACAGGTTATAAAAGTCAGGTATGACTTACCTCTGTGGAATACTAGCGGTCCAAATTGTTCAAGCTCAGGTTTGGGAACAACAACCAGTTCGTATGGCTGGATTGACAGAACAATCAGATCTTGCAGCCAAAAGTACAGCATGGTAAAGCATCATACGAAGACAGAATAGCCAAATTTGTTCTTTAACAGGACTTTTCCTCCAGAGCCTTGTGATCTCCAACCAGGTGTTCCCTTCCTAGCCTAGGAAAGTCAGGTTGCTTAGCATACATCAAGAAGTTTTTAGGATAAGGAGCAATAAGCAATCGAACCTGATTGTAGATCACTACCGATGTAGCGAATGACCCGCTCAAGTAGTAAAGAGCAACCGTATTTAGAATGTCATATGGATCAACGAGTTTCGGGTCTGACCAACTGTAGATCTTCTCGCCAATATAAGCTAATACAGCAAGCGGTGATGAAGCGATTGATATTCCAATGGTGAATGGCTAAGAAGCACAGAACATCGTATAGTCAGTGAGAATGCGATATCAAACCGGAAGGAATACACCTTCGTGCTCTGTATCTGAAAATATCCAGACCCGGAAGTAAGGAACTCGCTTCTTCTCTTTAGTAACCGCTTTTCCAAGTCTGTATACTTTGACTGATCTGTGTCAGGGGAAGCAGACAGAAATAAAAAGTTGAAGTGCGCGAGGACAACTGAATCGGGGAACAACCCTTCCAGGTTGAGCAATATTAACGAGCCCTAGCGTAGAAATGTATCAAAAATGCAGTGATTTCACAGAACATTGCTTTGATCCGCTGGCTTACCCAATCACCGCCTTGAGCAACATACTTAGAATAACCAAGCACAGATGTCATGAGTCCGTTGTAAATTCGTGCGGTGTCAGTTGCACTCCAGCCGTCTCTTCTCGGCAATGTAGACAAGAAGTATCCAGGAATTGATGGGACCACAACATGAAACCTTGAGCGAGTGGGATTGCCCATGAGCCATTTTACTCGAGAAAGAAAATCCTCACGCTTGCAAATCGGAGCTTGGTGGGTTGGTCAAAGGCTCAATAACTTTATGAAAATCAAAGAAAGTGCCTAAAAACAAGGCAAGAGTCAACGAATTAGCAAGATGAACAGAATGCAAGGCGTACCGGGCCAGCCATGAAGTAGAATCAGAGGAATTGCATCACTTCGAGGACTCTTGACATGAACGTAATGTAGATCCAATACGTCTCCGTCATTCTCAAAGTGAACCAAGTAGTGGTCAAATTTTGCAATCTTTTCCTCAAACGCTTTCCAGCTCCACTCCGCCTCGAACATGTGCTTCAGTTTCTTCAAGTAGTCAAATTCAATACCGAATTCCCATGGTGTACTCGCGTCGATGGGTGCCCTGTCCGGAAATGGCGCTGCTTGCAGAAGAGATATCATGTTCTTCACCGCCGCCTCATCGTATTTGACTTGAATTCGTCTGGGAGTATCGAACGCCATACTTGGTGTTGTGAAAGGAGCTGTGAAAGGTCAGAAGGGATGAATCGTTCTTCACTTCCAGACTTCTGAACGACAGTCTTTTTATGAGCTTCAAACGAGTATGCCGGTCAGGAAGATTACCAATTCTGCTTGACAATTACAACGGCCGGGAAGCTCACTGATCCGATTTCAATGGAGGCACGATCAAGGTCAGCGAGTAGCAACCGATAACGGTAGGGAATTCAGCCGAATGAACTAAGTTTACTAACTTAGTACTATTCTATAATAATTTCTATTGTAAGGGTTGATGACAGATCAGAGTCATGAGGGCTGACTCAGGTTACCAAGAAAGGCAGTAGGCTAAGGAATTACACTCGGGCAATAGCACTACGAAAGCACGCACATCTGCATACTTTAGCTGGACGATAGATAACCAGGCAAGGACGATGAGAGCGATCACTACACGAATTAGTGAATGCTTCGAGAGTTTTTTTTCTTTCACCGTGATATTGTAAAGAAACACTTGTCATGAGAGGCCTATCCGACCTTCGATGCTTGTTATCTTCTTTACTGCGAACATATTCACGGAGCACTCCAATACTTTCCGAAGAATTCACGCAAATCTGCTACATAGTCGTTCGGAACGTCAAGGGCAGGGAAATGCCCGCCGCATGAATGCTCTGTGGAGTAGTAGTGCGTGAAATCAGATAGAAAGGTCGAGCGGGCTGGGTAAAAAGATTATTTACCCCTGTGGAATACCAATGGTCCGGATTGCTCAAGCTCTGATTTGGGGACGACAGCCAATTCATATGGCTGTAGCGATAGAGTGATCAGGATCAGGTAGACAAAACGTAGAACAAAAAGCTTCGTACAAAGACGGAGTAGCCAAATTTATTCTTTATCAGGACTTTTCCTCCAGAGCCTTGTGAACCACCACCAGATGTTCCCTTCCTAGCCTAAGAAATTCGATTAATCAGTATTAATTAAGAGACTTTTAATAAGAAAGAGTAAGTAACCGAACCTGATTGTAGGTAAGTATAGATGTAGGGAAGGATCCGCTCAGATAATAAAGAGCAACAGTGTTCAGGATATCATGCGGATCAACGAGACTCGGGTCAGACCAACTGTAAATTTTCTCGCCAATGTACGCCAAAACAGCGAGTGGTGACGAGGCAATCGCTATTCCGATAGTGAATGGCTGAGCAACGAAGAGTAACCAACAGTAAGCAAGTGTACCCTGCACAGGACCAGCGGAAAGTTGAAACACACCTTCGTACTCTGGATTTGCGCATATCCAGAACCAGTAACTTGAAATTCTTTTCCCCTCTTAAGTAGCCGGTTTTCTAACTCTGTGTACTTTGACTGGTCAGGTTCGGGAGAGGGCGGCATGAATAAAACATTGAAATGCGCGAGGGTAACTGAATCGGGGAACAATCCTTCCATATTGAGCAGAATGTACGAGCCCTGACGTGGCAATTTATCAGGAATGCGGTGGATTCACAGGACATTACACAGATCATCTAGCTCACCAAATCACCAGCTTGAGCGACGTACTTAGAATAATTAAGCACAGATGTCATGAGTCCATTATAAACGCGCGCAGTATCAGCTGCATTCCAGCCGTCTCTTCTTGGTAATGTAGACTTAAAATACCCAGGAATGGATGGAACCACAACATGAAAACTGTAGAGAGCGGAGGTTAGCATGAGCTAATTGGCTGAGAAAGAAAAGCCGCACGCTGGCAAATCTGGGCTCGGCGGATTGGTCAATGGCTCAATAACTTTGTGGAAATCGAAGAAAGTACCTTAAAAACCAGACAGGAGTTAGCGAAACGGCAAGATGAATAGAGTAAGAAACGTACTAGGCCAACCGTGAAGGAGTATCAAAGGAATTGCATCACTTCGAGGGCTCTTAACATGAATATAATGAAGATCCAAGGTGTCTCCGTCATTCTCGTAGTGAACCAAGAAGTGGTCAAACATCGCAATCTTTTCCTCAAGTGCTTTCCAGCTCCATTCGTTCTGAAACATGTGTTTCAGCTTCTTCAAACATTCGTATTCAATCCCAAGCTCCCATGGTGTAGTCGCGTCGATGGGTGCCTTTGCAGGGATTGGTGCTGCTTGGAGCAGAGATAACATGTTCGCCACCACCGGGTCATCGTATTTGACCTGAAGTCGTTCGGGGCTACCGAATACCATGATCGGGGCTAGTAGGGTGAAGGGAGCCACACAAGTTCTGAAGGGAACAATTGTCTTTCAGGTTTAGACGACGAAACGACGGGCTTCTTATAACCTTCAATCGAGTATGGTGGTCATGCGGATTATCAACTTAGCACGGCATCTGGAAAGCTCAGTGACTCGATCTGTATGTCGTGCAGCCAGGGCGAGCGCGGGACGCTGAGCACATAAAGCAATAGTCGGAGGTAGAGAAATCGAACTAGGTACGTAGGTAACAGATAAGGAAATTCGAATATTCTCTCTCGATTGATGATAAATCAGAATCGCGAGCGCCAGCTCCAAAGTTGTCAATCGGCTACACTACACAAGTATTATGCACACTACTTCAACAGTACAGATGCCCGCATACTTAGGGATAGTCCAATAATGGCGATTAAAGCGACCACTTCACATATTGAATGCTTCTAGATAGAATTTTTCACTGTAATATTGTACAAAACATTTTTCGTCCAATGTTCGTTATATTCTTTACTGCCCATACCTATTCACGTAGCACCCCAATACTTTCCGAAGAACTCACGCAAATCTCCAACATAATCGTTCGGGAGGTCAAGGGCAGGGAAATGCCCGCCGCTAGAATGCACTGTGGAATGATGATGCATGGTATGGAATCAGCAAAACAAGTCGCGTAGTTCAAATACGTGATTGTTTACCCCTGTGGAAAGCCAGTGGTCCGAAATTTTCAAGCTCTGCTTTTGGAACGACACCAATTTCATAGGGCTACGATAGAGAGAATTTAGGTCTCAGCTGGACGAAAGTTAAGCAAAATGAAGCATCATACGAAAACAGAATAACCAAATTTGTTCTTCAACAAGAACTTCCCTTCAGAACTTGTTCTGAACCCGGGTATCCCTTTCATAGCCTATAAATCAAGTCGTTCTCAACTTTCAGTGATATAAGGGAAGAAGAAATAAACAAACCTGGTTGTAGATGACTACTGATGTCGGGAAGGATCCGCTCAAATAGTAAAGAGCAACAGTGTTTAGAATATCATGCGGATCAACGAGACTCGGGTCAGACCAGCCGTAAATCTTCTCGCCTATGTACGCCAAAACAGCGAGTGGTGACGACGCAATCGCTATTCCTATAGTGAATGGCTAACAACAAAGAGTACACTACAGTTAGCAAGAGCATCCTGTATATGACTGGAAGAGACATGCCTTCGTACTCTGGATTTGCATATACCCAGAGCCTGTAGCCTGAAATTCGCTTCCCTTCTTAAGCATCCGGTTTTCCAGTTCTGTGTACTTTGACTGGTTGGGTTCAGGGGCGGGTCGTGAAAATAAAAGATTGAAGTGCGAGAGGGTAACTGAATCGGGGAAAAGTCCTTCCAGATTGAGCAAGATTAGTGAGCCCTAACAAGAGAATACATTAAAAGAGCCATTTCACAGAACCTCGCTTTGAACTGCTGGCTCACCCAATCACCGCCTTGGGCGACGTACTTGGAATAACCAAGGACAGATGTCATGAGTCCGTTATAGACTCGTGCGGTGTCAGTTGCGCTCCAGCCGTCTCTTCTCGGAAGTGTAGACAGGAAGTATCCAGGAATAGATGGGACTACGACATGGAACCTGAAATGAATTGGGTTGAGTGTAAGGCAAATCTACCACAGAAAAATCGTTACGCTGGCAAGTCCGAACTCGGTGGGTTGGTCAACGGCTCAACGACTTTATGGAAGTCAAAGAAAGTGCCTAGAAAAAGGACAAAAGTTAACGAAGCGGCGGGCTATACAGAGCGAGACACACCAGGCCAGCCATGAAGAAGGATAAGAGGAATCGCGTCACTTCGGGGACTCTTTACATGAACGTAATGGAGATCCAATGCATCTCCGTCTTTCTCATATTGGACCAAATAGTGTTGAAACTTCGCAACATTTTTCTCAAGTGCTTTCCAGCTCCACTCCGTCTCGAACATATGTTTCAGCTTCTTCAAATAGTCGTATTCAATTCCGAGTTGCCATGGCGTATTCGCGTCGATGGGTGCCTTGTCAGGAAATGGTGCTGCTTGGAGCAGAGACAGCATGTTCTTCACCGCTGCGTCATCGTATTTGACTTGAATTTGTTTGGGGCTACCGAAGGTCATGTTCAATGTTGCGAAAGGTCAGAGTAATCGATTGTCTTGCAGCTCCAAACATTAGACGATAGGCTTTATATAAGCGTTGAGCGGGTGCGATAGTCGAGATTCGAGCGGATTACCAACCCAATAGTATCGTTTTTGTCCCTATCGCTTGCGTAAATTTCACACCCTTGTCGAGTCACTTCGACGCGCCAAGTCATGTCGCTTATCGTAATTTACCCCGTGAGTTGCACATATCTCGGTCAGAGTGGGTTTTCGACTCTTCGTACGGTGTGAGCGCTGTTTACACGTGATCGTTGGAAGTATGGGCACGACACTCGATCGAAGTCTCATGAGTCATGGGAATTCAAAAGCCAACTTGATTAGGTACGCAAAAGGAAATTTGCACATTTTCGATCGGTTGATGACAGATAAGAATTGCGGACAACGCGAAGAGCATGACGAGAGCATGGCGAGACGCGTCTTTCTTCCTTGCTGAGCCTGTCTCTGAGTAGAGTGTCTCGTAGTTACTTCCACTCACAGTTTGCGGTGTTTTAGTTTGTACCTGCTTGTATCTTACAATGATAGAATGGTAAGTTTGCTTTGTTTTTGGACTTGGTTTTCTTCTAAACCTATTCTATATCGAAAAGCAACAGTTTCACGGCTATTAGGCTGGTACGTATAAATCAAGATGGTTGGGCTCATCATATAAGCTCTTCATCAAGAGGACTGATGCTTCTATGCAGTAAAGCGACAGACCAATACTATAGCATTGGTTACAGCTTCCTTCTAGTCCTTCTGAGAGAATCGTGGTTGCGTTCACAACTATGATGAACGACCTGATTTCCTGCAGAGAACAATTGCTCAAGCCTGTGTGGAATCGCTATACATATCCTTGTTCCTTGTTTGATGGTTATGACTGGCTGCTTGGCAATCAAGTTCATCAATATAATGGATCCTTGGATACTACTTAGGTGCAAAATTGAATCCGGCTCAATTGAGGATGCTCCTCTGAGTTTATCACTTAGCAAATTTCTCACTGTCACAGTGAAGGTTGCCCTCTGCTAGTCCCATGCTCTAATGAGTGCTGACACACTTGAATTTACTATAGATCATTATTAGGCCATCTTCAAGTTGATAGATTAGCTATTAAACGGCCCTCTTTGTGTTCAGAGTTGTCAAGATAGCCTGATTTTTTTATGATCAGTCTCATACACCTTTTGTCATTTATACTATACAGTAAGTTGCTTTAATACCTCCCCCTGCTTTGCTGATCTCATGTCCTTACTCTTGTGCTTCGACTTCATTTCTGTCACATGTGTTCTTGGGTCTTGCATTTTTAACCTACTTGCAGCATAGGTAAGCCACCAACTTAGCTCTGAGTGTCCCTTTCCTTTCCGCTTATTAGCTTGCCACTATTCAAAGTCAAACTGCCTTCCTTGCAAATGCTCTTTACACTCGATTATCGTTGCACTCTTACAAAGGCAGTTGTCTTATTGCTTTACACTATGTGTGTATTTTACTATCCTCTTCGACTAAATGGTATGAACTATGTGAGGATAGATAGAAGGTAAGTTCTATCTGTTTCTGTGCTGTCCGATTTCCCACTTTCTTCCTATAGCACAAAGCAAGAGCTGGGCTCATCACATGGCCCATCACATGGGCTCACCATCAAGGGGACTGATGCTTCTATATGATAAATGACAGACCATCCCACGTCTAAGAGTGGTTTGCGTCTTCTATTTCTCCTGAGATACTAAGAATAGTGGTTGCGTTCACAACTGTGATGGACATCACTGATTCCCTCCTAGCTAATCACTCAAGTCAATGTGGGTTCGCTATACATATATCCATGTACCTTGATTGATAGATATGACTGGCAGTCGAGTGCATTAATATCGTGAATCCATGGGTACCAATGGGCTCATAAATCAATTTCGGCTTAACCGTAAATGCTGCTCTGACGTTATAACTTTGCAAAGTGCTAACTATGAAAGCCTTTTTTGTTATTACTACTCTCATTCCCTTATGTGCGCCAGTATAATTCCAGGCACTTTGTCAGGTGCATATTCGGCAACCATCTTGAAGTCGATTACAGGTTGGCCACTATATTGCTCTCTTTGTGTTTAACATTGCCGAGGTAGCCTCATCCATTTGTGTTCAGTCTCATGCACTATTTTTCATGTGTACTATAATTGTAAGTCGCATTGGTGTTTCTCCGCGGTTTCGCCGAATTCACATCTATAGTCCTACACTTCGATGAAGAGGTTCGTCCAGTTAGTCACACACGACTGTTTCGTCGAACTCGCGGTGCTAGGTAGAATACATATGGGTGAGTGGCTCAAGGATTAGACGGTTCTTCTAATCTTGACTGTTTTGCAGATGAAACGGTGGACAGCTGGGAAAGCTGTATATTTACTGGTGGATCTTCATCATTTTGGGTGACAAGAAGACTTCTATTCAATTCGAAGGGCAGACAAGATACGCAGGATTGGTCTTCTTGATGTATGCCTTGAATTTCAAAGACGTGTTCTCAGCTGTTAAATGGCACTCTGCGGCTTCGCCTCCCTTGGCACAGCACATTTCAGATGGAATGGGTTCGACTACTCTATTCCGCAAGGTAGACCAACGCTCTATCATACTAATATTGTCCTCATGCTCTATCAAGTAAACGGCATCAAAGAGTTCCTTATCGATTCTTGTGAGTGAAGCTAATGATCGAGCGGGTTTGGATGAAAGTAAAAGAACCTAAATAAGGTTTATATGGTAGCCTGTATACTGGTGTAGGAACAACGACAATGTTACTGGCCGAAAGTGAGCTTCTCATTCCTGCTATTTTGTGTCGTAACGTTGGTTTATTCTTCTATTAGTCATTCTTATGATGCGAGTTTATGCCTTGTTCGGAGGAGCCGGGAAAACGTTACTTTCACTCATCACGCTGACGCTACTTCTCTTCGGTTTCAACATTGTACAACTCCTATTTGACCTCGGTAAGCAATTACAGTCGATTATTGTCCACTAGAATCTGAAAATGTCTCCCACTAACATGGCACTTAAGAGATCCTGGATAGTGGTCAAATACCCATTTTCGTCGAATCAAGAAATGTTTACGGATGCTTATTTGCCCTCGGTATGTCCGGCGTCGCATGGATAGTGACCTCTTCCGCCGAGCTACTTTTATGCATTCTCGTTGTCTGGAAGACTGTGCAAGTGAAGAAGCTCAAGCTCCCGGCGCGCATCTCGAGGCTAGAGAGTGGTCAGACGAAGACGCAAGACATCACCACATTAATGGCAAAAGACTCCATCGCATATTTTGCTGTGTAGGCTCTCTGTTAATTCCTCATATTCCAGTCCCCGATAACCATCATTCAGAATATTCTCAGTTTGTCTTTTCGGCGCTATCTTCACGTTTGTCACCGAGCGTGCTAATCTCGTGGGCGGATCGTGAGTCGATACTAAATCTATTCATTTGTGACATCGACCTTACTGTACCACTAGTCTTTTTTTATACTGGCATGATAATCGAAATACCTACCAAACGATTGTGGTAACGATCATGACAATTCTTGCTTCGAAGATGCTCATCGGTCTTCGTGCCGAGTGCTATGTTCCAGTCGGGATGGTCGCAACTGAGCTGTTTTGGGACGCCCAGGGTGTAGAACGCTCTAATTTTCAGACCGCCAGTGATAGTACGGAATGAGTTTCCCATTGGAAGTCTTGCTTAGGTGTTTATCATCAGCAGATAGTATAAGGTAGTCTATAATTGAATGCTTTGCATATGACGTTTCTTCAACTTTCTTGAATGCAGTGTAATCGTTTAGCCATGGACAATTAGAGTCCAATAATATAAATTCATTACAATGCTGAGATAAGTGCATGCAATGGCAAGAAGGCATCTGTCTAAGAATACGAGAGAAGTGAAAAGAGCAAAGACAAATTTAGTGTCAGTAGCGTGACCTTCTTGTGACGTGTTACGACACGACCACATCTCCGAACCTGACCGCCACGACAGACTGCCGCCCGACCAGGAACGCTCCTTATCCTGAATTATCGCAATATCTTTATGGTAACAATATTCTTGTTGTTTTTCCGCCATCATGTCTCCAAGGCACTCTTGAGACTCTAGCAGACGAAGCAGACTTGCTCACCCTGGGTTGTACAGCTATGTTGAAAAAGTGTTCGTCTTTCCTGATTAAGAAATGCATTAGTAAGTGATTTGCATTAATTTATTAGGCAGTTTGAGACACGAGATGAAGGTTTGACGCGTCTCAAACTGCCTAATAAATTAATGCAAATCACTTACTAATGTATCTGCCTAATCAAGAAAGATGAACACTTTTTCAACATAGCTGTACAAGAAGCAACGCCGGAGGAGCACTGCTTCCTTCAAGATTGAAGCCATCAGAGATTCTATCCTCAGACGTATTACTTCCCTATCTACTGTCAACTCTTTCTAGTATTGTTGTCCAAGGAGTACGTCATGATTCAACAAGAAGGTTTATTTCGATCATCTTGCAGTGTGAAGACCAATAATACAGGAGCTCTCTATTCTGATCTGTAGGGGGCACAGCTGTGATGACAGTGTAAAATGACAATTTGTGGATTCAAATCGAATTTCAATGTGTCAAAAGGGATCTTTTTTTCTTTGGGGTGGACGACAGATCGGAATTATGAACAACTTGAGAACATGATGTGGCGGCGCACCGGGCATCTCAGGCTGAACATTGGATTTAGTTTCTTACTTCTGATCTTGTCCCTGTCAAATGCCTCTGGAGAGGGTCTGCTGTTTTGTTTCTTTGACTCTGAGTCGGAACGCCACCGAGTCTCCTTATCTACACTTTAAGGTACAGTAAGTTTACTTTATCTCTGGATTCTGTGTCTTTTTGATTCCTTTCTGTAGCAGAAAGTGACAGTTTCATGTTTACCAGACTACCTGGTGCCAATTAAGATGTTTGGGCTCATCATGTAAGTGCTCTATTAAGAGGACTGCTTCTACTGCATTTGACAAAGCAGCAGACTGTCCTCAGTTTAGGAGCATTAGTTTCATCCCACATCAATTTCTTCAGACAGGCTGAGAGTGGCTGTTGCATTCACATCCCTGATTGTCTGTGGACCAATCACTCAAGCTTATAGGGAATTGCCAAATGTTGCCATACACCTTGTTTGACAGTTGCAGCTAGCAGTTGAGCGCACCAATATGATCGGCCCTTGGTTGCAAATGGAGCACATAAAATCAAATCCGGCTCAACTGTGAATGCCGCTATAAAGTTATAACTTCGCAAATTGCTCACCACAAAAGCCATTCTCTATTATCCTCACGTTCTAATGGCTGAGGTGGAGAAACACACTTCGACGACCACGTTCAAGTTGATTACAGGTCAGCCATTATATTGCTCCATTTTGTATTCAGTTTCGCGGAAATAATCTGCTTTATTTGTGGGCAGTCTCTTGTACTACTTTTTTTTTGTATTATATTAGTAAGTCGCGTTGATAACTGTCTGCAGTCTCGTTTAACGCACGTCCATAGTCTTACACTTCGATGAAGAGGTTCGTCCGCTTAGCTACTTGCTTCCATCCCACCTGACATGTTAGCGGACTAGGTCGAATATATATGGGTGAGTCGCCTAGCAAATTAGATGGATATTTTAGATGTAACTTTTGCAGACCAGACGATGGACATCCGGGAAAGTCGCATATTTACTTGTAGGTCTTCGCCATTTAAAGGAACAGATCTTTCTCTTCACTCCTAAGAACAGACAAGATACCTTGGTTCTGTTTTCTTGATGTGAGGCTCGAACCGCAAAGGCGTACGCTCTGTTGACAACGACTCTTGTAGCTTAGCGACCCTCGGCACAGCCCATATCAAATGGAATGAGCATGGCTTTCCTATTTTCGATGGTAAGCCACTGTCCTGCCTGATTACTATTGTTCTTATGTTTGGAATAGCTCATGGCATTAAAGCATTCTTAATCGATTCTTGTGAGTGAAATCAACGCTCAAATGGACTTCTATGAAATTTAACGAATCCACCGTAGGTTTTACCGGTCACTTGTACACTGGATTAGGTACCATGGTGATTTTGCTGGCAGAAAGTGAGTTTCTCACATGTGCTATTCTGTGTCGAATCGTTGATATACTGTTTGTTAGTCATTCTCATGATGCGAGTTTATGCATTGTTCGGAGGTGGAAGGGGAAAGCTGCTTTCATTCACCATACTGACACTGCTTCTCTTCGGGTTCAACATCCTGCAGGTTACAATCGCTCTTGGTACGAAATCAAATTCGCTATCCTAACTCGAACCTGAAAGCCTGTCTCATTGAAATGACACTTAAGATGAAGTGGATGTGGGCGCGAGACCCTTCGTCCGTCAGTCACTGGGCAATTTTGGATGCGTGGATGGCCACCCTATGTCCGGCATCGCATGGACAATGACCTCTTCCGTCGAGCTACTTCTATTTCTTCTCGTTCTATGGAAGACTATGCAACTGAAGGAGCTTAGCCTTCCGACACGTATTTCCATGCCAAGGGATGGCCCGATGAAGACGCAGAGTATCACCGCATTGATGGCAAGAGACTCCATTGTATACTTTGCTGTGTAGGTCCTATGTTCACTTCTTTCATGGCAGTTCTTAATAGCTATCATTTAGAATATTCTCTGTTTGTTTTCTCGGCGCTCTCTTAACGTTTCTCTACGAACATTCTAATAGAGTGAACTCATTGTGAGTCCGATGTTACACCTATTTACTCCGTGATCATCGACTTTCTCTTTGGACAGTACCAAGTTTCTCGACTTCATCGGCTGTAACGCGAACGCATACCAAACAATCGTAGTAACAATCATGACAATTCTCGCTCCGAAGATGCTCATCAATCTTCGCGCAGAGCACTATGGTCCGGTTGGGATAATCGCAACTGAGCTTTCCTGGGATTTCCGAGTCTAGAACGTTCTGGTCTGCAGACTACCAGCGATGTCACAGAATGGATCACCTATTTGGCAATCTCATGTTACTGGTATTATCAATAGCTGCTATCACTGTAACTGAATTCCGTGCTTTTGACTATTTATTTGGATTTATTTCACTTTATTCTTCTATTTTATTTAACTTTCATTAATTCCTAAGTTTTGTCGATGCAGGAGCAACCTATGTCAAGACATGTATCTACATGTAGCTCTATCACTAGGTCTTTTCCTGATGAAGTTATATATATATAATCAAATATGTTGTAATGCACAGTGTGATAATGTATAAATCTAATAATGAATGACTTTTTCTCAAGTCTGAATAGCTATCCTCTGCTAAAATGCAATGTCAAAATATAAGAGTTGAATAATGGCCTTTCCCAGCACTATACATGTTGGCCTACTCTACTGTATATACATGCTACAAGGAGTCTGGTAAAAAATGAAAATTGCTTAGCAACTCTATGTACTCCCTCTTTAAGAGTTTGTACTATTATGCATATAGAAATGAAGATACTTCGTTATTGGAAGTATGCATAATGAACAGGAAAGAGGAAGACGAAAAAACTATTTACAAAGTAGAGATAAGTACATGCATTCGTAAGAAGTTTCTATCTGGCAAAAAAAGCAGGAACGAAAACAATTGTGATAGCAATGTGGAGTTTCTACTTTCTACTTTTGACTTTTGCACGCGTATTCGTTACGGCCATACTTGTACACACAAGAAATATTCAGACAGAACGATAGACAAGATAGAACAGAGAACCTAAGGAATATGCATGAGCCGATCACCTCAACAACCATCGGTTCATTCAACTTCATCGGCCTTTAGGTATCTTCGACCAAGTTATCCATTGGAAGAAGCAGAGCTATCGTCGAGTTTAGGAGCGTGTCCAGACCCTACGTCCACGCACCCAGGTGCTCAAGACGGTACCATTCTTGTCAAGGACGACGAGATCAGCGTCTGCCTCAGGTCGGAGTGTACCTTTCTTATTCTCAATTCTGAGACACCTGTTCAAGGAAAAAAAATGTCGTCAGCAATGATTATAAATGCATATATGGAAGAAATAAGAAAAGGACACGAACTTGGCTGGGTTGAATGTTGTACATTTGAGGGCTTCACCGAGCGTGCAACCTGTGAAGCGGACGAAGTTGCGTACGCAAGTGTCGAGTGTCACAACGCTATGAGACGAATGGGAGACGCGGTATGAAATGAGTCCGCGGAATTTCGTTTATCAGTTGTAGAGGAGACAAACCTTCCGGCAAGAGTATCGGTGCCCTCAATGTAAAGCCTGACGCCTTCTTTGACGACACGTCGTCCATCGCGCCAATCGTATGTCCCGTCTGGCATGTTTGGATCCAGGATCTTCATTGCTGATCAAACGGACGTCATTAGTGAGACCATGTCGTCAAAAACAACAGATAATATTAACCATCAGTCACCAAGATGCATCCGTCCTTATGTGCAGTGTATGCCAACTAAAAGTCGCACAGGTCCAATTTTTTCTTGGAACTCATAACTCAGAAGAGAAAACGTACCCGAACAGAGTTAGGGTGCGAATGCACTCCATCAACGATCATCCCATAGAACGGACGCTTCATGTCTGATTGAGTCACATCCAATTTCGATAGTTCGCTTTGGCTCAGTTGCACTGGAGAGGAACGGAATATTGGGGTATGCGGTGGAGTATCATTCTCGTCAAGCGCTTCTGCACCACCTGCTTCGACGGATTCGATGGCACCAGCAAAGCTCGTCCCAGTCGGACTCATCGTACCACTCGGGGAAATTAACCCTTCTTCATTCGGCTTGGATTTCGTTTCCGAACTGGAGATGAGGCTTGCAGGAGTCGCACCTAGCAGACCAATGATGCCAGGGTCGCGATGGTGCAACTGAGGCATCGCATTGAATAAATGCGTCACCATCCGCGCACCCCGGCGTACTGCACGGGCAGCAGTATCCGTACCAGATACACTGTGGCCGATAGCGATGCATACTCCGCGTCTCGTCAATGTACCTATGACGTCCGTTCCGCGCTCAAGAATCCCTGGAAGCTCGGGAGCGAGCGTTATCATCCGTACACCGACGCTGTCCGCGTTTGAACTTGCCGAGAGGACCCAATCCTCGTGATGGGCGAGCGCGTCGGCGCCATATACTGTTTCGACGTCTGCAATTCCCTTCGCCGCGTCCTTGAGGAAGGGGAGGGCGTGTGCACCACGTTTGGTGGCAGAGATGAAAGGACCTTCAGCATGCCAGCCAAGTAAAGTGGCACCGCCGTATGGATATTCCGGTGTAGCTACGGGGCTATGAGGACGAAGCAGCCGCAAGAGCGAAGGGTATAAGGAACATTCTTGAGTCTAGATTGGGAATTTGAGCAAACAAGTCGCGATAGTAAATTGACCATACACACAATGATCGTCGGGAGTAATCTATTTTTAAACAATTTAGCAGGCAGCCAATAGAAAATTACATAGATATGATACGCACGAAGTGACTCCGGTCTCAACGATACGTCGAGCAATCATATCAAGACCGTCACGATATACAACGTCATCTCCATTATATACGGAGAAGTCAAAGCCATATGCACCGTTAAGCTGAATATCGAGGAGTCCCGGGCTGCAACAAAGGCACGTTAGTTTCGAAAGACATTTCGAAGCAAGAAACACTTGCCTAAGGATATTTCCTCCGAGGTCTATCACCGTATCGGGCCGTTCCTTGCGAAGGAAGAAAGTCCTCTAGTAGTAAAATAGGTTAAGATTCACATGTCACTGATGTACAGGATGGGCAATACGATGCAAGAAGAGCTCCAAGCATTCAAGGTTGATATCGTGCACCAGTGTATGAAGGTGGGATACCAGCATAGGACATTAAATGTTATCACCTACCTGGGCATCAACGATGACACCGCGACGCTCATCGATCCAAAGATCCTTTTCTAGCAAGGAGCCATCCTCCTGTGCAAGCAAGCAATTCGTGAAGCATACAAGACCATTTCCAGAATTCATTTGCGAATCTTCAATAGCCGTCGTCATTGTATCTTCGTCGGGTTAGCGGCAGCAAGAGGGCCCAAGGCAGATGGCAGTCTAAGGTAGAGAGCTGCCAGCATGACAAGTGCTGAAACGCAGGCTTTATTAGAGGCAAATTTATCTTCGGCGTTGAGATCCGTGCTGGCTGGAAAGGATCGAGACTGACGAAAGAATGAAGTACCATGTGGTTCATTCACTGCTTCTGAAGCCGATACGATCCGAGACGAGTACTTTCGCGCACGTTCCTTGTGCTTCTCAGCGTCTGGAGCTAACTTTGATTCCGCGTGCTAATGATCCGACTCACGATGAGCTGGCATACTACCACTTCGCGTTGTAGAGAGCATTGAAGAGCAGGGTCTGGCTAGAGTAGGGTATCGTCGGCCGGACCGAAGCTGAGACCGTCAGAACATCGATCTTTTTTTGGTCACGGGGTGCCAGCGCGTCCGATCACGTGTATTTCAAGCGCCGCTTTAGCTTTCCTTCATTACACTTTCAGGCTTCATGGAACAAAAATGTTCAAAATAAATAATATAAAGTAAAGTAAAGTGCAATGCCAAAAACACAGCATGAACCTGCTGTAGCGATAATTGAGGATAATAGCAGCTGCATAAGATTTCCAATACGAAATTCATTCCACAACATCGGCGGAGATCCGCAGACCAGAACGTTCCGCATTCTGGACGTCCCAAGAAAGCTCTGTTGCGGTTATCCCGGCTGAGCCATAATATTCCGCACGAATATTGATGAGCATTTTTGGAGCGAGAATCGTCATGACTGTTACTGCAATAGTAAAGTACGCGTTTTGATTATAGAATAGGAATATCGAAATTTTGCTCTGGACGGGAAATTAACAGGCATATCGCAAAAATTCATACGCTTGACGCACATCTGTCAAACCACGTTCACGAATAAAACTTATAATGGCACCGAGAAGACAAACAGAGAATATTCTAATCGATAATCAATCAGTGAAAGTACAGGAAAGTAAAGGAAAATCTAATGCTTACATGGCAAAGTACATAATGGAGTCTCTCGCCATTAACGTTGTGATGTCCTGCGTATTTGCAAGGTGGCCCTTTGACTGTGGGTTGCATGTTGGGATTCTGAACTTCTTCAGCTGTATAGTCTTCCAGAGGATGAGAAGAAATAGAAGCAGCTCGACAGAAGAAGCCACTATCCATGCCACCCCGGCCATCCTAGGTACGAGTAGGCATCCAATATTGGCTATTACTGGAAGGTAGATACCAGGTACTGTATCAATATTCGAAGCTTTGCAACAATGAATTCAATGAGATGATCCCTCAGATTCCATAATACAATAACGAGAGTACAAATTCCTTACGAAGATTTAATGTGAGTTGTACAATATTGAACCCAAAGAGGAGTAATGTCAGTGTGACGAATAGAATCAGCAGTTTTGTTGACGCTCCGAATAATGCGTGAACTCGCATCATGAGAATGACTAGAAAAAGTTTAATCGATATTGCCACATGATATTTGGAATTGGAAGCTCGCTTTTAGCCATTAGCATTGCCATGGTCCCCAATCCAGTGTACAGATGTCCAGATAGGCCTATGTGGGACGGGTCCTTTAATTTTTATCGAAGCACATCTGCTCATTGCATTTACTTACAAGAACTAAAGAGCCCTGCGATTCCGCCATTAGAGCCATTGCAATAAGATGAAACGGTGGTGTACCTCGTGAAACAGGGTTGTCAATCTTATCCCATCCGTTGTGGACTGTACCAATGGAGGCCAAGCTACATAATGTCACAACCACCGGACAGAACGCCTTCGAAGTTCAATACATACATCAAGAAGACTGAACCAAGATATCTTGTCTGTTGTTCGGAGTGAAGGGGAATTCTCCTACTGCTGCAATTGTGAAAACCTACAAGTAAATACGCGACTTTCCCGGTCGTCCACCGTTTCATCTGCAAAGAGTCGAGTTCTACAATTACCATCTGATCCCTCGACCGCTTACCCATATATATTCAACCTAGCACAGCATATTAGACGAGATATACAAGCGTAGCAAGCCGAGCGAACCTCTTCATCTAAATGTGAGACTAAGGTCATGAGCGAAACGAGGCTACGGAGAGCTATCAGCGCGACATACTAGTATAATACAGGTGAAAGGTATTGCATGAGACTGGCCGCATGCGAGTCAGATCATATCAGCAACGCTGGACAAAATGAGATCCATATGCTGGCTGACCTGTTAGCGACTTGCAGACAGTCGCTGAAACCAGTGAGAAGGAGTTGGGGCCCATTATAGTGTGACGCTGGTGGAGATTGAGCTCTGTTGCGAATCCTGTGCGACGTTATAAGCTCAGTACCACACACGATGAAGCCGGGTTTGATTTAAGAGACCAAGTTATTTTAGATCTGTGCTGAATTTCTAAATAAACTGTCAAATAAGGGGCATGTCTGCGGTCAGCACAGCTAGTGGTGTTCTTAGTATACTCCGCAGCGTGGATAGCCTATCGCCCTTGATGAAGCGCTCAATCGACCAGCGCAATCGCCTTGATTCATGTGAAACAATTGTGGTCAAGTGGAGCTCCCGGCTCCAGGAACAAGTAGACTTTGTGCCTTCAAAGTACAAATGTTGCAGACTGATACTCTCCAGTTCTTCGAATCGAAGCAGCGTAACGGGTGGAATCAGACTCCTTAACTGCAGAGTCGGTCAACTGAGAGACACGCACGACTTCAGGAGTGAAGCCCCGAGTTAACTTTTTTGACGGTCCGAGAGATTTCGGCGCCGTCCTTTCCCTCGTCATGTCCTTCACGTGTTCCTTCATAATTTCTGGTCTGTCATCTATCCGAAGAAAGTGAAAATTCCATTTTGAGAGTAGATTTCCCCTGCAGTTGCTGTATTCGTTCACATAATAGTTTGTTGACTGTTTCACTGTGTACAGACCGAACTCGTGAATTTCATGGTCACTGTACTACTTACCAAACATCCTGACAGAACGGGTGTGCAAATTTCAAAACGAGCCTTTGTCCATGATGTACTTTTCTTACGGTCACGTGCAAACTATAACTTCATGTGACGGATCATACTGCACAAAAAACTTAGAAGAGTCCAACTTGAAAGACCGAGAGATGCAATTAGCAGGGTAAGTAACATGGAATGTTGTGCTGAATTGACATTATCACAATGTAAATCGTCGCAAGCGATTGAACGAAACGAAACTGATCATCTGCCTGACTACCATATTCACATTACTGAAGTTTAACCTCGTGAGTCCGTCAATTAGATTATTTTACTCTTAGTATCATGTCTTAATTGAACTCTGCTTAGCTCATAAAAACCCTCGAACATTCAAATGAATTATAATGTTTTCTAAATTCCATCTAAAATGCAATTATATCTATCCTAGTCACTTCATACACTTACTAACACTCAACAAAAATCATCCCAACCCCACTTCTCAGAAGTAAATATTCCTCTCCATACTCTCAAGTATCTTCGGATGACTAAGCACACCATACATTGGGTCGCAAGGAAGAACAACAGAAATCAACGTCTTGAACTCATCCGGTACTGGCCGAACGGCAGTAGCGTCGACGTAATCCTGAATGTCCTTGTATAATTCCTCACACCGTGTACTCATAAAGGCGTATAGGGGCTGGAGCGAACACATGTCGATGTCTTCGCTTTCAAAGTACTGGAGGTTGGGGCAGAGGACAGTATAGTTACTTGGATCATCTTCAAATTTGGATTTGGAATCAGAGTCAGAATCGGTGTTGGGATTGGAATTGATATTGGTGGTCGATGAAGGTTGACTAATAGGTGCAATTGATGAGCTGGGGACAGCGTCAAGTTCCATAGGAGCGTCTGAGGTTTGCATTTTGCTCTCCCTTACTTCCTCGATAGTTGGCATGGGCCTTGCTTCGGCTAGGTCCGCAACTTCAGGAAGCAAGCTTGGCGTCAGTGCTGCCAAAACACCATCCGTAACCGATTCATCGACAAAGCACTCGAGATCGGGGGATAATCTAAGCAACTCAATGATCTCCGCTTCAAGCATATGTGTTCCCGAGAAAATCATACTTTCGAGGCTCGCTCCAGATCGTACAAGGAGGTTCCGTAGGTTAGGGAACGGCGACCAATCGAACAGATGGTTCATGTTCAACTCCAGTTTTGTGAGCTTAGGGACATCGAGGACATCGAGCAATACACCCGGTTGCTCGAATTGCGAGTTAGCTGCAAAGTAGGTGATCTCTAGAGAGTCGAGGTAAGGTAGACGGCGAATGCGTTGATCTTGGAGCGGACGAGCACCCTCGCCTGTACCGTAGACACGGAGGGTAAGATGTTCAAGGTTTGGAGCCATATCGATCCACGTGATACAGTCGTGAATTGACGCGCAGAAGTGGAGTTCGAGCATCGAGAGCGATTTGAAGGTGTCTCGGTTTCCAGTGGGTAGCGGGGCGATGAGTGGGGTGATGAGGCGAACAGTTTCCAGCGAGTTATTCGACGAGAAGTCGTAGATAACTGGGTGCTCGTGGATTCCGAGATATTGAGACGAAATGCAAAGGTGTTCCAGCGCATTCACGCCCTTGACAAGTGCATTCAGCACTGGTGTCGCATGGCTGACTTCTGGTACTGTGAGTTCGACGACTCGCCAACGGTTCGAGCAGGTCATAAGAACGCCGATGAAGTCCTCGATGCCTTTGATCACGGCTGGGTCCATCTCCATTCTGTGCTCAAAGCTGAACAGACGTTCGCCATCCCCTATGAGGTTCGCCAACCTCACGCCGAACGGTAGTGCGCCGGATCGTTCTATCCATAACTTCAGGAGGGATGTGTTGTCATTGATCCGGTCCGGCTGACGCGTGAAGCAGACGCCTCTCCAGAGTTGACGAGTGTTCAAAGCAACATTCCGCCAATGCCGACATATCCAGCTGAGCACTAGCGGTGCATGAAGAGGACTTGGGGTGGCACAGTCAAGATAGTCGACTTCTAGACACTCAAGAAAGATCAGTGACAGCACCTCATCCGGAACGTACCCAGCTCTTGACCTCAATTGACCATTAATGAGTGACATGCAAGGAATGTATGTCCAATGTGCTGAGCAAAAGGAAACGTTATGTATCCACTGCTGAAGGAGTGAAGCAGCGAACGAGACGGGTTAGAAGAAGGTGATAGCGAGGAAAGGACGGTTCCAAAGCTTCCGGTCATTGCGAGAGGAGGACAGTCAGATATATATTGCGAATGGCACCCACCCAGGAGCGCAGCACTGCGGCAAACACTGAACAGGGTGCTCAAGAGCAAGTGTCACGTAAGCAATTTTGCTACCAATCGGTCGCAGAGGACTGATGTTATCGCAAAGTATCGATTTATCATCCAGAGTCGTATAAGCAGCACGCAAAGATCGTAGTACGACCCATTCAAGGATGTCTGCTGGTTTGGTCGATACAATTTTTAAAATATAGGAACATTAGCCTTGTAAGCACAGTGAGTTGCTCCAGGCAACCTTTGTTCCCGAATACAGAACGTTATTATTTGACTGGCGAACCAGCGGCATCCATAGCAGAAAGCAATCCTGAAAGCTCGACAAGTTCATCACCCGAGGCGATTAAGAAGGAGAAATGCTGCTTGGAGTTTGCGTAACCTTATGTAGGCCATCAAGCGTTGTGGCTGATCTAGAATAAGAAGGTCTTGAGTTATCGCGGTGCCATTTGACTGTTCTGAGGCTCATCTACCGCACGCATAGAGCCTATCCCTGATACTCAGAGGGAGCGATTAGTAAGAAAGTTTGCAAAAGTGAATGGATCGAGACAACGGAAACTATAGGGAATTGTCGTGCAACCTCAACATAACGGCTCTCCATGCGCGACCTTTGAAAGGTAAGAAGAGAGGGCAATTCTGACCATGAATTACATAGATAGCTTCAACTTTGGTAGTTACGTCGCATGAGATCGTCATTGTTGCTGCTCTGCGAACGGATTTTCTATTTCTTCGAAACCGTCAACGGGATTAAGCAATGTAATGGTGGGTCCGCGAAGGACAACTAAACCAAGGGACCGCTTGCGTGGTTCAGGTTCTAGATGTCATCAGACAGAGCGCAAAATAGGAAAAGTACAAAGAAACGACACACCATGAAGCTGCTCTTCGACATCATCAAGTACAAGGTTGAGTAATTGATCATAGCCTTTCAGAATGCCTGTCACTGGTGGCCAAACGGGTGATCATTAAGAGCGCATTCAACACGAGCTAAATAAAACGAGACATACCTTCGCGTCCACCAGTAAACTTGACACGTATCCGTTCGTTCATGTATTTTTGGAGGTCGAGGATAGCTTCACGTTTTGGTTTGTCTGCCTGCTGTGCGCCTTGCGCGCCGACTCGACCGCCTCGAGCGGCTGGTCCACCACGGGACGCAAAACCCCTTGCTAAACCGCGTCCCTGTGAATATAGTTTCTTTCAGCTGTAGCCCACAAAAAGCGAAGAAAGAGATGAACGTGCCCTGTCTGCCATGAATGCGTGGTTAGTAGGTGACAAGGAGTGTTATTACCATATCGCGACGTTGTAATCGTGAGAACTGGCCACACATTATGTGATCACATTAGATAGACCCCTTACCCAACTTGCGTCTTCGTTCTTGTTCGTCCATACCGTTCCCTTCCACGGTCCACTCCCTCTCCATCCTCTTTAAAATTTACGCAGATTTAGATTTCTGCACAGTCAAAATACTCTACAAGCAGCGGGACACGATGAATGCCGCCGAGCTCTTAAACAACTCGCTTTCGCCTGGTGCGTTCCGCGTGCTTTTTACTTTCCCCGCGTCGATGGCGCTGATGCTCCGCCTATCTCATTTGAATAGTCGCGGCGACGCGTCAACAAGCCACTGAGCAGCTCGAAGCTGTCGCAAGGGATAACTATGTGCGTTTTTGACGCGTATCCTCAACAGTGAACGCGGGTCATTGTAATCTCTGGTTCTAACAAATAACTTTCAGCCCGGCTATTTGGTCACGCTATCGTCCGAGCTTGCGAATGAGGCGCAATCCATCACCATCCGCAATGCCGCAGGTATCGCGCTCAAAAACGCGCTAACTGCACGTGTACGTGTCTCGTGTTTTGCTACCATCGTGCATGTATCCGCAATCCTGAGCCACGTTCACAGGAGGCAACCCGTCAACAAGAGTACCAGAACCGATGGCTAGCACTCCCGCAAGAGCCCAAGAACAAGGTCAAGCAAGAGGCTCTGATGACTCTCAGCTCGAGTTCGACGAAGGCTGGTGGAGTTGCTGCGCAGGTTGTAGCCGCGGTTGCCGCAGTAGAGCTATCCAACAATCAATGGCCAGAAGTTATCGAGATCTTGCTTCGCTTCATGGACAACACTGAAAATACAAACTTGCGAATTGCAACCCTCCAGACAATAGGTTACATTTGTGAGAGTATCGTAAGCAACATGATCCTCGCTTCTTTGTTTTCATTTTGAGAAATCCTCCTTTTTTAGAAACCTGAAATTTTAAGCATGCGATCAAATGAGATCTTAACTGCTGTAATTCACGGAGCTCGCAAGGAAGAGCCGTCAACCGAGGTTCAGCTTTCAGCTATTAATGCTCTTTACAACTCATTAGAATTCGTCCGAGACAACTTTGAACGTGAGGTGCGTGAACGGGTGCTGCGCCCACTCGGCTTTTTATTAAATTATGTTCAGGGTGAGCGGAATTACATTATGCAAGTCGTGTGTGAAGCAACACAAAATCCGTCCGTACCCGTGCAAGTGGGCGCCTTCGAGTGTCTTGTTCGAATCATGAGCCTTTACTATGACAAGATGGCATTTTACATGGAGCGGGCGCTTTTCGGCGTATGTAGAATTCTGCACGTGACCAACGAAGCGCTAAAATTTGCATTTAGTTGACGGTCCTGGGTATGAAACATCCGGAAGATAACATTGCTCTGCAAGCTGTAGAATTTTGGTCAACTGTATGCGAAGAGGAAATTGAACTGGCGATTGAAGCTGCAGAGGTACGTACCAACTTCCATGTCCCCAACAAAAAATGCCGTTGACTTAGTGTTGACATCATAGGCCGCGGAGTACGGCGAACCGCCCGAGACTGAGTCAAAGAACTTCGCGAAGATTGCTCTCCCTGAGATTGTTCCCGTGCTTCTTGGCTTACTAACTCATCAGGACGAAGATGCTGAGGAAGATGAATGGAACGTATCCATGGCAGCAGCAACCTGCTTGTCTCTCCTTGCGCAGACTGTTGCAGATGCAATCGTGCCTGCTGTTATACCCTTTATTGAGTCGAACATCAAGGCTCAAGATTGGCACCAGCGTGAAGCGGCTGTGATGACGTTTGGCTCTATTCTTGATGGTCCAGATCCAACAGTGCTTGCACCTCTTGTCACCCAGGCCCTACCTATCCTCGTCGAGATGACGCGCGATGAGAATATTCTTGTTAAGGACACTGTCGCTTGGACTCTTGGTCGAATTTGTGATTTACTCGTCGGTTCTTTGAAGCCTGACGTGCATTTGCACCCGCTCATCTCAGCACTTGTGGCCTCACTTGAAGATAAACCACGCATCGTGGCAAACTGCTGTTGGGCTTTGATGAACCTTAGCGATCAGCTTGGAGCGTTCGATGAAGAAGAGGGTGCGCCAGCTGGTAACCCTCTAACACCATATTACGAAGGGATTGTGACTGCTCTTCTCAGAGTCACAGATAGGTGAGTTATATCTGTGGTTTCTCTTAACATTTAACTAATAATGGTTGGTTGTAGCACTGGAAACGAGTCCAACTTCCGTACATCAGCGTACGAAGCCTTGGCATCATACGTAACTCATGCTACCCCCGAATCGATCACCGTTGTCCAGAACACCGCACTCACTGTTCTGTCGCGTATGGAACAATTGCTGGGCATGCAGAACCAACTGCTAGGCATTGACGATCGCAACAACTGGAATGAGTTACAGAGCAACCTCTGCAGTGTCTTGATTGTTTGTACCCTTTCTATTCTTTTGATATCTTGGGCTGATTATACATCAACAGAGCATTGTCCGTAAACTGAACGATGGAATTGAGCCACTAGCAAACCAAATTATGACCGTGCTCCTCGGACTCATCCAGTCTGTCAAGACATCTACTGTGCTGGAAGATGCCTTCCTCGTTGTGGGAACCATGGCCTCAGCTCTCGAAGTGAAGTTCTCGCCCTACATCCAGGCCTTCCTGCCATTCCTGTACCCAGCGTTGAAGGCCCATGAGGATACGCAACTGTGCACAGTTGCTATTGGTGTCATTGGGGACATCGCACGTGCGCTCGGCGAACAGAGTGCACAATATGCCGGACCGTTCTTGCAGGTGCTGTTTGAGAACTTGTCCAGTGAGACGTTGAATCGCAATGTCAAAATCCCGATTCTGTCATGTTTTGGCGATATTGCGATGGCAATCGGGCCGGGCTTCGAGCCTTACCTTGATCATACCATGGGTGTTCTACGTCAAGCCAGCTCAATCGTACCAAATCCTGTAAGTGTCGATCTTGCACTGGCTTTATCGCCGTTGAACTCAATTCAATATAGATGGACTATGAGCTCCTGGACTATGTTACTTCCCTTCGAGAGGGAATACTCGAGGCTTACACGGGAATCGTTGTGGGTTTCAAAAATACGGAAAAAGGTAAGTCCTGTTGGTACCTGTGCCGTGCCATGATCTCAGACTTTTTGTTCAGTACAAATGCTACTACCATACGCGCAGAGCATGTTGGAGCTTGTACAGCGCTGCCTTGCGGACGAGGAGCGTCCGGAATCCCTTGTGAAACTCGCATATGGCTTGGTTGGTGATTTGGCCGATGCATTCCCTAATGGTCAAATTAAACAACTACTCTTGTCGGAGTGGTTAGCACAATCATTGCGGCAGAAGGCAAGATTGTCGGGAGATGCAAAGAAAACTGCGCGCTGGGCTCGCGAGGTTCGTACATTGTATTGAATCCTCCCGGTTTCTGAGAGTTAACTTGTTTTCCTTCTGCAGATGGTCAAACGTGCTACGGCATAGATGTGGACACCGGTTTTAATTCTTCTATTTCCCCCGTTTATAATTGTCTTCTGCAGTACATTTCTTCCTTTCTCTCCTCTCCTATTCCGTTTCATCATTATGGCAAAGTTTACGGTATATTCTGCACTCATCATCACTTGCTCTCTAACGGAGGGCTCATCACGGCCGCAAATCATCGCAATATTTCAATCCGCATGTAGTAGAATGTTTGGTGTTGACTTGACTTATAGTCGTCGCACATCTGATTTCTTTTTTCCCCTCCTTTTTGAGTTTCATTCATAGTGTCACGGCCTTATTACATTCTTGATGCATCCCACTGTAGCCTTCCCCCATTTTATTGTTCCCGAGTCCAATTCCTGTTGCTACACGCTGTTAACGTTACATACTTTTGGGCGAAATTTCTCTTGTTTTTACGCTTTGTCCTGCACATGAATTAACTCCCTTTCCCACGCTCGCAATGATTAAGCTTTGAATTCTGCACAAAATTCTTACGGTGGCCCAGACGTGTATACTTAAACTTCCTTCATTTCTTGACTTTTTATAATGGATATTAAGTTCTTTGGCCTAAGCTGATTATCCTATGCTTCGGCCCATTTTGAGCTTGGGAGCTTATAATTTTGATCAAAGGCCAGAATTTGCTTTACTGTTCGTTCGTCCGTTCGTTTCCATCTGCACCCATTCCCATAAATCAGCAAGATCTATTTCCCCGTACCAATTCACACATACAGTAGGGCTTAGCTCTTTTCTGAAGTTAAGCTCAGATGTCGCCGCCTTAAATCAGACGCGTCATGGTCACGTGCTGCTTAGATGCACTTTGCTGCTTGAAACGCGACTCTTGAGATGTGATCGCAATGTCGGGCACGAATGCCCCACTCGAGTCAGAGGTTCCCGCGCGAGTTGCGCAATATAACATGCTGTTATGCGTCCAGTGAGCGTGTTTGCGGTTGGTCAGCCAGGCTGACCTAGACGTGCTGATGTTTTATATGGGGCAGTACACTCCCAGCATAGTGATACAAGCCGCATCTATATGCAGCTTGGAAGTCAGATAGGGGTCTAGCTCGTCCTCTTTCTTGCTCACTCACTGTCGTTCTTTTCTGTTCTTTCCTCTGTCCCCCTCCTTCACGCTCTTTACCTCTTTCCTCGATGAATGGAGCTCTAGTGGCTTCCTCCGGGTATCTGCCGGACGAAGTCATGTCGGAGATATTCCTCCGTTGCTTGGAGCCTGACGACCTCGGCTGCATCGCTCCTTCATCCTCCTCTGCTCCTCTTTTGCTTTCTTGGGTCTGTAGACGCTGGCGGAAAATCTCTCTCGCTACCCCGCAACTCTGGACAGGAATTAACTTGCAAGACTTGACACAAGATGGGCTATTTACAGTTAGCAGGACGGCGCTTCTGAACTTGCTGGATTTGTGGATTAATAGGTCGAAATCGTGTCCAATCTCGATCAAGTTCTCGTATACTGATCTATCGGAGAACGACCGTGGACGCATGGTACTGTTCTTGCCAGAGCACAATGGCGACAGTACATACTTGAAGGACGTGAATGCGCTCATCGACAAATTGTTATCTTGTCAACAACGCTGGCGTGCACTGTCCATGATTGTTCTGGACCTTTCTTCAGTTGAGAGACTGCTACAAGCCATCTCGAACTGTCCTGCTTCACCTTTGCTCGAGCATCTCAGTATCTCAACGCAGTACCTTGGTATATTCGGCGAGATTCGGACGTACAACCTTGCGCTCTCATCTCAACTTCGTACGATACGCATCCTAAGTCCATTAATCGTACCTGAATCAAATGGTATTCGTCTTGACCTGCTCACAGAGCTCGAACTGAAGTTCTGCTCGTCGATGGTCGGTTGTTTGCAATGGCTTGACAAAGCGCCGAACCTCGAGACGCTCAAGATACGCTTCTTCACTGCAGATGTCGAACAGCTCGAGAATGAAACTCGAATCCGCCGATTGGAGAAGCTAACCAACTTGCAAGTCTCCTCGTTCTCGTCAGATTCTGATCCAGCAGCATTCATCAACCTCCTAGAATTCCCCTCCCTTACAGAGCTGTTTGTGGACATGAACGACCTGATAGATGCAGAGAATTGGACCTGCGTGCTTGACTTACTGAAGCGATCTCATCCACCTGCTTTCCATGCGATGACACTCCTTGGGACACCCATGACCACTGAACAGATCTTAGAATGCCTTCGTATGACACCCAAGTTGACTTGCTTCAGATTAGGGACGATCACAGATGAGATTTTACAGGCTCTCAGCACCTCTACACCAAAACAGCCCAAATCAAAATCAGAAGCACCACTGCTTCCGTTGCTTGAAGCGTTGGAAGTTGAGGATGTGGAAAACTGCTCCTTTGCTTCACTTGTCAACTTTGTTTCCTCTCGATGCAAGGACAAACGTCTACCTACAGAAGAGTCTGGGTCTGTGATAGACAACTCGAAGAACGAGGACACTTCAAAACAGATGCCTCAACCTCTACCTCAATCCAATGACAACAGCAACGGCCCATACAAAACACTAGAGATCATGGTCATCCCCTTCGACTCAGATTACGCATTCATAAGCCATCCAGACGTCATCGAGTGCGTAGAAAAAGGTTTGGATGTCGTACACAGATCTCCAGCTTTCGAGGTCCTGCCACCCAGCAGAGTAGCCATGCATCTTCGGAACATAGGTGTGAATGGTCCTGACCAGGAGGGTGTCGCTACTACCGATTGAGCATCTGGGGATATTGGATGGCTCGAACAGCGGTGCTTTTGTAGTGCCTTTGCTTCTTTTGGGTCTTGTCTGACTTCATGTTGACCTAATTTATGATCCTTTTATCCGAATACATGTATGAAGGTACACATATACTGCCGTTTTTGACTGCATTCTGTCGATGCCAATACACACGCACTTTCTCCCTTGTTCTCCACGTTAGCACTTCAATACATATTTTGATCGCTAACCTACATTTTTGGTTACCTCATGTGGAGAGTCTTGTATTTGCATGTTGACGACCCGCATCATTCAGACACAAATATATTAACGAACGGATACGGTTAGATTTCATATTTTCCGAATATTAAGAACAATACGATACATGACATGCTGCTGCTGCATTTCATTTAAAAGCATACGAAATCAAATTGCATGACACAGCGTTGGTTGAAACTATTGAAAGCTTATGGCAGAGGATGAAAAGAAAAAGGCTAATGCAATAACATTGACGATTGACGGTGAATCATTGAATGTGCAGAGCAACAAAGAAAGAAGTGAATGTGAATTCTGGACTCTGATCAGTTAAGAGTGGCTAACTTAGGCCAAAGTCAATGGTAGATAAGTGATGGATGGGACGATCTCCGTATCCATGTATGAGCCGTCTTCATACGACGGGCTAGAGGTAAAGTAACTTGAGTCACGACGTGCTAAGAGAGGTCTCGACAATGAGCGCACGAACGAACTGCGTGGACCCATGAGTGCATGCAGAGTAGCGCAAAGTTATAGTTGTAACTGCGATACAGCACGAGAGAAGCGTTCCTCCCATCCTGGCGAAGCCGTTGAGATAGCCTGTCCAGTCTGGTTTTCCCCAGGATACTCCACACGATTCGATGTTGGTGAGTTCGCAACAGAGGAGGACCCCACCCTGTTATTATCGTACCCAGGACCGATTCTGGACGACTCATGCTCGTGATGAGAGATAGTCGCGCAATGCGAGCTGGCATCTTGTTCCATGCCCATCTCTTGGACCATCTCTGGTATTTCTGATGACTGGATATCTGATAACCTAAGGGGAGGTAGCGGCTTATCCATCGACGCGCGCATTGATCGCGGACTAGAGGAAGGTTGGCTGGTCACATTACTATCTCTTCCTTCTTCCGATTCCCTTCCCGGCTGATCTTCAGCTTGTATAGGCACAGTGATTCTATGCGACCTAGACGTAACAGGCTGATGACGATACCGACCCTGACCTGGTCCTTGGCTGGTCGCCGGATGCTGTTGCTGTTGCTTCCTCTCTTGCGCCCGTTGAGCACCGTTCGAACCTTGTCGAGGACGCTGTTGCTGCTCAGACGTATGATCCTGCTTGTGTGATCGTCGCTCCGGTGATGGTGCGCGTGGAGAGCTGAAGTCTGCGGTACGCGGCGACGTCGAGGATACAGGAGACAACGAGCCTGGCGATCCAGCCGACCCGGAAACAGAACCACCCTGCGAGCTACCAGAAGAAACCGGCGAATCCGTTGGGCTCGCAAGGTCCAACGAGAATTGAGCGTTCGCCAAGTGCTGCATCCCAAATCTGGGACCTTGCGAATGCATCTGCGCTTGTATAAAGGAATAACTATGCGTCTGCGTCTGAGATTGCCTACGCGCGAAATGAGGCACATGTGAAGAAAGATGCGGCGATGAAAATTGCTGTAAAGAATGCCGTTGCGCAGAGGCATGGCGGCTTGAGACATTCGGTGAGGTCGGCGAAGACCAAAAAGAGGAAGGAGACATGCCCGAGTGCGGCGACGATGGCGAAATGTTAGTAGATTGTATAGGTTGAAGAGTTGGTAAACGACCAAATGCAAGTTGACCTGGTGAAGGAGAATGAGAAGGTGAAGAATTCTGAGAAGCATTGCTGGACGGAGGGTGAAGTTGCGTCGATGCAAAAGAAGATGCAGCCGGAGTTGGCGGTCCGACTATTGTAGAATTAGAATGGGTATGGGCGTGTATGGGACGAGAAGTCAGGTGCTGTCGTGCCTCGCTGGAGTTTCTCGAAGGAGACGACTCGGTTGACTGCTGCGACTGTCCTAATGCTTGCGCTTGAGCCTGTGCGTGCGCATGAGCGAGGTAGAGTTGCTGCTGATACAGAACCAACGGGTTCACGGTAACATTCGCAGGTGCAGAGGAAAGGCCAGGATTTCCTGAGCCGCCTGCGGCCGTCTCATAGAAGACTGTCGGTGAAGACGACAATGAATTGTGGACAGGCGAAGGTGGTAAGGGTACGTTGAACGGCATTTGCTGTGCCATCGATGCCGAAGCTAGATTCATGCGTGGAGACTTGTTTGCCCGTGCTGGTCCCGAATTGGAACGCCGCAGAGTATCAGATTTTCCAGGGAAAGTGAAAGAACGGAAGTCTCTATGAGGCAAATGGTATGAGACTGGCGGCAGTGCCCGTGTAGGCTCATTCATGGCCCGAGCTGCTCTTCGTCCACGCATATATGGGGGGTGAGTATACGGCGTCGGAGTCATATCATCTTGCAAGCGAAGGTTTGCCTGCTGGAATGCCATAGCAAGCTGCCCAGCAGATAACCTGTGTGGGACCGAGGATGGCGAAAATGGTGGACGTGTCTCTTGTGGCGGTGACCTTGCTACGCTTGGTTCACCAGTGAAAGACCTCACTGATTTGACATCATCTTCCTGTGCAACGTCCGAGCGCACATCACCATCATCCGACAGTATCTCGCTATTGCTTGACGACGACATGTATGCTCTTTCCTGTTCACGAGCATCAGTTGGCGCGGTCGCCAGCGAAAGTCCCTGGCTTAATCGACTCTCAAACGAGGCGACGTCATCCTCTGGTGCCTCAGGTGGAGGGGGGCTAGTAAATTGCGTGCGCTTTGGCGCCATATGCTCCGGAGGACTTCGAGGCTGAACATCAGGAGCAACGTCGGGTGGCGCGTTCTCCTCAAGTATCTTTCGAGGAGGCGAGAGTCGATCTCTCGCAGGGGCTCCATTCGGCCGGAACGAATTACTCCCAATCGAATAAGGCGTCTGAGGAGGAAATGATAATCGTGGTGGAACAAATATGGTGTTGTGAGCAGCGTTCATCCTCGTCGTAGAGTCATCCCGTTCTTCACACAGTTGTGCAAGAGCCTGATAGCCGCGTTCTTGCCGGTGTTGTAAAATCCGGCTTGCACGCATGAACTCCCCACGAATCTGTAAGCGTTTAGAAATTAGCTGCATACTAAGCGTTGTGTGCGAGTGTACATACCACATAGAGTCCATCCCTAGTCACACAACGCGCTACGTTGTAATCAGTTTCAAAGGGATCCTACGCGCAAGAATAAGCTGCGTCTCCATCACAAGCAAACCGAAATAGAACCGACCTCTATGCAAAGACGATTTCGTTCCCGACCATCCTTGAATCTCGGATCATTCTAGCAGATTGATGTCAATCACTGCAAATACAAGCATGATTGAAGACAACACACATCACCCTGCCATCCCTTTGATTCTTTCTTCAGGAGGCCAGCCCTGATAGATGCAACACCAGAGTTGTACGTGAAATCTTTCGCGTAGTATCGGAAGAAGTCGATCAATCTATAGAAACCAATGAGGCCACGAGGACAGTCACGTCTTCCAGGTACCAAACTTACAACTCCGCGACAGACTCCGAATTTTGTGACTTCCATCTCTGTCGAAGAAGCTCTATGTCATCGAAGAACCAGATGTTGCGGCCAGCCAGATGATGCTCCTCCTACATTTTATATCAGCAAATCAGAAGAGATTAATATAGAATAAGAAAACTTACGGCGGGTATAGGGTGAAGAGGAGGAATTTGTTGTAGATTAGGAAGAACTGGAGGATTCTTTACGTGGACTAGAAAGTAAATAACTAAAAGTACATATCCATAAGACGACAGCGTTCCCTCGTAGGGGGAGTTGATTTTTCTGATGCCACCATATTAGAATGTTATCAACACTTTACTTATTTAACAAAGGCACGCATACCTCCGTTTACTCCAAACTTTAACTATTAAAAGATGGATTTCGATCAATACAAGGAAGTTCTGAAAGCGGCTGAAAGATACTCACGAAATAATACAAGAGTGCGGACCCTTGTTGGGTCGACCATAGAATAACAGAGAAGCAGCCGGGTATTCTCTAAAGCCAGCCTGTTCTCAAAGCCAATATCGCAGGCGATGCCTAGAGGTAGCCCCGGTGATGGGTCTAAGGACAGCTTGACAATCGGTATTCGTGCATGTGGCAGTGGCTTCACGTGGAACTTGGTTTCTACAACAGATCCGAGTTCCAAGTTAGAAAGTGAGGATATTGGATTCGAGGTATGAAATAACAAGAACCTCGCTCGAGCAAGTCGCCAACCATTGTGACGAGATCGCTGGCGGAAAGTCGCTGGTCCGAGTCGATCAAGCAACACATGTCCATATCTTTAAACACGCATGAGCCATTTTAACGCGTCAAAGGAAGAAGCTATCTACGTACCAGAGTTTCGTAGGCTGAAGCCATTCGCAGTGCTGCCAAAGGACAGCAGGCGACTTTCAGGTTCGATGGTGCGGATGAGTCTCTCCAGGAGTTTCCGCACGTCTTCCTTCACCGCAAGCTCTTCCACCGTCGGAAGCAGCTGGATCACAAAGTCAAGTAGACATTGCGAGAGTTCTGCGACGAATTTCTGTCGGCGCTGTGAATGCGACGTGTGTTGGCCGCCGCTATCCCCATAATGTTGGTGCGGATGTTGCTGGTGTTGGTGTTGGTGAGAGCCAGACGCGAAATTCACGGGGGCGTTGTTACGTGCATACGAGGTCATCAGAAGGTCGGGGACGGCTAGCAAGGACAATGTTGTACTCGCTGCTCTGCGGTGGATGGGTAGGATTGAAGAGGACAACGTAGACGACAGCAGGTACCAGTGAGCACGACGAGAGCTGTAGTGCCCGCCAAAGCTAATTATTGACGGAGTACAGAAACGCTCGTGGGAACCGCTTACCACAACTCAATATCTTCCCGCATTTCCCAGAGTACCTCCGTAGAATTATCTACGTGTCCGGGATCAAAACTAGTGTATTGTATACGTCTTGGCGTGCTTTATATGAAGAGATGGAGATGGAAGGGACGGTGGTCAGCTTGTTAATTACAATTTATTGCGCCGTTACTTGGCTAGATTTCACACTCTGCTACCCAACCCATGCCTGCCAAATTGAAACAGCCGACAGAGCATGGGAGAGTTCTAACTCCGAGAAGCCCACATAACAGGCTTGCCGGCGACGACATGAACATCGCCTCTGCCTCATTCCCGCGCAGTCAGAGTTGGAAAAAGGGACAGTAGTGCTATTATAAATGCTGGACAGTTTTACACATTTTTATGGATTTTACAACATTTTCCTCTTATCGAAAGCTTCAACGATTTCTGGACAAATCACTGCAACAAATGAATTTCTATCAAAATCGGCACCGAGAAGGAAAGCGTTTCTGATGAACTGTAACGCACCTAAAAGCCGCTTCGATGCAATTCTTGACCTCTTTATAAGAGACGACGAGACAGCTCTGTTCGTCCCGTGAGACTAGCATGAGGCGCTCTTCAGATCCAGCATCAAGCTTAAACAGACGCGATAATCATCAGTCCCATCATGACTACAAGATGACAAGGGACAGACGCCCAAAAATACCTTGTTTAAATTTGTCAACACATGACCTAGGTTTACCACAGGGTTCCCGCTCTCGTCCACAGAATGGAAGACGTAATCCCGAAATAGCTTGATAATATATCGATCACCAGTCTCGGACCAACGCGGGTCACGGTCAAACCTGCAAAGATTTCAACAATCAACAATGTTAATTTATACACCTTCCTTTGAAAGAAAACGGCTGCAGATTCCGTACTCGGGTCGTTCATTGATGAATCCAAACTTGCAAAGCAACCGAACTAATCGTGCGTTCTCGAGCTCGCCCATGAGCTCTCCTTCGAGTTTGTCAACGGAACTGGATCAAGATCGGAAACGAAATCCCAATCAGCGCGAAGTGCCAGCGCATAGACTCAGAAGCCGTCTTACGCATGTGCCGCATCCAATTCCGAAACCAATTTACCCGCGAAGGTATCGAATAAACCGCGAATATTCTGACATACATAAGGTGAGAGTAAACTTGAGTAATCAATAATCAAGGTGTTGTCTGCATGTCTCTCACCTTCATTGGGCCTGGATCCTTCATTAAATAATGAATCACGTCTTTAATATTTCCAGGATAGTGACGGTGAACGTGATCCAGCGCTCTGTGGACATTACTGGTTGCTAAAGGATTATTGCAGGCTAAGGACATGATTAGCCTTGCGAACATAACCAAGTCTTCTTGCTAGATAGTCAATATAATCAATGATCTTTTGTGCATGATGATAGGTGAAAAAGATGCACCTGAAGAAAGAAGATGTCTTGCCGAGTATCATAAAGCAAAATATCAAACACCGCGCATGAACTGATCCTCACTCTGTACAGAAAATATAATTCATTAGTCAACTACGAGCACTATCCGGAGCCGAACGCTCACCTATTTTGGCCAGTAAGCAGAACCTTGTGTGCATCAATCATACGCACAGCCAAGCCCGCGTCGTGAACCACCTTCATCGCGCTGGCAATCTGGAAGACATAACTCCAAAGTGTCTGTTCCGATATTCGTTCAGGCTGTGCTCGGCCTCCCTGATATGGCTTATTCGACTTAAAATGGAGTTCGGCGAGGCTCTGAGAGTTAGGATGGTAGTCGTATACAACAACGAGCGCTTAGGCAAAAAATAAGTCAGTACAAAAATATTTTAAAAAAACTAAAAAGGGGCAGTCACGAACAATTATCCCCAAATGCTTTCGTGGTGAAAGCTTCCCGAACAGACACGATGCCCGGATGTCGGAGTTTCGTCCACTTTTCCAGAACGGTGAAAGCTTGTTCGTTCATTAAGCGGAAATCTGGAGTGACGGAAGCGAATCCTCTTTATCCTCTATGTGAAAGAAACAGAAAGCATATGCCTCACTTTCTATCCTACGTAGCGCATAAGCTCCACCGTCCGACGTCTTTACTGCCTTGTACATCATAGTACTCCAGGGGTTAGATTTCTTCTTATCTGTCGAGGCCATTTCAAGAGGCACCAGAGAATGATACCCCTGCACTTCCTCCGGAAGAGGTAGACCGGGGACAGGACCGCGATGTATTTGTTCCGAACGTTTAAGTAATTCCTCCCTAATGTCATCGGAGATAAAGAACCTTCGCCCTCTGCTAGTGGGAACAGGCAACGAGTACAGATGATAGTTTAGCTGGTGCGGGAGTCAGGTTTCGAAGGGTAACGTGAACGAACAACACTTGCGGGTTGACGAGTAAAATGTTGGGGATCGTAGAAGGAACCCATTTCTGCTACACCATTGTAATCATGTTGAGCATAGTGATCATCTGCTATGGACTCCCCATAGTCCGTAAAGCTCATCTGCAAAAGTATTAGTAAACTAAGTACATTCAAGACATGCCAGATAAGAACCTGATCCATTTGATGCGCCATCCCCTCATATGTGCTAAGATTAGTGTCTCCCTTATCTACTTCGGGTTGCCCATACGGGTCATATGCAACATTTACCGTAGTAGGTGGAGGAGTGCTAACACAACCAAATGGACATGAGCAATGCTAGATGAAGAAAACAAGTGCATATAACGAACTAAACAGGTGTCCGTTCAGTTCTCTGCGGCGATGCGATTCCGCGCGGCACAAATACTGGAGCATTTACAGCCTGCAGTGGGATCGACGTAGCACCAGCACTTGCTGTGAGGTCGTTCTGAGATGTTATTTCACTAATGTAGAATTAACATGAGGCAGGAGTAATTTGGAATCCGTGCTAACGGTTCTTGTGGAGCGTCATCCTTCTATTTGTTCATTAAAATAAAACTAAGCTGATGCGAATCTACATGCACGCACTGGAGGATGGTGGTAGGTGCAACCCTTGCCCTCGTACTTGCAGTATCTTCATAACTAGTTAGATGCCGAGATTCCCCAATCGTTCAGTATGCGAATATTTGACTTGCCCATGAATTAATATATTCCTACATTGTCGTTGCGTAGTATCTACAACGTATAAACAAATGTTCCAATAGGAGAGTTGAAATCACCAGGGCGCACCCTTCTTGGGCGTAGATACAGATTTTTGAGGGATAGACAAGTCTGCATCCTGAGGTTTCGTCTCATTGGGAGCGACGATTTTGACAGCAGCGTTGCGCGTCTGAGGCGCCGCAAAAAAGGCGGACATAGCCTCCTATAGCTTGAAGCAGCCCCGAGTCGCCGGGTAGATCGTGGTGAGAGGACGAGTCAACACATTGCTGAGCAAGACGGGCGAAGGAGTTGAGGCGGTGACCCACATTGGTAAATATCCCGCGATGATTGCCACGCCATAACAGGCCACAGCTCTCTGCCTCTCTCTCATCTACCGCGTTGACGACGACGGCCACGACGACGAGCAGCCTCATCGACACCGACGATTGCCCTGCGCAGCTGGGATGTCGGCTCTTGCTCGCGATGCTGCAGCCTTCAAATCCTCCTTACAGCGCCAAGACTTCACGTCGTGGCACTCAAACCCCTCTCTGAAGAACAATGCACCTCCGCCGTCTTCAGGCACCACAGCGTCCTCGACGACATCAACATCGTCGGAAACAGCAAAGAAGAAGCGTCCAAAGCCGAGTCAGAATAGTATATGCCCTATGTGATGTTCTTTGAATACTGAGCATGTGTCTTTATTTCGATAGACATTGTATATTCGCAACCCGCCGACACTGGGACCGGCACGGACATCAATACTCAAATTGTCTACGCTGTCGACCATTTAAAAGTAAATAGCCTTCTGGCTTCTGGTCTTTGTTTGCCCAGTGTGCTTATTATTCTTGTTAGAACAATGGAAACCCAATGCGACTGCAAGACCTCGCCATCGTCACTGGCACCCTCTTGGATACGAATCCGGCGCTCCGAGAACGCTTTAAAGCGCACGACCGCGTCGTTTATGACCCCAAAACTGACCTTTACTCTTATCGAGTGCGTTTTCCCTGCAACTCCTTTTTGTTCCGCGTAAACTGATTTGTTCTGTTTGCGTGAATAGCATGACTTTACGTTCCGCAACAAGGCAGCGCTCATCACAGAGGTACAACGCCATACTCGACGTGGCGGCGGTCTATCTGTCCGAGCACTGAAGGAATCATGGAAGGATGCACCTCAGGCAATTGAAGAGCTGGAAAAGGAAGGAGAGGTTCTTGTGACAAGAACGACAAAGGACCAGCAAATGCGAATGGTATTCTGGAATGAGTTGAAACCTGTCGAGGGCACAGGAGGGTTGCCCGTTGAACAAGGTGTGCATCCTTGTACATTTCTTAGCGAGAGTTTGTCTTGATCCGTGTCCCAGAATTCAAAGATCTATGGCATAAACTCAAAGTCCCTCCAGATGCAGATCTCCTGAAAGCTCTTTCATCAGGTGCGCTGCTTATAAGAAAAGAATCTTGCTACTTGTTTTACTGAGACCATGTTGTATTGCAGAGGGTCTGAAAGCCACAGAAGGAGAGACTGTAATCCCCAAAGCACCGCAGGGCAAGAAAAAGGGCAAGAAGGCTGCGCCACGACATCGGCTCCAGCGTATTACGAACGTACATCTCAAGGGCGATATAGATTTGTCAAAGGACTATACCCCAACAAAATAAACACAAATTTGGGTGTTCTTTCTTCAAAATGGATATTTTTTAAATACATGCGGTCTTTATTTCCACTTTCTTTTTCCGTGTATTTCTTACGGGCATGTTGTTCACGTTTCTCTCCTTAACGTTTCTCCTTACTCTCATCATGCAACCATCGTATAGATCAATACTGACAGTCACAGATAGCAATAATGTATTGTCTTTCTATCCCTTTTACAATGTCATTTTTTTCTTGTCATAGTGGACTTCTACTTATTGTACCTCATCGTTATCGTGTTATGGAACCTATCGTGAGTCTGTGTTTCATATTTGTATATAGTTTCCGTTTACAGCTAGGAACATTCCAGGAAGTTCAAATGTGCTGGCATGGTCTTTGTAGACCGATGCATTTCCAATTCGTCTGTGTTATACACTTCAAGTAAGACCGGTATTACAACAAGTGTACATCCTGAGTCCTGACTAAATCCATTCCACGGTCTTACCACATCCCCTCCAGTCTAACCCACGTCCCCTCCACATAGTATCATCGTACACAATCATGAATGGTCATTTTCGGCATATCAAGAATAGTCCATAGCCTGCATTTTGGAGTCCTAAATCAGGGGTATCGGGCCGTGAAACTTGAATGCTTTAATAGAAGGTAGATGCATTCGTATTCGTGTGCCTCTCCGTCCCATTCTCCCCAACGTCCACACCTTACCTTGGGCTTGGGAGGCCTTGGGAATAATGAGTGGAAAAACGGTCAGCGATGATGCGAGTGAATACGTCTTCCGGAAAGTCAGTGAGGGCGTCTTCGAGCGGAAATGTTATGGGTTAGAGGAGCTTACGTGTAACATTGCGTGAGTGTTTACTATCAACCCGTTCTCAATTCAACTATTTATTGTAGGTCTATTAAGAGAATATTGTGACGGCTTTGGACATTTTACCGTGTCTGCATTGGTTTCTCTTACCACTCTTCATGCTCGTAATGAATTATTATTGGAAGAGCGTGTACGCGCAGCTTGGACTGCGTTCCGGCATTTTAGGCCCGCTATTGCGTGCAGAGTCTTCAGGCATACAGAAGGAGATAGACGCTTCGCCTTCCGATACACTGTACCACGGACAAAAGAAGAGGCGGACGCATGGCTCGACGACACTGTATTCTTTGATACCAAAGAAAAGGAGGGAAAGACATTTTATGAGCAGCACTGCGAGCTCAAGAACGGTCGATGGTGGAGAGCCTCGGACAATCGGTATGCTGCTGAGTTGCACGTCTTGCCGTTGGGCGATGACTGGCACTTCATGTGAGTAGCCTGCACTGGCATACTAAGGAACACTATAGAAAGATAGACTTACGCGAGGACAAGCTTGTCTGCTTCACATAATAGTATTGACGCAGGAAGCGCCTTCACGATGCTCGAGTTGTTTCTCGAATCTCTGAAGCTAGAGCTGGAGAGCGAGACGAGTCCTACTTCCGTCTTGGATTGGGGATCTGAGGTCGTTAGGCTTCCACCACCTGGAGCGTTTATTAAAGACCTTGTGGAGCGCAAAACGCTTCCTGATATCTTGCCTCATAATACTGGCCTGAAGAATGATGGAGAATCCCCTTCTTCGTCTATTGTAAGTCACTTCATTGTTTCCAACTGTTAGCAACCTCATACATTTCTGAAGATCCCTTGGATATTAGCAACACGTCCGACCAATGAAACAGGCGATGTAACCCGCCTCGTCCACTTCTCCGAAGAAACAACAACAAAACTCCACGCCGTCTGTCGTAGGAACGGGAGGACGATCATGCAAGTTGTAACAGCGCTGACCGCTCTCGCGCATGTCGAAACTGTCCTAGTTCATGCAGGAAAACACGGCCCGGAGAGGTCTGATGAAGTTTTGTCGACGTTTGGGAAGGCGACGCATTATCTCATCCCGTTGAACCCTGTCAACAAGGTGATTACTCGAAGACTTTGCACATTTGATATGATGAGACTTAAAGCGGGTTAAAGAGAAGTGAGATGCCAGGAGGATACGACTCGCTCCGGTCATCGACGAGTACGCCGCTCTGTTTGGCTGACAATGTCCCCTTGATGTTCCCGATGAGAGGGATAAAGAATTGCATCAAGATTGACGAAGAAACGCTCTCCGTCATTCGCGTGGTTGATGAAAATACGTTTTGGAATGAACTCGTAACTGATATTGCGGACGCATGGAAAGCAACAGATGTTAGTAGTACCTATCAATACTTATGCCCATTACTAAAGTGATTTTGCACAGCTCTCACTTGACAATTACGCTTCCCGCGAACTAGAGCTCCATCATAGATTCAGCACATTCACGCCAAAGATGGTCGACCTTCCTTTACTTCTCGTTTCTTCCATCGGAGACTTAGAACGCCCTGATCTTCTATCTTCCTTCGTCCCTGCTCGTCCGTCTCCGCATCCGTCTCTGCAGCAGCGAACAGAATACACGTCGAAGCAGGCACCAGAGCAAACAATAATAGTTCACAATGTCATATGTGGTATACGTGCCCGCATACCGCCGATTATGAACATCCTATGGGAATACAATGGGCGAATTGCATGTCATTTCATGACTGGGAGCGAGTATATGACTGGTGAGGAATTAGCGATCTTGACAAGGAGATTTGAAGAGTGGACTGAAAAGATCGTTGGATAAGGAGGGCGTACATGATAGGAACAAGGTCGTACTTAGACTTACAAACACGACCATGTCTTCTTGCCGAGTACCATAAAGTGAAATATCAGACAGAGATAGTCGCTGATTGAAGAGAGTAGGCGCTGCCTGTAGAGACAAGTGTATTCTTCCGAGTACCACATGGCCATGAACTTCAGAAATTCCATGATCCATCTCCAGTTCAAAAATTACAATAGTCACATGACTATATAAATGACTGGCCCTATAGGCCTACCTTTTAGAATATATAGAGAAAAGTCGAGGAATAGATTCACGTGACTTCTTATTTTTGAACCTGAGTACTGAATTATTGCAAACTGCCATAGTTTGCACTGTAGCACATGCACGGGTTTAGAAAGAGCATGCTCATTATTAATATGAATATTCTAGGAAGTTCGATTATGTTGTTTATTCCAATTTTTTCTTCCTGTGTATTTCTTTCCCGACATGCTGAGCATATTCAACAGTTTATCATAATACAGTCAAAACAGAGATCAAATACTGAACAGAACTAAATACTGCATACTTCATTCAGATGTCTTTATTTCACTTGTGGGAGTGACAAGAACTGACACGTAAGAACACAAATGTTGATTAAAGAGAATAGTACAGAGACTTGGAGCCTTTTGTTATTAAACCTAATACTTGTGTTTTATGGATATCTAGGTGTCGAATTTGTGATTCTACAACCCTAGCATATCAAAGTGAGTTTTGCAGGCCTCGCAAACATTACTAGCATCCATAGCAACAAGGCCTGAATGGTTTGTTCTCCAAGCTTCTCTTCCTGGAAAGTAATCCTCTTGCCAAGATTCAGCGACTCCCCTGCGACGCGCCTCTACGTCTCGAGACAACCCAACACTCTCAGGCAGATAGTACAGAAACATACGAGATATGCACTTCATACCAACACACAGATCAGGACACGAACAGCAGGACCATCTATACGTGCAGGTGCCATAGAAGCGAAAAGCTGGATAGAAGATGATCAGAGTGGTAACCGTCCCGTCACTTCGTAGAGCGGATAGCTTTAATCTGGGAAGGTCCTTGAAGGTGTCCATTTGAAATGCTCTGCAGGAGACTATCCTGTAATTTGAGATTCGCGGGTGTTCAAACCATTCTTTCCGGAGCATCTTGCATACCAGACTGAACACTGCATACGTATCAGAATCGACCAACTCCATTATTCGGAGAAGAACATCTAGAGGGAGGACAGGGCAATTCCAATCAGGCGAATTCCGTTCGGATAAGGTATGCCTGAAAACTCCTCCATCGACACAATGGGGTCTCAAATAATGAGCAATAAGGTTCAGCCCTCTTTCGAGTCCTCCATAACCAAATCCCTCTAAGAAAGGTTGCACATTGGTGTGAGAGATGTGCAACGTGCCCGAGACAACACCATTTAAAATTGCTACAGCGACGTGCCGAATAGAAAATATGATGACGGTGCAGTTGTTCTTTCCCGTTTCACGTGCGTGTCCGATGGCGAGGCCAATATTAGCTCGTAAATGGTCAGGGGTTGAGCAATCTTCCGTAACGAACACCATACAGCCCCGGTACATATAGAAGGTGCACGACGGCTTTCCAGTATCGTGATTGGTCTCGTCATCTCCATCTTCGTCACTCTGATTCCGACTCTGATTCCGACTCTGACTCTCATCACCCTTGTCATTACAGGCATTACGATGCCTACCCTGTTGAAAATCAAGAATAAATCCACTAGGAGACGCAGCACGTAGCAGAAGCTCAGCGTAGGGGTGGAGTGACTCGTTTCCGTCACGATTCGACCCAATAGCAGTGATTTTGCTATTGTGATACATCATGAGACCGCGAGTAATAGCAGACGCAATGCCGAGCGTCGGATGATCGGTACTGCAAGTCATCCAAACGGATTCGGCGACTATTTCAACGTGATGCACCAATACCCGGTAAACAGCGAGCCCGACTTCCGAGGGAGGGCTGGGCTCAATCAGAACTCGATATTGTTTTGGTGTGTCAGGTCGCAAGACAGATCTATGTAGTCCATCAATAAGTATGTACTGTGACCAGTCTCTGCCGTTATCGCCTCGTGGAATGTTCCAAAGAGGAAACTCTGCTTTGCCGACGCAGAACCGTTCCGTAGTGAAGTCAATAATATAGTCATAATTGCAGTCTAGTGCCACCTGAAAAAATTCTGTGGTTGGCCTGAAAACATAAGGATCGTAATCGCCCTCGTCTTCGTCGAGATGTTCGTTTTCTTCTTCCAGCTTCTTAATCCTTTCCAGTTCACATCTATAGAAAGCCCTTCTACCCTTGAGCCACACTTTTACAGTGTGATATATGAGTAAAATTGCTTCCGCACACATTTTTTTATCATACCTTTGTAGGAATCGTTGTCAGAGGGTATTTCATGCACAAGTTCTTGTCCAGTGCTTAGGCTTTCTGTGTAGCAGTGGTACTCGGCTTCCTGTACAAAATATATGCCTATAGAGCCATTCAACTACTGTCAGAGGCATGAATCATGCAGATTTAGTGAGAAGACTGTACCATTGTAGTGATATATTATACCCCTAATTGTCATCTTGCGGGATTTGAAGGCGTACGACAAGGCGTGAGACAAAAGAGATTACGCCTGAGGAATAAATTGAATACTGTACTAGCAATTACGATCACGTGATCAATCCTAAGGAATTCACATGACGTAGAGTGAAATCACCGACCCGGCTATCCGCTCATCCCATTAACGCCGCCCCGCTGTTCTCTTTCTTGTTTGCCTTCGTCCTGGTCTCTCCTTGCTGCTGCCTGCGACGTTGAGCTCGCGACAATGCCCAAGCTACCAATTCTCCCATTGCCACACCCTACCATCCTTCTGCCAGGCGTCAGCGTCTCAGTGCCACTCAACGTCGATCTTGGTCAGCATCTCGCCGCATACGTCCAAGAATCAAGTGGTCCGGCCGTCGTCGCTGCTGTACCAATAATTAGCCCAAATTCAAGTGAAGGAGAGACACCGGTCTTGAATGACTGGGGATGCGCTGCACGAGTGACGCGTCTCTTGCGTCCCTCTGCCCTAGACGAGACTGAAAAGTATATCGTGACTTTACATGGACTTACACGCGTGCGGCTTGCCAAACCTCTGAAATATAAGTCGAAGAAGGCGGAAGATTTGATGTCTCATCCTGTTGAGTATCCACCGAAAGAAAGTGCCCCTGGAGTCGAGGTGGTGAGAGCTTTCAAGGCCGCCGCGTTCAAGCTGCTGGATCGGCTCGTTCAAGATGCCGGAAGAGGCTCGCGAAGAGCGGGTTGGACACGCCTTGCGACCATGGTTGAAGAGGCGTCTGAGAATAGGCTAACTTGGCTGGCTGATATTATGATTTGGAGTATAGTATCGGAATATGAAGATCGTCTAGGTATATCAGTATAACTCAGTCTTTTATTTACTGCAACTAACCTATTATTTCTACGTATAGCGTATCTCGCTGAGCATAAGACGGATGAACGCCTCATGCGTGCCGCAGATCTATTCCTCAAGCAAATCACGGTTACGGAAGTGTCCAAGAAAATCGCCAACGCCGTAGATGAGTCACTCACGAAACAACAAAAAGAGTTCTTTCTTCGACAACAGCTTGCTGCTATCCAACGCGAACTAGCCGTCCTCGAGCGCGGAAATGGCGGTTCTGGCCCCATTGATGGCGCCCAAGGTGATCTAGATGGAGAAGATGCAGCGAGTGAGGACGATCTAGCAGAAGTCAAGCGACGCATTGAAGCAATGGAGCGAGGTTCAGAGGAACGCAAGATGGCAGTTCGCGAGTGGCGTCGTCTCAAGCGAATCCCACAGCAATCTGCGGACCATGCTGTCGTGCGGAATTATGTCAGTCATTTCTCTAACTGTAGTTTGATTTTCACTAATTAATCGGTATTCTGTATAGCTTGAATGGTTAACCGCTCTCCCATGGCCTATGGAGAACGCGCAACCGTCAGAAAGTGCAAAAGCAATGCGGAACCGCAGCTTCATCTCTCGTGCAAAGGAGCAACTTGATGCGGATCATTATGGCCTGGACAAGATCAAACGCCGACTGGTCGAATTCCTTGCGGTTATCAGGCTTCATCAGCTGGCTGCCGACGCCGAGTTGAAGGCAGAAGAGGCGCAAAGAGAGGCAGAAGGGGCGGAACAGTCCAAGGCATTGATCGTCAAATCAGACAAGGGAGCAGAGAATAGCGGGGATTCACCGCCTCCTCTTGTTCCACACATTCCTCCGAGGAAAAGGTCAAGAAATGCTGTCAAGGGTCCTATTTTACTGTAAGCCGAATCCAAAGTACCATCGAACGTACGTTGTATCCTGACCTCGGTCTTTTAGGTTTGTCGGCCCTCCTGGTACAGGGAAGACTTCACTCGGGCAATCTATTGCACGTGCGCTCGACAGACCATTCCAGAGAATCTCTCTGGGAGGCGTACGCGACGAAGCAGAGATACGTGGGCATAGGCGAACATATGTCGGTAGCGGACCTGGCCTTATAGCTCAAGCACTCAGGAAGGCCGGGCGGCTTGATCCAGTTTTATTGTTGTATGTCTTCTCGGTGGCCTAGTGGCTGCTTTTCGGATGACTGACCTAAATGATATGATAGAGATGAAATTGACAAAGTGGGACCAAGCAACTATCATGGAGATGTAGGTTCGGCTCTGCTCGAGGTCCTGGATCCCGAGCAGAATTTCTCTTTCAACGTAAGATAACTATTTTCTGTCCGACACTACTCGACCATTGACACGCATATACACAGGATCACTACATCAACGTACCCATTGACCTCAGCCAAGTCCTCTTTATCTGCACCGCCAACACACTCGATACGATCTCTGCTCCCTTACTGGACCGATGCGAGATCGTCGCACTCGCAGGGTATACGCACGCGGAGAAAACACACATCGCACGACGCTTCCTCCTACCCAAGCAACTTCGAGCAAATGCACTAGACGAAGCACGTCTTGAGATAAGCGACGCGGTGTTGACTTCGATAGTTACGAACTACACGCGCGAAGCCGGTGTACGCAGCCTCGAGCGAGCGATTGGGGCTGTTGTGCGTGCAAAGGCCGTTGCGTGGTCTGAAGCTGTCGATACTGGGAAGGAAGGGGATTATAATACGAAGGTAGAGGAAAGTGATTTGGAGGCTATCTTGGGCGTTGCGAGGTGGGATGGAGAAGAAAAAGAGAGGGAAGCAAGGAGAGGTGTTGTTTATGGGCTTGTTGTGATGGGCCTAGGAGAGGGCGGGATACTTCCTGTTGAAACTACAGCTGTACCTGGCACTGGGCAGCTGAAGCTTACGGGATCACTTGGTGAGGTATGCGACCATCCATTCCCTCCTCTTCTCCTCGCTCGACAATGAATCACTTTCTAACTGCAACTCGCATCTCGTAGGTCATTAAAGAAAGCGGCGAACTGGCACTAAGCTGGGTGAAGACCCACGCATACATGCTTAACATTACGATCACACCCGCACAGGATCCATTAAAGTTCCCTGACCCAATCGACGTGCATCTCCACTTGCCTGCTGGTGCGCAGAAGAAGGATGGCCCGAGTGCAGGTGTTGCGATGGTTAGTCTTAGTTCCCTTCTCCCTTTCTTCACTTTCCCTCCCCTCTTTCATAATTTATTCCTCGCTTTCCCATTGCCTCCGGCGAAAACATTCTTTTGTGAACTAATACCGATCGTATTGGTAGACGTGTGCCTTCGTCTCTCTACTCACAGGAGCAGTTGTACCCTCGAATGTTGCTATGACAGGCGAGATCACGCTTCGCGGACGCGTAACACCCGTAGGAGGGATCAAAGAAAAGGTCAGTATTATTATTAATCACCTTCCTCTCATCCGTCTCTACTCGAATCTGACACACACATTACTCCAGATCCTCGGCGCTCACCGTGCCTCCATCACCAAAGTCATCCTCCCGCTCTCAAACCGCAAAGATGTCGAACATGACGTCCCGCCCGACGTTCGCGCATCGCTTGACCTCGTGTTCGTGCGCACGGTCGAGGAAGCTTTAGACGCTGCGTTTGGGAAGGACGTGCTCGAGTGGAGAATCGGTGCAAGAGCGAGCAAGAGCGGGACTTTACTTGTTGAGAGTAGGCTTTGAGGTGGTTTGTTCTTGGTTTCTTCGAATCCTTGTATTGAAAATCTGCATTGAATCGTCATCGTCGTGTTTTGGTTGTCTTCTGCCTAACGTATTTCTTGCCGTGTTGCATCGCACCGCTGCTATCCAGTCCAGTTTTGTTTTTGTTTTGCTTTCTGTCTTACCAAGTCACACTCAAACTGTACTCCAACAACATCCCAAAGTGTCGAAATAATCGTGTACGTATACGTATATTCATAATAATTACATTGCAAACGACATATGCGCCGTGCCCTTCAGCTAAACAAGCACAAGAGCACAAGCGACATTCGATTCGTAATATATCGTATAGTAATCGTAATATCATCGTACGTACGTCGTAGCATTTCGTTCGTTCGTAAATGTCGAGCCAGATCAGGTTGCCTGATCAAAGACGAATAATCGAACAACAAGCAGACAAATAAATGGAGAGGGGGAGGGGAAAGGTTGACCAGCAGGTGTGAGCATACGGACGGCAAGAAATGATTCGAACGGAATGATCTGGAATGGGGAAGGGGTCGGGATGAAAATAGAAAAGTACACAGTTGTGGCGTCCGTGCATATTACAATGTAAAGCAATCGATCGAGGAAGTGGGAAAACAACGAGTAAATCTCACGGAAAACAAGATTTAAAGCAGAACAGACCTCGAGGAAAGGAAGAAAAGGAAGAAAAAAAAAAAAGCATGATGAGGTCGTTACTGAATGCAAATTTTCTCCACCAAACTGAAATGAGAATCTTACATTCGCTTCAAAATAAAGCACACGAAATGGGTATACCAAAGGGTGGCATTTTTTATGCAGGAACGGCAAGCGGCTGCATCGACATTCTCCTTGTCCGAGCATCGTTAACAGGTCTAGCTCGAGGCGTCTCGTTCTCCTTGTCGCTCAGTGCGCTGGAAGACGTGTCACTCATCGGAGCAATCCCGCTAATAGTACTTGATGCACGCCGTATCGAAGTCGTTGAGTTCGGCGACACGACACGCTTTGCTGCCGATGCCGCGGTCGGACGAATGGGTGCCTTAGCTGCAACGGAACCTGCACGAGCCCGACCGGGTGGTGCACTCAATGAAGTATCTGATAGACGACCCGATACCCTCCTCACGGTTGCGGTTGGAGCTGAAGGACCTGAGGCAACGTTCGTGCGAGTTGTCCTTCCAAGCGTTGATTTGACGGTCGACGACGCGCCACCGGCTAACTTGCCTGACTTATCTGTATCAGAAAGCGAAGATGGTGGGCGCTTCGCTCCATCTGAAAGTGACGACGCAGGACGGAGTGGGATGGGTGTCTTGAACGCCGTGGAATCTCTGCGTGCACCACGGGTAGCTACAGCAGGTGTAGCCCCTGCCGTACCGCGTACGCCCATGCCCCGTTTGATCTAGAGGAAATTGCCACGTCAATAGGTTTAATTTGACAGTCAAAAAGAATATCTTACGAGCTCTAGTTCTTGCTGCTTTGAATCTAGAGCAATGTTGAGACCAAGCTTGTCTTCAATATCTTGATCATGCTGCTTCTCCAACTGCAGTATCTTGACGTCTTGATCCGCGCTCTGCTGCTTCAATACCTGCACACTCGACCTCAGCTTATCTGCTTCCTCTTGCAACTTCGCCAAACGCTCTCTCAGCTCTTTGGCTTCTGCCTCCGTCGCAGCTTGCCTACGTGCTGTTTCATTGCGCAGGCCAGCAGCATCAGAAGCACGCATATGTGCTTCCGCCAAGGCTTGCTCGTGATCACGGTGCATAGACGACAACTCGGCGCGAAGCTGCTCGACCTCATGGTCATTGGCGGATGCCCTCTGCGCACGCTCGGTGGCTTCAGCAAGCATCTGTTCGAGTCGCTGCGCATCTTCATACGCATGTTGGCGTTCTTCCATGAGACCTTTGACTTGGGCCTCCAGGTCGGCCAGTGCCGAATTGTAGTCACCGCCGTGTGCACCTAATCGTTCAAGCTCTTGTCGTAGCTAAACAAAGATATTCATAAGCCCAAGATAACTTATCGAGATAAATAAGGAAATTACCTGATCACGTTCTCTCTCAACCTCCTGCCTCGCCGCCAACGCGACATCAAATTCATTCTCCAACTGACCCTTTCGGTTCTCGTTCTCGGTCCATTCGTCCTCCATATCGGTTATGCGTCTCTCAAGCGTGGCAATCTCATTCTTCAGATGCTCACGTTCACGGTCCAGATCATCACGTTCCTTGCGAAGCGCGTCGGCCTTCTCGTTCAGCTTCTCCGTGTTGCCCCACTGTGCTTCCACCTCTGACTTCAAGATATCAATCTCGCCGGTTTTAGCATTGATCTCCTTCTGAAGGGCTTCCATTTCACTGAGAAGGCTTTCCCGGTCCACGGCCCATGCGAACTCAATTTCTTGGTGCTGCTGTGAAGCTAATGCAGCTTCTTCTCGAGTCTTAGCCAGCATGATTCGAACATCTTCCAAGCTTCCATCCGATACTTGGTCAGACGAAATCCCCGATTCCAACCGCTTCTTCATATTTTGCAATGCTTCTTCCCGATGTCGCAGCTCTTCCATCAACTTCTCGCTCTCGGCCTTCGCCTCCCTCTCCCTATGCGCCATCTCATTCCTCTCCCTCTCCAACTCAACCATCTGCTGCTGCATGACCCTCAGAGCATCACCACTCGCACCATCCATAACACTCCTCTCAAAGCTTTCCAATGCACTACGCTCAGCCTGTTCCTCTAGTGCAGCAGCCGCACGCTCAAGCTCCGCAACACGGCGGCGCATCCCGCGCATCGCTTTTGCACGCCTCTCAGCCTCTGCTTCATGTGCTTGAAGCTTCTGGCTCATCAAGGCAGCATGTGTATCCCGAGCACGTATGTCAAGCTCGTACTGCGCAGCAAGTTCCTGGTGGAACGCCAATTGTGTTCGGAGAGATGCTACCATATCGTCTTCTGGGACAAAGACACGCGTTTGCGTTACTGACCCATGTGACGATCTCGAAGTCCCAGAGCGATGAGAGACAGTTGAAACAGATCGCCCTGATTGCATACTCATACCAGATACCCCTGAGTCGGAGCGTACGTGACCAAGTCGCGGTGGTGTTTTGGGAAAACCAGCGGCCGGATTGTAGTAGTTGCTTGCATCGGCACTGAAGGGATCCGGGAGTTCTCCGGCATTGGGCGTCGTTTGAGGGTCTCCAAGCTTGGCTTTGGGATCATCCACAGCAGCTTTTGAGAATACCCGCTCACTTAATGCACGTACGCGACTAGAAGCGTTTGCCGAACCCGGAAATTCTAGTTTGCTGTTGGCAGACAGGCTTTCGCGCTTGAAAACTCGGTGAAAGCCTAATGAAGAACCAGACCGTCCAGGAGGCGAATGCTTCTCGCCTCCGTCGTCAGCCAACGAATGAAAACGAGTTTCATCGTTGTCGGACAAACGACGCAAAGAGCTTTCGCTTCCATTGATGATGCTATTCGGGGTCTCTATCGACATAGTTGAAGCGGTAGAGTGGCTTGAGACTCTGTTTTCCGGCTGAACATTGATTGTCGGTCTCGAACCCAACGCAGGCATATTAGAGTTACGAATAGGTCGATCAAATTCGTCGATTTCAACCGCGTTGTCGCGAAGAGCCGAATTTGCACTTCCACGAATTGAATGTACACTGTGCTCTTGCGCGGCAGAGAAATCAAAGATGGCCGAAATCTGAGGCCGATCCGGATCCATGTGGGCCCGATTGGCTTCAGGAGTCACATATGGAGTGCTGGTAGCCGTTGGAATGCCTTTAGATTTAATAGAGTAATGACACACATATAGGGAGGTAGAAAGAGAGCAATTAGCAAGTTTTTCACTGATAGGTATTTCATCGTATCAGTCAACGCACCATCGCGATCTGGACTCATTTCCTGGATTCTCTGCATGAACGGAGTCTCCAATGCATCAGCGGAATTGCTAGTATTGTCCGCACTGGCGCTAGTGCTAGTATTTGGGCTGATAACGTGATAAGCGTCGCGGGAGAAAAAGCGGACGTTCTGGCCGGATCCGGGAGTGTTCCTGTCTCGCAAGATGGAGCGGACTGAGCCAAACTGTCGAGTATCGAGATGTCCTATAGTTCCTTGTAACGGTGACAAGGGTGTAGGAGTCGTTGGACGTGGCCCTTCCGTTGAAGCTCTATTGAGAGCATCATCTGATCCTATGGGGAATTTAACCAACGGTTCATTAATGACGTTCAATACGCACTATTCATAGCAGCTTGCATTTGCATCGCAGAAGGTCTGCGATCCTTGCCGAAGATTGATCTTACCGAACCGAAGACAGGTTGAGTTGCAGATTCTGGTTTGGGTGCAGATGTTAAGGATAAGTTAGATTCTTGAATATGCGTTAGCAGGGTAAATGGAGCATAGCAGAGTGGCTGTGAGACATACCGTTGATGTTCGTATTAAGATGAAGGGACGATTTTACCCGTTTGGCGAGGCTTAGAGAACCGCCATTCTCTTTATCCATATGGCGTGATCCACGCCTCAATAGGCCACGTTTGGTGCTCTTGCTCGGCGACCCTGGCGGACTTAGGACACCCGCTGGTTCACCAGCGGAATCGGATGCCGACTGGCTTAGAGATGAGACTACAAGTTCATGGTCCTTAAATGCTTGTGCATACCTCATCATGTGAGTGCCGACTTCTACCGTCGTGTTGGGACGGTGCAGAAGATGCGTCTACGTCACTGCGTTTGAACGCATTGGCTACCTTCGACCACATGGGGTAGGGAAACTTGCTCGATTCTTGAGATTACCGAGCGAGACAGTTAGACAACAGTGTGAGCGCCGGAACGTCACACTCTCGAGCGGAGAAAAGGAGCGTGGTACAGCAAGCAGAGAGACTACAAACTGCTGAGGAATAAGACTGAGGAAAAGGTTCGGACAAGACTTCCAGTTCCACTTTACGTTCAGCTGGACTTCAACCATCACGTGCAGAGTCGCGTCCATTTTTGACCGACGCGTCGCCACAAGTCTCGCACGGGATCGCGCCCATATCATCCTCAATGTCTTTCTTTGAAACTCATGCTCATAATATTCATCCGCACCTTGTTTCGCATTCAACAGAGTCTGCGTGTACTTTCAGGGCTCGTAATTATTACTTGCCTGCATCCGGGGATACATTGTCCCTTCGGTGAATACGGAATTAAGCAGAGGCACGTGACTTTTCCCCTTCGAACTTCGAAGTGCAAACCGCCTTTGAAATATCCGCAACAGTACCGCCGTTCGTTTGAGGGAGCACGTGTATCCAATTGGAAATCGAAAGCCATGTAAGCTGGTTGAAAAGGTATTGGAAACATTGAAGTTGATGTAATTTCTCATAGAGTAGAGTGTATTCTTGTTATTAATTATTTGTGAAAAATATTCCTATATTCTATTTTGTGAGTAGCCGGATTTATTAATCTAATATGTACTGGTCAAAAGGACTAATGTGATATATACAGTATTAATTATAGATATTAATTTAGTGAAACTAGTAAAAGTTGATTTAAATTGTAAATATAATTAAAGTAACTTTATTATATATTTTCTAAATTACAAATTTTGTAGAATGAGTCACCTAACCCTTATTATTCTCAATTTTAGTTTCAAAATACATTTATAAACTTTACATTAATCTTACCTTAACTTATTGATACTAAAATAAAGTCAGCTAAATATAATAACTATTATTATTTTAAAGAAAGGGAAAAAAGGAATATATAGCTTTGTTGAAGAAGTATTTGTTACTCATTATATTGTTAAGAGATTTGTACACAATGTAAAATAAATGGATAGTTAGTAAGTCTTTCTAGGTAAACAAGTATCTGACTACTTGGTAAGATATGCAAATTCTTTACAATTCAGTTACCTTTTCTGAGAGTAACAAACACTTTTCCTACTATAATATGATAAATACTAATATATACTATTTATTACATATTTCTACTTTATTTATAACTTGGCAAGTAAAATATATTTTAAGAGTTGGACTTATTAAATCACTCATTGAATACATGGACTTTCTCTAAAGGCTTGATTAAGTTTAAGAATCTCTTATTAGAATTTTTATTAATAAAGTAGTTATTACTAATATATCCTAAAATAATAATGCTATATTTTAGTAGTTAATATTTTGCATTCTGGAAAAGCTAAAGTTTAACACTCGAATCAATGGTATTAATATGGAGAAGATATATTAACCAGAACTTATAGCAGCTGTATTTGTGCTATGATGGCTATTGTAGACTGTGACGTGTGACTGCAAGTGGCGAACTGGACGCGACTGTTACAAAAGTATAAAGGGGTAGACTTTGCCGCAGGCAGCAGGAACCTCCCCTCCTGCTTGTGCACACGAGACAATTCAATAATACTCGACTTGAGGCTATTCTTTCTATAATGGACCCATTTATTACAGCCATAAGTGAGGTACTTAATCGTGAAGACATTCCTATCATCCTTTGGGGAGAACTCGCAATGATTCAATACGACATCCCAACTGTGATCACAGTTAGTGTATCTCAAATGCTGTCATAACACCTGCTGAACTACTTTTCTGTCTGACAGCGCTTCGATATCCTTGTTCCAGATCATATGCTCACTAGTGCGGCCTCAGCATTTGAGACTGATGGCTGGGAAATCTCTACGACTCCTCTGCCGCGTGCGCTTCCTGGCCTTTGGCAGACAGGATGGAAGGTGGTTGCAGAGGCGTGCCGCCGATTTCATTTCCCGCCCTCCGTCAATCCCCGGTGTTATGACCTCGAACTCGTTATTCTTCCGACTACTTTTGTTGGCCTCGGCTCAAGCCCATCCCTAGACTCCGAGGAATATACAAAGATGGAATCGCTTGGGCCCAACGTGTATCTACCTTCCAGCCATCTCATGGCAAGATCCATTGCGCGAACTCATATCAGCCACGCTGAAAAAGGTACCAATTTCTACTTCCTGCTGCGTGCGTGGGCCGAATATTTCTACCTCTATTGCAATTTCCACGCGGGATCGTTGGACGATGCCGAAGAAGACGTTCAAAAGTTCTGGCGCTCTATATCACCAGCGAACTGGCAGGTTAAAGGGGAGTGACGTAAGTAGGACCCTATGCTTTCCAGCAGTCAGATGGAGTGTATTGGGGGGAGATGTGGCTAGTACTGTAGGTCAACTGACTGATGATTTCCCGATATGCATTATTACTCGTCCCTTGTACCTGACTTTGTGTAATTGTATGCGTAACATTATAATTCAAGCCAGTTACCTGGTTTCTATACTAGTATTTAATAGCCTTGTACTATCTCAAGCCCAATCCTATGCAATTTTGCAGCACATCATGATCTAAGACGATTGCTCAGTTTCTATGCCATTGTTCAGCAGTGCAAAAAATTCTCTTCTACTTTCCAAACCAAGACTAGTGCAATCATACAGGACGACATTTGATACATGGCAATAATTGCTCAGTTCCTACACTATTTTTTAGCAGATCGTGATTGGTCTTATATTTTCCTGAGTCATATAACAGTACAATACTGTCATACTAGATGATCACTTAGTTTACATTCTATTGTTCTCTAGCATGCAATTGTCTCTTCTATTTTCTTTAGCGTGTACAATTGTATGAGTCAGTATGACAATTAGTAACACTTGTGAACATAATCAAACCTTATACTGCCTGTGTTACGGTTCTCTGCTCTTGTACCTTCAGTTCCAAGGGTTCTACACCCTTCCATACTGGAACTCAGGACTTCTGTCCCTTGGGGGCACTGTCTATGAACTATATGTGTGCTGACTCTTGCTACTACCCTTCCTTACTTTATCATTCCATTCCTTTGACCACCCCTTCATTCTTTGTATCATTCTATGGTCTCTTACCCTTTATCCATCCCTTCATTCTTTGTACCTTTATCTTTGACATTCCTTTCTTTCATTCTTTGTGGCTCATCATTCTTAGTGGCTCATACTCCCTGAGTGCTCTTGTGTAGTTTAGTATATATAAGTGTACAAGATCAGACTGGTCCTGTAGTCTTGATCTTGTCTACTCTAGGTAGTCCTGTACTCTTAGGCTCACTCTATATACCCTACTCTTGTCTTACTCTCTCTCTCTGCCTGTTCTGCAAGTTCTGACTATGTTCTAGTGCTTGTGTTCTGTATTTCTGTTGTGTAGGATAGTTGTAGCCTGGGTCCCCTTGCTGAGCCTTCAGGTCCCCTCTATACTGTTACTGACATTAGATTAAGACTACCCATTACCACCCTACAACTCTCCTACGTTTTGGGCATTG